TTATTATACGAGGGTTCCTTGAAATGCTCTACCTCTTTAACTGTTCATAACAGGGAGGCTATTTGCAAATTCGAGAAAATTCATTTCTCTGAAAAAAATGTCATAGGTCAACGTAAAACAGCACTTTTAGAACCCTTATTAGGGCCAGTGTGAACTCACTGTTTGTTTCTCTCGGTTTATTTAGAGATAATTAAATGTCTAAGGAGGCATCGAGGCCTTTAAAAACAGCGTTTCCATATTGACATATGACATTTCTGATTAGAATCTTGACATACCAGTCAAAGGCGACTCCATGCCAAATTTTCGGAGAGGGCCATTTTTTTAATAGAAGGCTCATCGATTGTTATAATTTTAACCTCGAGGGGAGCCATCCTTAGCCAGTATTCATAATCCATGTATTCCTTAACAAATTGGCAATATTTTTTTGTATACAAGTTTGTCGATTTCATTTGCAAGGATTTGCTAGCATTAATTAATTTGGTACAGTAAATCAAAGAACGAGCAACACTTTAATTTAATTTTTTACTCATTTTGGCAACTCTTGCCACCTAGCACCTAGAGCAACCGTTCATCCTGCTCTACCCCAGGGCCGGCGCTGGTTATTTTCATTTATTAGTTTAATTTAATAATTGTATTTATGTTACTTATTACATAAATGTATAACTAAATATTGTATGGCAAAACTATTGGGACACACATTACCAATGCGGAAAAATGACATTTTAGTTCAAATTGTTAAGCCTATGTATGAGATTAATTAATTTATTAAGCTATACGGATTAATTGTTATAAAAAGAAGCAAAATCACATAAATTTAAGCTTGCTAAAGGTTATATTTATAAATGAAGTACTTGTTATCGAGTTTATATAACATGAAATGTGAATGTTTATTATGTATATTTATTTCTAAGTGATAATTTTACATAAACATAAAGGACGACGTTACAATAAAAAAAAATGGACATTTTAATTGTCATTTATTTATATATGTATTTTATTTAAACGCATTTAATTAAATTATAGCTTTAAATAATAGACCTTACGACAAGTCTATTTTATTTTCTTTTATTCAAGCACGAAGAATAGCAAATTATCCAAAGAAAATTATATTTAATAATACCTAATAAAAAAAAAATAAATCTATATAATATTTTTATTGGAATTATAATAAAATATTTTTAGAAGACATACAGGGTGTTTTAATAATAATATAGACCAGAGACAAAGAGGTTAGAAAGAGAGAAAGTGTAGAGGTAATATATCTAGATAGTACATGATATTCTGAAACTATCCATACGTAGGATGTATCCAGAAATTGGGATATATAGCTTAGCTATATAGACTCCTCGAATAAAAATAATTATTCTACGAGTATTTGGGGGCACTTTTTCTTGCTAGTATATTTTTAACATGGGGACAAGCTAAATGTTAGGAACTAGAAGAGAAAGAATTTAATAGAAGGGATGGATTTTGGCTTCAACGCCTTCAATTAAACCCAATCTAGTCTCCATTTGTTATCTAAGGTACAAGTCGAAAAACCTAGCTAGATACTTGGAGGTGTGCAAACGAGGAATAGAGAAAACAAACATAAAGATAAAGAGGGTATTATTACTAAGCGGTACGTGCGGTACAGTGTCATAGCCGTCCAATTGATTATTTGAGATTACTGAAAAGTAACATTTATCTTCTTTGAACTTAGTGTATTCTTATAATGACTTGGGCGTTATTATAAACTCAAATTTAATTTGAACAGAACACATTTCCAGCATTTGTAAACGCGCCAACAGCAAATTATACTTGTTAAAAAAATCTTTTCAAAAGACCTATTATGGAACTGTTTGGAATCGAGATCTTGTCAGAGAAAAAACATTGTTAGAAAATGTAAAACGTCGGGAAACTAAAATTACATTTGGTCCTATAAGACCATCTTCTTCCGAAAGGCTCCAGATGGCAAATATTGACACTTTTGATAAACGTCGCATACGCGGAGACCTTATTCTGACATTTAGAATTCTAAAATATAATTACGGGAACCTGAGTGATATGTACATACTTAACAAGGTTGAAATTTAATTTCTATCTCTGCTGTCTTTCCTTCGGATATAATTCAATACCTGTTGCGGTATTAGCCAAAGGAGTAGTTGTTTTCTGAAGGGAAACGGTCGTTGGTATTTATGTGATATTGGCTTTGAGTTTTATTCATTTTATTACGTCTATCATATTTGAGTTTGATTTATTTTCGTTTTTATATAATTTTTTCTTGGTTTTCTGGGGGGGGGGCAATTTATTAGATTTTTCATGACAAAATAAAACATAATTTTTCCTGACTTTTCTGGGGGGGGTCAATTGCCCCCTTTACCCCCCCCCCCCCCCCCGAGTATGCCACTGAAATAGTATAATAAGGTACCAATATTGCAAAGGTTCACTAAAACCTTAAACAGTGAACGAAGATAAAGCTAGATTGGTGAATAGTAATAAACGAATACAACAATGACTAGCTACATAGATTACTAGAGGATAGTTAAGTTCCCTGATTTTTTACAGAGATATACATCATCTTTTTTAAATCAAGCCTTTTAACTTTTTTTGTATAGATATTTATGAAATGCTATAATGTACCTAACCTAAAATTTAGGTCCTAAATATGACAATTTATTAGAAGAGCATAAATGATATTTTTATACAAAAAGATTTTACTTCTCAATACATTGAATAAAAAAGAAACTATTATTAAAGGAAATTATATAGAAATTAAAAAATATGCCTTACTTTGTTGTTTTAAATAAAACAACCAATGTTAGTGTATTGAAATTTGTTTGAATTTTACAAATTTTATGCTTGATTTCCAAGGTAGATTAAAAAAAGGTAGATTTAAAAAAAAAACAACTCGTGTTTTTTAGCATCATCTATGATTTCTCTCAACTTTTCTTCTGGGGTTGCACTTGAACTGATGGATACATTTACAGGCACATCTAGCCTGTTGAAGAGAATAAACTGCTTTAATTTTGATATACCTGACATACCATGTACCTATAGATTCACTTTTTATAAAATTTCAGGTATTATATATTCTTCTTTAGGCAATTCTGTAGTATTTACTTTTGCTTCAAAAACTCCTAAAATGTCAAAGGAAACCTAAAATATAATATTTTTAAAATGTATTTTTAGTTCGATTAAGTATAATTACCTTTTATAAGTATTTGGTGTAAAATGTTACTGGATATTCGGTTAAATGTTTATCTTTATTTTAGTTAAACCATTCTGTATACCTAATGAATGAAATAATAAATTTACATCAGATATTGTAATCTGAAACAAAGACAATGGTTTAGAAAATAGTTTTCTATTTTATAGAGGACCCTTACCAAATATACTTGAATATATAAATAATAATTATTTATAAAATAAATTCTAGGAGTCAAAAAATAAACCATCAAAAAAGACAAAACAAATGACAAGAAAAACTGACAAGTGACAATTGATTAATTGACATAAACGTTTCGAATTCAGAATTGTGGTGATCAAGGTACTTCTCGTGGATATTATTTTAGCAAATTACTTCATTGCGTTGTGTTAACATAACAGGTAGGTTAACTAGGTAAATAACAAATAGAAGTATGTATCACGAGGTTTTGATTTCCCTCAAAAACTTCTCATGAACGTTGCATTTACGTTGTATAGTAATGTTATAATATGCTAGCTGGGTTTTATGTAATATAATATTTCACACATGGAACAGCTTACCACTAAATGTAGTAAATGCTGAGAATGTTAACATTTTTAAAAACAGTCTAGATAAATTTCTACAGGGCTAAAAATGTATGCGTAAAGCTGTTAATATTTTTATTGCAATTTTAATATATGTATTACGATATTTTATTTTAACCAATTTAAATTGATTGATTTGGTTCAGTTAATTTAATTAATTCTGTTTAGTTTAATTGTTTTAGGTTGGTTTAATTAATTTAGTTTGTTTGATTTAGTTTAATTGATTTAGTTTAATTGACTCAATTGATTTGATTTAATTAATTGAGTTGATTTAATTAAATTGATTTGGTTTAACTTAATTAAATTGGTATCTGTGCTCATAGGTCTTGCTAGACATCAGTCCTTGTTTTATTTATAATAATAATAATAATAACTTACTTATTTTTTATTTATTGATAGTTATAGATACCATGTATTCGAAATTCGAAGTAATGTTTATGACGTAGCGGTGTTTTTCTAATTGAAATTGGACCCTAGTATCTATATCACGCTGCGACCCATAAACAAAATAATGAGTACTTAATAATTGAATTTAATTAATAAGTACTTATTATTTTATCTATGCTACGACCCTGATTAAAAAGAACACGTCTTTTTGAAGTATTGATCAATTTAACGCCGATTCAAAGCAGTTACCTAATTTGACTAGATATCTAAAGCAGGAAGGCAAAAGAAATATTTATACCAGGAGTAAATGTAAAGAAATAATATAACTTTTTAAATTTCCGAAGAATAGACAATTAAATGATCACGGTAAATACCGTAATACATTAAGTTCTGAATATTTACATTGTTGTCGATTGACCATAGTCCAATCGGCGTTGAGCAACCCTCAAATAAAAATGTTTCAACTATAGCTGTGTATAAAAATAACGTCGGTATAGTCATTTTCAACCCCATAAGTTACCCTTAATCCAAAGGATGATAATTGGCAGCCTTATATAGAAAATAATATTTAATAATTACCTATCGATCGGATAGAAATTTTTTTAAAAAACTATAGATAAAGGGTGATACATTCATTCATACATGTGAGTGGAATTGTAAAAATAATATATTTCAAAATTCTAGGAGAGCCCAAATATTAATCTCTGTTAATATCTACATGTATTTGAATAACACTTGTATATTTATTTTATTCATTTGTTTAAAAAAATAACTAAATCGTTAAACAATGCGTTTTCCCTCGTAAATATTCTTTATCTTGAACTAATAGTGACGTTTAATTAATGTATAAGTAAAGATGCGAAAATTATCAGCCATTGCAGGGATTATAAATAGGACGAAATTAGAGTTTAAGTTTTTTATTTGGGTAAAATCGTTGCAAAAATCGCGAGGCGATGACAATCAACGAGAAGATCGTTTTGCAAACGGAAAAACCCGCTATAAGAGTGTACGGGAAGAGATGGTTGATCTTGATCATCTACATCGCGTACGCGACTTTGAGTACTCTTCAGTGGGTCGAGTATTCCATCATTACCAATGTGGTGTCGAAATACTACCATGTCAGTGCCAGTGCCGTGGATTGGACAGCGATGTCTTTTAGCATCATGTGGCCCATTTTGGTTTTCCCGGCTTCTTTTATTATCGATAAAATGGTAGGTGGATGCTTTACAGTTTTTTTTTTTATTAAATAACCAACCCTTTTTTAGTCGGAATCTTTTTTTATGTATGTTTAGCAATAATTATTTACAACGTTGTTCGTTTTCTATGATTTTTCTGTTATAAAGGGGTACCTCAAACCAGGGCTGGATTAAGCACCAGCGGCGCCCCGGGCCAAAACTTTTAAAGCGCCCCTTCGCAACAATTAATATTTCAATCTATTATTAAGGTATAAAAATGATCAAAACAATTATTCAATGCATTTATTTTGAAAGAATATTAACATAAAAAAAATAACGTTACAAACATTTCATGATAAAAAATAAATAAAATAAAAACTGCGAATCCTATTTCCTTTTTGTTAAAGTGTCTTTCTTAATTTGTTTGAAATAAAAAGCGATATAAAATCGTCTTCATCTATAGTCTATTTTTATGTATGAGAGAGTATTAAAATAATAAAGCGTTCGTAATCCATAGGCATACCACTTCTTTTAGTAGACAAATAAAATATTTTTTGAAGTTATTCCTCGAGTATACACTTATATTTTCACCTAATTAACCTGCTTATAACTTCCAAACAGCTGTAGGGAAAAAAGTGCAATTTTTTCTAAAATGTTTTATTTTTCCACAAGGTATGGTAAGAACATTGTGTTAAACGGGTTATGTAGGTATAAGGGTTTAAACTTTGACTTTTAAACAACGTTACGTTCATAAATAATAATGTTAATATAAAAACTACGTCTTACCTACAAATCCAAATCAGAATCGAAATCAGAAGATGAACTGTCGCAACCAATATTTACAATGAGTAGCTCGATCATTTCATCAGTAATATTGTCCAACTTCCACATTTTCTCTTCTTCTTTAATCGTATGATTTACTGCCTTTTCCCAGTTTTCAGGCTTCACATTATTTACAGCCTCCAAAAACAACTGTTTAACATCACTCATTTTAAAAGAATTATTTTTTCTTGAAACTTCTCCCTTTATCTGTGCCCATCTCAGTTCAATCGGGTTTACTTCGCAATGATATGGTGGTGATCTAACCACCGTCATCCCACGATTTTTTGCAATTTCATCAATTTCATATTTTTTGAATTTCTCTTTATGAAGGGAACACAAATGATACAGTTCTTTTCTCACAGAACCGGGATAGAACTTAATATTTTTTGAATTTAGCCAATTCTGTAAATCTTTTTTTTAACCACTTGGTTGTGGGCATTTTTTCTATAAGTCTCGAGTGATAACTTGCTTTGTCCATTACTGTTATACAGTTCTGAGGAAGAAGAGCTATAATTTGTTCGAACCACTCTTTAAAGACATCAGCATTCATGTCCTCATGGTAGTCACCGGTACGAGTAGATTCAAAAGTCAATAAACCACCTTTAACAAAACCGTTTGAACTACCGATGTGTACCGATGTGTCTGCGCCCCTTTCCTGATGGTGGATTTAAACCAGTAGATAAATTATTTAAAAAAGCCTGTCTTCGACTTGTAACAGTTTCATCTTGCCAAAATTTATTTGGTTTATGTCCCTCGTTGATCCATGTTTCATCTAAATAAAATATATTTCTTCTTTGGTTTCTCATTTCTTTTATAGTCCTTAGGTAATTTCTTCTCCATACTACAATATCGCTTCTTTCTATTAAAATAGACTTTCTGGAATGCTTTTTCCATAGAAAACCTATTTCTTTTAAAAGTTTCCATAGTGTGCTTCGACTCATTTCAGGGTAATTCTTATCATCTCGAACCGTGGCAAGAACTTTGTCTACTGTCGGAAATTCTTTTCTAAAGAAGAACGCATGCACTTTCCTTCGAAGTCTTTCTTACAAAATATTTTTTAATTGAAATTTTGGTTTTCCTGGAGCTTTACGTGCTGTTTGAAACTCGCCACATTTCTCTTCTTTAACAACTCTGTAAATCGTAGATTTCCCAACACCAAGCGTACTACTAACTAATTCCACTGTGTCATCAACACTTTTACATAAATGTTTGTCTGTAAATGATTTAAAACAATTAAATATTAATGTTTTTTCATTAACTGTTAAAGGACCGATTTTTTGTCGTTTACGCGGCCCTTCCAAATTTTCCATGATCACACTAGAATTCACACTGCACCTTGCAAGTTGCAACTAAACGACATTTAGTAAACTGTCAAGAATACAGAACTTGGATCTCCTTACTAAATGAAAAAACCTATAATCGCATTTTCGGTGAAATTTGTTGGGAAGGCATTTATCTACTTATAATTCGATTACTGTAAGAAATTCTTGGAATTAAAATTAAACAAAATTGGCAAATAGGTACTTATTGAAAATAATCTTAAGATACGGCTATGTAATCTTTAATACACAGGGCTTTTGGCCTGTCCAAACCTTTTTCTATTGTTCTGTACAGCTTATGTTTATAACGGACCAATAAAAGACCCAAAACTTGTAATAGCTCAGGTACAATTATTACAATTTTAGGAAATATTTAGATTATTCTGTAAAAATATTTAAAATGACCGTACTAAGTTTTGCATTAGAAATGCTGTTTTATTACTCTCTCATACATAAAAATAGACTATAGAAAGTCAACAAGTTCACTCTCAATGCACACTGGTCTTTGAATCAGATAAACTATTTCTTAACACGTTGAAGACCGCATTGAAAAATCTTATTTCTCACATAGCGACCGGTATTTTTTTTATCGTTAATTACGTATATCATTTTTGAAATATGCTTTTAGTGTACAATAATTTGAGGTAGACATTATTTAACCCCTAGAATTATTTCAATTAAAGTGCCCACGAGTGATCACCCGGTCCCAATGTGTAAATTTACTTTCGTAAACCGCATGCCCACCGGTAAGTCAGTTTGTCTTGCACATTCTAGCTTTGACGAAACTAAATAAGTTGTAGCACAAATGTTGAATATAAATTAAAAGTTGTGTTCTAAATAATTTTTTATTTTTATTTTACCTTGAAAATCTTAAAAACTCGTTAATTTTGTTTGATTTAAAAAAAATCGTTTTAAAATGAGACTATGTCAAATTAACTAAGTCCGCTATATGCAGTATCTCTTCGAGGGACCAGCGAATGAACTACTGTACATAAATTGAATTTAAATCATGCCCACCGGTGTACAAGCGTTCCCCAGGGGGTCGATTCTCGACTTGTAGGAACCTTTTCCTATAGGAATTTGTGACACTTTCCTATATGTAGGAAAATGTCATAAATTTTCGATGTATATAAAAATGTCAAAAATTCCTATAGGAAAATATTCCTACAAGTCGAGAATCGACCCCCAGGCAGGTAAAACACTTCGAGTGCCCACGCGTGAGCACGCGGGCCGGTTATGATGCGGAGTGACCCAACGGTGGGCATGTGGTCTTTAACAAATAGTTCTTGACTCTATGTAGTGTTAGAAACGACCTCTCTCCAGTAACATTAGTTGATGGTATTGTCAAAAAAATTTTTAAGCAGTGTCGATATTTGGATATGTTACAACTATTTTAAGAGTTATTGCTCCGTTCATGAGAACTTATTTGTCGGCATATTACTCCTATTATACCCTTACCTTCAAAATTCCAAGAACGGGTCGTCGAGCCACATTTCCCCTATCATAGGAAATGAATCGGCGATTTATTTAGTTATACCGGTGAATTGAAGATTTGAACGTATTTAGTAAAAATTTGAAAATTTGAAGGGAAGCGACACATAATATTACATGCAGGAGGGAAATCGGGTTTTATAGAAGGTGCTGATTTAATATTTTCATCTAAATCAAAATCCAGTGAGTATCACGATAATATGAACACAGAAATGTTTGTAAAATGGTTGCATGAAAAACTTCTCCCAGGTTTAAGTAAGCCCAGCGTAATCATTTTAGACAATGCACCTTACCATTCTGAAATATTAAACAAAAGTCCAACGAATTCTTGGACTGTTGATAAAATTAAAGAATGGTTGACAAAAGAACATATACCATTTCCTCAATATATATTAAAATCAGAATTATTACGCTTGGCAAATATACACGCAAAATCAAAAATATATTTCCCCAAAGAACAGGTCTAACTTTCGGGTACTTACCTGGAGATACTCATCAAATTTTTAATCCGAAACCCGCGTAAGTATAGCGAACAGACTGTATATGCAGACAGATGTCAGTTGAGTTGTGAAGTTATTTTTCCATATATGAAGGATTTGAAGGAGTTGCTACGTTCTTTTAAACTTTTTTATTCTAGAAAAAACATCAGTGGGCGAGGTTACGTCGACGTAAATGTAGGATCAATATGGCTACCGTACCAGGCCCAGACTAACTGCTTTTTTTTTAATCTAGATAAGATAGATTGAATGGGCAATGCTTTATTTGATATAAAGCATTGCCTTTTTGATTTAAAATATCGAAGAAATTCTCGATGAAATTATGTGATAAAATGATATAATTACCTATGTGTATTTTGAATTTTACGAATATATAGGTATATTTGTTTTGGTTTTAGATAACAATATATTTACTTGTTTAATATTTATTTTTGGAATGTGTTGTTTATTTTTTTTGTTTGAATAAAAACGTGGTAACTTTTAGTACCCAAATAAGGTATTGACTTTCATTTTTTAATCCCACTCCAGATGTTCTACAATGTAGTTCAATATAAAGATAAAAATTTTCATAGTTGGTACTACTGGAATGACATATTGCTGTCATGTCATTCAAGGGTCAATAAATATTTTACATATAATTCAATATTCCATATATAATTTGATTTAATTAAAATCCAGTTGTATTTTAAATATATTTTTTCCATTTATTGATAAATATAGATCAAAATAAGATAAAAAAAATCAGATACATTATGTGACTGTACACTATTAGACAATTGGCTCCATATTTTTGAGCAGTTTTTTATGTAAACAAACAATTTTGCAGTGTTCCACCTATCCCAACAACAGGATAAAATAAAATAATGGAACTTGGTAATATAATATGTATAATCCAAAAATTGTAGGCATCATATATCTTGAGGACATTTTACAACACAACGTGGAATTCATTATAATATTAATGATTATTATCTATTGTTTGGTCTTTTTTTTTAGAAAACGTTATGTTAATAGAAGAAATAAAATATAGCACATTTAATCAAGTGGTTAGTAGTTACTGATCATTAATTTCTCATTAATTATTAATAATTACATACAGGGTAATTCCCGAAGTTACAACTAGAAACTTTTATTAATTTAGAGAGAAGAAATTGTATTTCTTGGGGAATGCTGTCAAAAAACTTTTCAGGCCAAAATTTTTATTAAAACTCTTTTTCTTTTTTTTTTCTCACCCCAAAATATAACTAACTTGTTTAAGTTGGTAACACGGTCATTAATTTAGTTCTCTGTCATCTAGCATTTTCAAAATTTGTACTTGAGTTGACCAATCAAATTCAAAATACACAGAATATACAAAAAACTACATAAAAACCAACATTTTATCATTACTATCAGATTATTTCGGTTTTAATACAGTTGTAGGAGAATTTTTAAATAAAATATTTGATCTATCAGCCGAAGTTTGAAATTTTTATTAACTATTAGAATCATAATCTAGTAACAAACTATTAAATGTCTCCGTGGTCGAGAGCGTAGAGCGGCTGAAGACTTTAAAGATTAATCAACGTGTCGTGAGTTCGATCCTCAGTCAAGTTTTTTAATTTATTAAAAAATAATAATGGTGTATGGCGGGTTGCGAAATAAATAAACAATATAGTATTAGAATAAACTCAAAAAATATTAATTAATATTAAAATGCTATTAATTAATATTATACAAAGCTGAATGCGTGAAATTTCCCAAGATTAAAAAAGAATGAAAAGAGCTTCAATATCCATTAGTGTTGCCTTTTTTTGATATCTTACTTTAACAACTTTTTGATAATATTAGTATACAATATCTCAAGCGCTTAATTTTGAGTATTTCTTGAGAACTACACTAAACTATTTAAATTTATTTCAGGGTTTGAGAGTTGCAGGACTGATAGGTGCATTTACCACAGCATTAGGCGCTGTCATCAAAATTTTCTCCATAGGAGAGAACCTTTTTGGTGTCTTATTGGCCGGACAAATTGTAGTAGCAGCATCTCAGATTTTCATCCTCAGTTTACCTCCCAAAATTGCAGTAACTTGGTTTAAACCGGAAGAGGTAAATGTCTTTTGGACTTCTTCATTTTGAATGTTTCATTCTATGTAGTCAGTCACTGATATGCTCTAAGCTGATATGTAATATTCACTGAATAGGATATAGGTACATACTTTAATTACGATGCAACATAGGGCGCGGCCATTTTGATGCCTTTATCACAGTTTATAGCTAAAGAATCAGTTCGCTCACTCTGCGTCGGCACTTTTGATCTCAATGTTCCAGTTTATACACTGCGCAACTTGGATAATACAATATATGACAACCGCCTATAATAAAACAGCAGTCTTCTGCACATCCTGAATTTGTATCCCTGGAGTGGATGTTATTTTGGAACATTCAACTGGTCCGAGTGAGCTAACAGATTCTTTAGAAATAAACTGTGACTCGAAAAATAATATTCACTGACACTGACAGCAGCAAGCAAAATATTAAAAATATTGCGCCAAGATGTAGGCAACACGTAATAAGACATCAAAATGACGGAGTTTTCTATCTCCTTTTAAAAGGTACTCAGAAAGCTGCGCAGTGCGACCATTCTCCGTACAGTAAAAGAAAATCAAAGCACGGAATAAGAATATGCCGTGATCAAAGTATGTGGGATATGGTGGATATAGGTTATATTTGACATCTTGAAAATATGTGCCAATAAAAATTGGAAGTTATGTTATATGACATTTGGGCATTGTGTCAGTGGAAAGAGTTGGTATAACTAAGGGTGGAGACATGATGTATTAAATCTACAACACGTAAAATCATGAATAGTGGATTTAATTTAAACATATTATGTTGAATACAATGAAAATATTACTTTAAAAAACTGCTTATACATTTTTTATAAATTGGCAGGCTTGGCGACTACTATTTCCAATAAAAAAAGTGTCTAAGATTCAAGACTATGTTATAGATAATATAATAGCAGATAGGCCACCACTGCATAAAGTTATACAATATTAATCTCACTATCATATCACTATCTCTCTTTCTAATGAAGGCTTTCTCACTCGTTTTAGAATTCTCAGCAGTAGCGTACCGTAAAACAATTTCGCTGGGTCATTTTAAATGCGAAAATGTTGACCAAATAGAATATAAAATAAAATGTTTTAAAAGGTAAGTAGGTGCATTTTTAATGAAGTGAAAACAAAATATGACTTTTTTGTTATGAATATAATATTAATAACAATTACTTTTAACACCACAACACGAACAAATTTAAATTAAACACTGGAATAATTGTCTGAGAAAAGCTCTGTAAAACTGACAAATACAAACAAAGAGATAGATATATTAATCTATTTCTCTCTAATTAGAATTCTCGACCATATTATCATGGCGACACAAACATTGTTTACTGTCCTCTCTTTACGACTTACTTACTCTGAGGTCGCAGCCTCCTTAGAGATACGAGCGCTTTCCACTAACAGCCATTGTTTGACAGGTCGTTAAGGTATTCCTGTAGGTTTTGACAGGGTCAATGCTGTTATAGTTAAATAGTTTGCTGAAAGCAAGTCACATTCTGAGCGGACATATTGCCACGCAAGTGCTAGCTAATCAGAATTAACAAAAATGTGTTTTAAAACCAATTTTTAACTTTTGAATATAGTATAAAAACAATTACCTACATTTTTACTTCAAAATATAAGCTTGTGTTTATTTTTAAAAACATTGATGATAAATCTATATAACTATCTATATCATTAACCCTGTCAAATACACCAGGCCCGAGGGTTGCCATATCAATGCCCACAGGCAACCATTTTGTTCGGAATTTATAATTCTTTGCCTAAAACATACCAATTTTTTGTAATGGTCTTTAGTCATTTATATCCTATATAGTAAATGTTTTAATTCAGTAATTAAAGATCAGTATAGTTAGTAAATTAATAAGATATTATTACTCTTGTAGGTATCGAAAGTATGTTCTCTTGGAATATTTGGAATGACACTGGGAAGCGCAATGGGTTTTTTGATACCTCCAATGATAGTACATGACAGTGATAATTTGGATGACATTGCCTATGATTTGAAGACGATGTGTTGGGGTTTAGCGTTTATTATTGCACCAGTCGCATTGACTGTAGTGTTTTGTAAGTATTATGAATGTTATTTATATACCAGGACCGTAAAATATCTCTTTCGACCGTATCAAAAATTGCAACCGCGTCCAGAGAAGTTTATTTTAATGTTCCGTCCATTGGACAATTTGAATGATTTATTTAAATTGAAAGGTCTAAATCCACCTCATTGTTTTTAAACATCGACCCTAAACACTTAAACCATCCTTCTTAATTAAATTTCGCGGGCTTACCCACGTGTCATATTCCTAATCAAATTCAGTCATTTATGCTGCGTTTGAGAATCCACATCGGATGCATCTGAGATGTAAAAAATCTTTGATCACGTGATGCAGTATACGTAAATGTAATGGGACAGATGTGTCCGATGTGGATAAAAAAACGCTCGAGATGTAAAAAATGCATCCGATGTGGATTCTCAAACGCAGCATTAGTAGGATATGTAGCAATTATTAATCGATGACATCTGATGTGTCTTTGATAATCGAATTGTTGAGTTACAAATAGATTTTTGTGATATTCATTAAAATAATAGCTAATATAGTTTGAAATGAAAAATTTCATAATTGCTTGGAGCTCGTAAATCAGAAATGGACATACTGATCTCAAAAAGTATGTTTAATCAACATATTTGGATATTCTAATCAATTTTAATCGATAATTCTTGAAATCTATATGTCAATCATATATAATTTTGTTTGATATGCACTATTAGATTATTTGAATCGATTTTTTCAAAACCTTTTTTATCAGGCATTCCAAACTGAATGGCTACCAGTGGGTTCTGACCTCCGAGCAATTACTACTAGAGGGAGTCTTCCCCCCTTCCCCGCGCTAAATTTTGTTAGCAACATCTACTCCCCCCGAGGGGGAAAATACCTCTTCTGTAATTGGCTTATTTAATCAGCGTTGCCAAGTTTGACAGCGCCAGAAGTGTTCTGTGAGCGCCAGTTCTGACACTTTCTGACACATGTCAATTTCTTATTTGTATTTTACGGAAAATATTATTATTTATAACGTTGTAAAGATTGTAAATGTATATTTAAGATTTATTATCTCTAATAATATGGTGAAAACATGCTTTATGTGTAAAAGGCCTGTTGAAAATGCTTCTTCAAGATAATATCATAAGTAAGTACAGACACAACCTAATTATCAGAGGCGGTGCATTAGGCAATCACCTTTAATTTGCAATTAAACTTTTTTATTTTCTTAAATTAAAATTAAGAGCAAGTACACTCCAGCTACGTTCGTCTTCATCCGTCTCATAATGACTATAGTAAAGGTTAATTACTTATTATTATTTTAATATCACATCTTTGTAAAGTTTATTGTTATTTTTTTTAGATTTCCTTTTCTTGATATCAGAAAGAAATACATGGTTCCAAAATATAGGAATTCAACAAGTGACCACCTGAATAACTTTTTATGCTAATGCATTTTTATTACAGATCTCAGGGAAGGAAAATATTAAAGAAAAATGCAATTTCGACAAAAGAAGTATAATAATCAATCCTGTCACTACTTCTACACTATATTCATCTGCTACTAAAATACTAAAACAGCAAGTAAGTAGAGAAACTTAAGTTCCTTTCAAAAAGAATGTTTAAGGAAAAAGGCATAGCCATTTTTTTGTTGACACTTTTTTTTAACTAATCTAAAAGACTAATTTTGGGTATTGTTTAAATGTTCATTTTTTGTACTTAATTTGTTATAGGTTTAAACAAAATGAACTTCTAAGATATGCATGGAATATCCCAAAAGAGGAAGGTTTTAAAATTCTTAAGAAAACTATTCAGAGCCAAAAACATAAAATAGTCTTCCTGTCCAAAATATAAATAGGTATAAATATTTAGATATTATGAGTGATTTTTTATTCTATAAATAGAACATAATTTGCTTCTAAATCACTACCTAATTAACTATATTATATAGTACAAAACTAAACAAGAATATCAGATTATTCATATTTTTTTTAATTTCCTTAAAAAACGTGCCCAAAAAATTTGAATATTTATTATTGGAGTTAACATCGTTATGCTAAAACAATACTAGAACAACTTAAATAATGTGGATTTTGACTATTTTGAGTTATGCAGATCATTATGATCTAAAATAATGTTTGTCTGGTGCTATAGTCAGGTATAAAAACATTCATTTATTTAAACACAGTTGCAATATACATTTTATTTAGTTTTAAGTTAAAACCTATTAGGACATCCTAAAATTACTTTTTTCGTTTGATATGAGATTAATTATTCTACATTTTTGTTGGTGAAATAGGATATATTAAGATGTCTTACTGTTTTCTCTGATTATCTAAAAAGTTAGAACAATATACAAAGACTGTTATAACAAAAAAGAGATATACCTTTACTGAAACACACAATTAGTCAGTTCAATTGTACGATAATTTAAAGCAGAAATCCAGAAAACTTTAAAAATGTGTTTAAATGTGTTTTTACTATAACAAGGACATAATTATTAAAAAAACTTGGCACATTAACATTGACGATGGGTTTTAATAATATATCTTATACAAATCACAACAAACTACACAAAATGACATTATTAATAATTTAGTAATAAAAAAGTTAAGTACAATGATGACATTAAAAGTTGAGTTTCTCGAAATACTTTTTTTAAATTGTCTCAGTAACTACCTAGTATTTTTCTAGCACAATGATATTATATGAATGTGCATTGTGTGATATCTTATATTTTAGGAATAAAATTATATTTTTTTTTGCAGGTTTCTGTTAACAACGATTCCAAGAACTTTTGAAAATATTATTAAAACGGCATTTGCAAATATAATTCTCAATTAAAGCTTTTGATCTAACATTAAATTTTTATTCTCCATAAGGTTATAGCTTCCTAAGAAGAAAGTTTATCAAGACTTACCAGACTCAAAATTTTACCAACCAATTGATGGTTCTACTGGTTTCCATAGGAAAATTCTCCTCGAAACTACTAAAAGAAAAGTGGCAGAGGCAACCGAAGAAGGCAAAAAAGTCTTTTGCAAAACAAAAACTAGAAATTTGTTTAAGAATCTATTGTTTGAAGTTTTACCATTAATAATTTTTGATAACGATTTAAGATTATAAAGTTCTATTATGAATGTTACTCTTTGATAACCTATGTTTAAATTTTTATTAGGACCAAAATAAATTATAATTTTCACTTCAACTACAAAAACCCTCATAATATTAAAAAGGGGAAAAACGTTAGATTAGTTATGGTCAGGAATAAACTCTTTAAACATTTATCTACTTAAAATGTGTTACTTTTAGAAGGTATGTTATTAACTTTCTATTTGTACTTGTATTAATTTATTTCATTTTATTATCTGTTGTATTTTCAAATTGATTTTGATATTAATCTTATCTATTTATATATTTTTTATACTCACATATATGTTTTTTTCATTAAAACAAACGTTTATTAGCTTATTAAATATAATAAATTCATGTTGTTTTATTATATGCTTGTATGAATGATTACTTTTATTTCCTTTTAAAAATGAATTTCGAAGATAAAGCCGAAACGGTGAGTGAGAATAAAAATTAGACGAAAGTGACGATATTTACTGGAGCTTTCATCTACACGCTCCCTTTTCTAGCCATCTACACCTGAGCCAGCAAGATTCGTCTTCCCTCCATCCTTAAATTCTCCAGATTTACAGAGAAAACGCCGTCCTCTTTAACATATCCAGACCTTCTTTGATGGGGACTATACCACTATATTATCAGCTTTATTTGTTATCCCGAGCAATTTAAATGCATTCGTAATTGCTCATTCTCACCTCTTCTCTTGTAGATTCCGTACTCAGTTTTCTTATTTTTAGTTACGTTTGCACTGCTCTTTTATTTTCACAGCTTTAATTCTATAATGCTGTAACGCTACAATATGGATCCATTTATGTGGTTTATAGTATTTAATGTTATTCGTAAGTGACCAACCTATTATAATAATTAAAGATTATTGTATTACAGGCCTGAAGATGTTCCTGTAAGGCCGAAACTAGTCGCTCCTGTATTTATAATAAAATTTATTTTAAGGTTTTATTCTTCAATTGAAAAAATTAGACCTTTACAGTGATTTTGTTTCTTTTTCTGCATTAGACATATATATGACGGTATTCATTTTAAAAATAGTAAAATTAGCAAATTTTTTAGTTTTTTTTTTACAATTAAAACGTTTGGACAATGTGTGTTTTTATAGATAAATGATACGCCACTGAACAAGAAGGATGTTTACCTTCCCCCTTGTGCCCGCTTCCTCACTTCCTCTACAGATGTTGCTAACACAACAATCGCCTACAAACTCGTTTTCACGCTCCCTCTATTAGTAAATGCTCGGAGGTTCTGACGGGTTATGATATGGCAAAATTATGGCAACCCTGTAGGCCTGGTGATTTGACAAGGTCAATGAAATAGATAGTTACATAGATTGATCATCCATATTTTTCAAAATAAACATAAGCTTATGCCTAGAAGTAAAAAATGTAAGCAATTATTTTTTTTAAATATCTAAAGGCTAAAAATTGGTTTTAAAACACATTTTTGCTAAACCGATTCAAATTAATAAATATTTGCCAGGCAATATGGCCGCTCGTAAACGACCAGCTTTGAGCAATCTATATAATTATATATGTATCATTGACCCTGTTAATGACAACATGACAACAGGGTTGCCATATCTAAACTGTCATTGCCCACTGGTAGCCATTTGGACAGGTCGTTGGAATGCCTAATTACGCTGTAAACAGTAAACAAACAGTTGGTCTTGCATACATTTCTTTTCAGTGAACTAATGACAGCGAGTTGTACCAACACAAATTAAATCATCGAACCAGAATCGTCCATTTTTTAGTTCCTTACTATTTTCGACAATTTTATTCAATTTTCTGTTTCTTCTCTTCAAAGTTATACGAAATCGGTGTATCCTATTTTTCTTGGTCTCTAGGAATTTTCCCAAGGTTTAGACTAGTTTATCTACCATATTTACGCATTTTTTTCGGACATTTAAATTTTACGGTAGATATAAATTGTTTATGCAAATAAACTAAGGATTATGTTGTAAAATCAAATGTTTAGCACCTTGGAAATGTAATGTTGTATCAGCAGTGAGGAACTAAGAAAAAAAACGTATGAAAACAAAAATGTTTTACACGTCTTGAGCAACAATTTGTTTATATTTCTTTTTTTGTTTCCAATTCACTTATTTTATTTCTTCTTTTTTTCTTTTTCTGAAGAGTATCTAGAGTTTCTACAAAATCCAAATTATCTACGCCACCTTTTGTGATAACATTTTGGAAAATGTCAGTAGCATTGTTTTGGATTTAGTACTGAAGTTACTAATTATTCATTTTACTTTTTACCAACGGATTATATCAATATGGTAAGATAAGATTATGGAGGTATAGAATAAATTCCTAATTTCAGATTTTCCTGCTGAACCACCACACCCACCGAGTCAGACTATGTTCGAAGAACGCGAAAATAGAAAAAACGTAACGACTAAAGTGTTTGTGGAATCGATCAAAACTTTGCTACAAAACAAGGCGTTCATGTTGCACACACTTTGCTATGGATGCATTGTTGCAATATTTTCATCGATCGGGACGTTGCTCAATCAGTTTATTTTAAGTTATTTTCCAGTAAGTATCAATAGGAAAATGTATTTTTTAGTAATACATTCTTTGAATGTTTCCAAATATATCATAAAATTGCCCCTACGAAATAATGAATCTCCAAAGTAATAAATAATAATTTTAATAAAATATAAATAAAATTGTTTGTGGGGATTTGAACCTAATTATTTGTTTTCTACGCTGAGTCTTTAACCATTCGACCATTGGGACATAAATCTTCGACTGTAAGAGCAGCAGTGGCGTGCGGGGACATTTTTGGAAGGGGAAGAGATTGTATAAAAATACAGCAGGCCAGTAAGCACAACGCCGCAGGCAAAAACATTTCGCGGCGCATTCATCATTTTGTCAAAATCTTGCTTTTTTCCTCAGTACTAAAGATATTCGAGATTGAGATTTTTGAAGTGTCACTATTACTTTATTACCTACATAGTTCTAATGTTTTTTATTTAAAAAAGGTAACATATTATTATTTTTGTTATAAGTGAACACAAGTGTAATTTTAAATATATTACATTAAAGTATATGAATTACAGCGGCATATATTCAGTGTGTGCGGCAACCAACACTGGAAAAGCTCAAGTGAAAGCCTATCAATTAAATAAATAAGTAAACTGAAGATGCGCGAAGGGTGGGGTTCTACCCCTTTCATCAATGTTTACGTCACCCGTGTCTGCTGAAGATTAGCGCTTCACTCTAGCTATGGCGGTTGAGAGTCAAGGATGTGTTTAGATATGGACTTATTTTCCCTATGCCACAATAGTATTCACTGAGATGTATTTAGATTAAAATTATTATATGATATACATAGTAATTACTATCTAAGAGGTACTTACACTTCGATGAGTATGGGTACTTACCATGCTCGTTACACACTGCATGATGTACATAGTAAATACTCTCGAAGAGGTACTTACACCTCTATGTATATGGAGTAATGAGAGGTGCCATTACACTACGCAATTACACTTATTACAGTACATGTAAGTAATTGGGAGGTACTTGCTAATTGCGCGAAGGGTGGGGGGTGGGTACTTAGGATAATTACTAATTACCCAATTACCTTTCTCTGTACCTCTGACCTTGTTCCAGAACTGGCTAATCTCATCTACTATCATTGTAAGACGTCCCTTTTTTTATTCTTTCATTGTAAATTTTGTTGCTTATTTTTAAATGATTGTCCAAACTATGTTCAATGCAATAGGTCTCGAATGTTTTTTCTTTAATTGTAGCACTTATTTGAGATTTGCTATTTACATGTCGTTTTACACTTTTGTGAAAATTATTCAAGTCTGTAATGCCGACTGAGTTCCAATATGTTTTTTCGACTATATTAAAAAGTAGGCAAGGCCAGCAAAACAATTTCTTCAAAGTTTTGCAGCCGATTAACCATTCATACTTTTCCCCTACGTGAAAATGCCTGGTAAATTTCTTTGCTGATTTTTCTACTTTCGTCTCTAAATTGATAGGATCCTTTAGTCTATTAGATTTAATAATGTCCGTTTTCTCTTCAAAATTTCTATTTGAAAATCCTTTTTTCAATAAAGAGAACACAATACAGACACAATTTACCACATTATTATTGTTCACAGGCACAGTGCATAGTTCCTCTATTTTACAAAAAGATAAACAACTACGAAAAACAAACCGAAATCTACCTAAAATCTAAGATTTTCCTCACACGTCGATTCACGGTGCGAATTGCAATATGCGTAAGGCAACATAATAATCGCTGCCTCTCGACCGTATTTCACGTGCCCAAACAGACTGATACTGTCGCGGGAAAGCAGGGTCAATAACACTAAGCGAAATAACTTGCAAGATGAACTGGCTATTTCAAGACGCGCTTCTGCCGACGGACTCAAAGCATATGGTGTGTTTACACAATTAATTTTCTCATGGGTGGTGCGTGCGTTTACAAATTATACCAATGAATTGTTAGTACATTTACGAAGTTTACATAATGTTTCAGAGAAAATATAGTACCTAATTTAATATTAATTTCTATGCATTGTAAACTTAAAAATAATTATTTTTAAATTTCAAAGTATAGGGAAGCGGTGCTTCCCCCGCTTCCATGGACCGCACGCCCCTTGAGAGCAGGCAGTATAAAAATGGAAGGGGTGATTGTTATATAGGTATAATAAAGGTATATTTTTATATAATTTAAAATTTTTGGGGGTTGCGACTTGTCATATTTTAGAGAGGGTGAAATGGGGTACAATATTTAAGCTATTTTTCATTGGGACACCTTGTATTATTAAAGCTAGTCCTGATTTAGGATATTTTCAAAAAGTTAATAATCAAGCTCAAAATGAAAGTAGAAAGTATTGTATTTCATAGGATGTCCCGATATTTGACAAACCACGTTTGACAGATGATAGTTACGCCATCTTTTGAATCACAATAATTATTTGCTACGTTGTTAATTTCTTATTTATTTTTCTTCAAAATCGATTAATCTTTAACTATGGAAAATCAATAGTTTTCGATATATTTGACATTGAATGGAAACTATTTCTGTTTCTAAAACCAGTACCTTTTTTTCTTGATATTAAATTGAAAAATTATGTTGTTAAATATAAATAAAAATAATTATTACCTTTCCACTTACAGTTTTATCATATAAGTTTACTGTCACATTGTCAGTGGCGTACATTCAGACGGCGATTAATAATATTATATTTACAAAATAAAATATTTTCGACGCTTTAAAATATATTTTTAATATTCTTAGGAAAAATATTTTTATATTTACAAATAAAATGCAATAAGATGCAGGTAGCAGTTCTATCAGGATATTCAGTTGAATTGTTTAAGAAGAAGAGGTTGAGTGGTGTGTACACACTGGGTAATAAGAAATGAATCGAGAGTATTTAAAGTTTATTTTATTTTATTTAATAAAACTCTGTAAAAATTTGTCTGAGCGCTTTCGGCCTATTAAGCCATCATCAGAGACTTTATAAAAGAGAAAAAAAATGGAGCTGTAACAATATAGTAAACATTTAATAAAAAACAAAAACTTGTACACTTACTCGTCAAAAATTTAAGAATTGTTTAATATTTGTATGTCGCTTTTTCGTCATACATTTTATAAAAAAAAAAATTGTAGCTTGTCCCATTGCATGGTTACTTGACGATCACCCACAATTCTAGAATAGCCAATTTTATCATTGTTTTACCAGTTTTTGATTATCAATATAGTGACCAAACTTAGGACTTTTTTCTTTGTGTAAATATATATTTATGAATAATTTATTTATTTTTCAGGGAGCCCAAGAGGATGCAGGAAGGATGGGTTTAGTGATGATATTAACTGGAATGGTTGGATCGGTAATCACAGGGTTTGTTTTAGATAAAACCCACAAATATAAGTAAGTCATTATTTCTGCTTTTTTTTACTTTCTTATTTGCTTATTTTTAATTTTTTAGAGAGACTGCGTTTATTATTTTCCTGTTAAGCGCAGTTGCTATTGTAGGGTTTGCTTTGGCATTGGAATTAAACTCCAAATGGATGGTCTATTTAGCAATTGGCATATTTGGGTAAGTATCTGTATTGGAGACAACTTCCACCACTATTGTTTCATTAGTTACTTTTTATAACTTCAAGTTGGTAACTTTGACAACTCGGTTTCCTGCTGAATTTTATCCATAATCCATAATCATAATCATTGCCTTTTGAAGCAAATATGGCCTCGACACCATCAATAAATCCATTTTCGTTTCCTGCATGAAGAATTATATATCTATAAAAAAGATCAATATACAGTTAACATGTATATATTCATTAGTTTTTTTTATTAACCTTTTACCATCAACTTTTTTACTTTTTACACTTCTTTTATTGCTATCTTGCCAAGAACGGTTTATGGTGCCATTTTGGAAAATCCAAGTCTCATCAATAAAAACAAACTGGTACAAATTTGCTTCCTTTTCTTTGGTATATTTTCTTAAAAATTCTGCCCGTTTCACAGCAATATCTGGAAGTTCCATAAGACCTCGCCTTGGTTCATCTTTCTGCCATTTAAAACGTATTTCTAATAATTAGGTATGCAATGATGTGCAACATCCATTGAACAACTCCTCCTCATTTAGTTTCACCAACAAAGACTCTAAACTTACATGCTCCTCTGAAATCATACATTAATTTGTAATTGTTTAGTAATAATTTATATACATATACACTTACTAGACTCGTACATGCTATAAATAACATCTCGAATAGCACTGGTATTCAGAATTCTTGTGTTGGTAACTTTCTTTTGCCTAGGGCGCTTTTTTGGTGGTGATTTTAGAACTTCACTGTTCTTTACAGCTTGTGAAATAGAACTAACAGTAGAAAAATTTAGATTAAGTGCTTCTGCGACACGCTGAAACAAAATAATTATATTAATTTGACGGTGAAACATTATTAATCAACTCACTTCTCTTACAGCTGTTAAAGGTAACAAAGGCCCATTATTATCACGTTCTTTCTCAAAATAATTTATTAGAGAAGCCACTAGTTCCTTGCAGCGACTATTTAATTGTTTTGGCATTTTTCAATGAAAAAATACACAATAAACGAACACCACTGGTAAATTCCTAATAAATTTGTTCTGAAAAGAACAGTTTGTTAATAATTTAATTTAAAATACAAATAATTGAAAATAAATCGATCGATGCAAAATAATACAAAACAAATAACAATTGACAACAATGTATTAAAATTGAAAGCTGGCATATTTGATGCCAACTTTTATTATGAAATTCACTAGAAATTAATAATCTGCCTACAGTACATTTACTACTGTGATATGATAAAAAATACATTTTTAATATGCAATTTTATAAAAATGAACTCCATGCGTCTAAATTTATTCATTTATTTGTAAAATAAAATTTAATTATTTTTATTAGTATGTGTGGTACCAATGACTGTCACTGACGTCATTTCTGACGTGCATCGTTTTTTATATTGAATGCTCTATATGTATTTTTATTTCAGATTCTTCGTGACCGCTTACATGCCAGCAGGAATTGAATTCGCCACGGAAATAACATTCCCGTTTCCGGAAAGTACGGTCACAGGAATACTTATGGCCTCTTCGCAAATGTTGACGGTGATAATAACCGTTATTTTGGGAATAGTAATAGACAAATTCGGTACTCTATTCTGCTTATTATTCATGGCCGGAGTTCTTCTGGTGGGAACCGTCTTAACGCTTTTAACGCCGAATATATTGAATAGACAAGCAGCTTTTATGAAAGAAAAGTATTGTCAATTTACGCCAATCAAACAGTAAATAATCTCTATTCGACAGTGATGAAATTTTGTGATATTGAATAAGAAAGTTTTAGAGTACTACCGTGTAGGTGATGTAAAGAAGTGTTAACCAGATCTGCCATGAGTTTATTAATGACAGTTTTAAAGATATTGTAACTATAAGATCTAAATTATTGATGTATATTATTAGGAAATATATATTTTTTAAAAATTTTTGTTCTTTTGTTGTTCTACTTGTTAAAAAAATGAATTCAATTCTATAATATTTATTTAAAACAGTTTTAACACTAATACGCTAATTTATCACGAATGTCTTATACAGACTTTTAACAAAAATACTAGATTCTTGCCATGTACGATTTTTTGAGGAATATTAATTATTTGCCTGCAATACGTATACAAAAACATTTATTGTTGGTTTCCATAGTTTCATAAATAAAAATATTGTCAAGTTTTAACACCTAATCTCTTGTTAACGATTGAAAGTGTTCTATCTGACTCAATAATTAAATAAACAAATGCGTGGTTTATTAATATGGCTGTACAATATACCAATGTAGAATATACCGATATGTTACTGACATTAGGATTTTGTGAAGGAAATTCTCGAGAGAGTATCAGGGTGTACTCTGAAAGGTTTCTAAATCGTCGTGTACCTAGCCACCCAACTTTTGCTGTGTTTTAGAGACGTCTTCGGGAGACCGGTTCCTTTGCTCCAAACACTGTTGATAATGAAAGAAAACGTTTTGTAAGGATTCCTGAAGTTGAAGAAGACATTTCAGAATGTGTTGAAGAAGATCCAGAATTAAGCACCAGACGAATTGGAAGGGAACTAGGAGTAAGTAAAGATGTCGTTCATAAAGTGCTTAGAGAACAATTGCTATATCCATACTATAAGAAGCCAGTACAAGAATTATTAGTCCATGATCCTCAAATTCGTTTGGATTTTTGTGGATTTGTTAATATGCAAAGAGAAAGAGATCCAAACTTTGTCAAGAAGGTTCTCTTTACCGATGAAGCGGGATTTACAAGAAGAGGTATAACTTATACCCATAATGAACATGTTTATGCCGTTGAAAATCCGCATGCAATAAAGGTAAACCATTTTCAGCATGAATTCAAAATTAATGTGTGGGCTGGAATAATTGGTAATTTCATTGTTGGTCCTGTCATATTTCCACGAAGATTAACTGGAGAAAATTATTTGGATTTTCTACAAAATACGTTGCCAGAATTGTTAGAAGATTTACCTCTCCAACTTCGGAGAGATATGTGGTTTATGCAAGATGGAGCTCCACCACATTTTTCTTTAAACGTTAGAAACCACTTGAATGAACAATATCCACACAAATGGATAGGCAGAGGTAATGACGCACCTGTAAACTGGCCACCACGTTCCCCAGACCTAACACCGATGGATTACTTTTTATGGGGACATCTGAAATCCACAGTTTACAGGGAACCTGTAGAAAATGAGGAACAACTCTGGCAACGTATTCAAGATGCAATAAACAATCTTAGAAGTGATGAAGAAGTTATGGAAAGGATACATTTTAATTTTCTTCGTCGTATAAATCTTTGTATGCGTGAAAATGGTGAACATTTTGAACAATTTTTGTAAAATCTCTATTTTGATTATGTTGTAAATAAATATTTTTGTGAAACCTATACACTCTAAATTATTAAAACAGAAATTTAGCGAAAACCATGAGAGTAATCGAGTCTTATCAAGAGTACCTTTTTTAAAGTAAATGAGTTGCGCAATCTAAATTTCATACTCAAACTTCTTTTTTTTCATTGGCGTAGAATTTTTTAAGGTGCAATTATTTAAAAAATCAAGTTCTACGCCTATGTATTATTATCGGACAAAATTTTAATACCATTTTTTGCCACATAAAACTCTACCAATATACCAAATTTCAGCAAAATCGCATATGCTGTTTTAAATTTATATGGGAAAAAACGATTTAAAAATTGTAACTTCAAGGCCCTCTGGAGCCCAAACGAAGCAACTTTGTACTAAAGTAATTTTACTTAAATCGACTTATTTTGGTCTAAGGAATATGTGGTATATTAATTTACATTAACAATATTATTCTGCTCACATCGATATATTAACTTGAACTCTCCGTTCCAACAGCAAAACAAACTATACATTTATGTTCGTTCACACACCAGACAGCGGTGCCTGTTGTGTAATTTATAAATGTATCGTTACGCTTCCAGTATATTCCAGAATAATCTATAACTTCAACTGGCAGTTTTCATGGACACATAAAAGAAGGGGTTTAAAAGGTTTACTCACTTTATCAAATATTACTGGTAACTTGAAAATAAAGACAGCAAGATGCCCACATGAGACAGAGATAGACTTAAGACGTTGGCTACCAAGACACATTTCAGGATTAGATTTTGTGGTACCATATGAGTCTTTGGTTATACGTTCGTTTGGGTTTCCTTTTTGTATCGTGTGTATCACTGGTGATATTGGTTTTATTGCAATCACTTTTACGAACGTGCGGCTCCTATTTAAAAGAATTTCAACTAAAGAATCAGCACAGGAAGGGACTTAATAAAGTAAGAATCATCAGTGATATATGTAAAAATAATAGTTTATACAGGCCCGGGCTGAGTAAGTTCCAGTTATCAGAAATATATAAGTAAAAAAAACAAGTATTTAGTCAAATATGCGACCTGGGCTGTCACTCTAGACATAGGTATGTATAGATTTTTGTTCCTGATATTAGTTAGTTAGTTAGTTAGTTAGTTTCATATGAATCAAATATAGTTACTATTGTATGTGCACATTTATTTTAACAAAAAAAAAACAAAATTACTTGGTACACAACAGGATACTTCTTATTTTTTTTATGGTTCATAAAGTCAGTATCACATGTGATACAAACAGGGGCCAACGTGTTAGGTGATTAAAGCAGGAGTTCTTGCTTTAGGCATCAAACTCTTTCCAGTTTAATACTTTTAGGTAAGCCTATTTTATCCCGAAGTAAATTAAATTGAATTTTTACTACCTTTTTCTGGATGGTTTACATGTACTGGGTGTTTGATTTATTGTGAATATCAACTGTATCTCAGAAAATATGTGTCGTAGAATTTTGAAAAAAATTCATTAAAAATGTGGACAAGATCACATAAATCCAGTGATAAAATATCAATTTTTTTAAAAATTCCGTATGAAGCTAATTTAGAGAAATTAAAATCGTAATATCGTTTCCTATCGATAACTTTCATTAATTTTGAAGATATCTAACCGCTCAAAAACTTATTTTATAGAGAATTTCAAGAGCTCTACAGCCTGTAGAGTTGAACTTTCTTAAACTTTTCGTCTTAGAGATTTTTAAGTTTAAAGGGCTTGAGGAAGGTGGAATTTGAAGTCAATTGGAAACTAAAAAGGGTAATCTATTAAGTAAATGTCTACAATAATTAAGATTATGTGGATTTTTTTTACAATAGCCAAAAATAGCTTAATTTTTGAATAGATACCTTTTAAAAACTACTGTCTACGTATCTGTTCTATTTAACATAATTTATATATCATAACATAAAATAAATGTAATCATTAGGTTTTTAATTTTCAATAATTATCCTTTTTATATTAGTAAACAACTTTATGAATATGTTTAGAGATAGTTTGTAATAAAAATTAAATTAAAAAAATGAATGTGCCGGTAGAAACTGCCGAACTTATACAAAAAGAGTGCCAAACTGATGTTAAAGTGTACAAAAGAAGATGGGTGATATTGTTTATTTTTATTTTATACGCTTTAGGAAATTCTTTTCAATGGGTGGAATACAGCATCGTTACAAATCTCGTGATTAAGTATTACAACGTCAGTTCATTAGCTGTGGATTGGTCGTCACTTGTTTATTTGAGTATTTATCCAGTTTTGCTACTTCCGGCATCATATATCATCGAAACACAGGTCAGTACAGTTTTATATCTTTCAACGGTTTCATTCCTGCGTGATTTCAAGAAATACTTGTTCTTTCAACAATTGTAACAACCACGAAGTCTCAAGAACCACCGCATGTCATCAAATGAAACAACCAGAAAGCCTAAGGACCATAGTCACCTACAACTTTCAAATCGATTTTACTCAAAACGACATTTACAAAACACATTACTTTGTTTCGGGACTTAGGGTCCCGAAAACGAGAGTTCTGAACCTCAGTCCTCACTCGAGTCTTTGTTTTATGTCTCGTATCTCTATTTAAATCCAAAATTTAGTTGTATTTGTTAGAATGCCAAAGTTTTACCTTGAATTCTCTAGTTCAATGTAAGCCAACAAGGTGAGTTGAAAATGTGCTCCGTAAAATCTGTAAAAATTAAGTAAATAATCAAAAATAATTGCCCTTGCTTCAAGTTCAGGTCGTTTAAAGGCTAGTTAGTTCATGTAGTTGCGAATCGCGAAGGTTGCTGCCATTGGTCAATATCACAATAATGACAAGATGGAAATTTTGACAGCTCGAAAGTTGAATTTCTTGCGAATTCGCATTATTCAAAATCTGGGGGGCAAGAATCTTGAAATCGTTTTAATATTTTGCGAATGTCGCACAAATTTTATGTGAGCGCAAGCGTAGTAGCGCCTACTAGAGTTTGTTCATTTGTTGTGGATTATGATATAGGTTATACCACCGACCTTTTATTATTGTTTAGCAGACATGAATCGGGGTTATGTCACTGAACTATATAGGGTTATGTATTGTGGAATAATACCAACTGCCGAATATGTTTTAGTGAAAATAATAATATCCCCAGATTCCTGTCAATACATTCGCAGGTACATGCATTGACATAAAAAAACAATATATTTTTTTGCGAAATTTCGCTTTCGCTATTCGCATCTACATGAACAGCCTTGAGCCCTGTGGATGTCTTCATGGAAAGCCAAAGCCCCAGGATTGGGATCACAATTTGCGGGCAATGTATGTTTTCTTTCAAATCAGTATGTGATGACCTTATTTGCTTGTCTATATAAGTTATTATATTAATTTTAATTTTTTAGGGTTTGAGGACGACTGCGCTCATAGGCGGAGTCGGTACTGCTGTGGGCGCCATTTTGAAGTAGATTTTCTATCAGGCAAGATCTATTTTATGTGGTGCTATTAGGCCAATCTATAGGATCGGCTTCTCAAGTATTTATTTTATGTTTGCCGCCAAAAATTGCTGCCGTATGGTTCAAGCCGTAGCAGAGGTATGGAGCATTTTTTGATTAAAAATATTATAATTATATACAGGGTTGCTGGTTGTTTACAGTTTTCTTTATCGATGTAGTTCAATGATTTGCAATGATTATAACAATAAACTTTATTTCATAATCAATCATAAAAAAGCCGAGAGGATGTTTATGGATTGATCTTGCACTCTTCCTGCTCATCTCCGATCGGCAGGGTTGTCAACTGTCAATATATGCGCGTTCACATTGTCCGCGGTACGTTCGTGTTTTGCGACACAGGATAATCGCGACAGTTGCCACTATTTAGTTGAAAAATGTATTACTATGTGCTAAATCATTGATTTAGTATGAAACTATAAAAAGAACATTAGTTAGAGAAAAAATAAAAAAAAATAACTGTTATTGAGAATGGTTTACAAAAAAATAGTAGCATAATCCATTATGTGTGATACCGCGCAAGTATGCAAAAGTGATTAATATTAGAAATAGTAAACAATTCCATCTCAAACGTGACGTGACAAAGGCGTGAAATGAAATAGAATAATAAATTCTCGAAGTCCTATATGTCACAAAATATTAAAAGCGACCGTTTTTTCTCAAGAAAATAACTACTCCTTTGACTAAAGTGTTGCATAAACCTTATCTGCAGCAACATATTAAACTTTATTTATTTATAGTCCACAATTTATTTTTAACTTTGTTATTTTATGAATTATAGCTTCAACAATAACTGTTTTATGATTTTCTTAGGTATCTCTAGCAAATTCTTTGGGCGTTTTAGGAACTCAAGTGGGTTTTGGTCTCGGCTTTCTGGTCCCTTCGATGATTGTACACGATTCCGACGATTTAAATTCCATTGGTGCAGATTTTCGAACACTCTGTTGGATTCTTACTATCTATATAATTCCAGTAGCAACGGCTATCATATTTTGTACGTACGAAAATTCGTTTTTCCATCAAACAGCTCAAGTTATTAAATGTCTTTACAGATTTTCCTAGATATCCTGCGCTACCTCCCACCATAGCTCAAGCTGAGTATAGAAAATTACAAAAACCGACGTTCAAAGAGTTCTGTTCGAGGTTTTCCAATATTTTGAAAAAACCAGGAATGATTTTGCTGACGGTGGCCTATGGAATAAACTTTGGAAGCTACGCAACCTTCACTACATTTTTGAATCAGTTTATTTTGCAATATTTTGAGGTATGTAAGTAACATTTTATTATATCTTTCAAAAATAAACAAAATTTCTTTGGTATGATCGGTCCAATTATAGTTTTTATTTAAATAGCACTACATCTTCTGGTGCAGTCATAATTAATTTTTAAAAACATTTTTACATTGTTTGTTATGTTCTAACATTGCTGTTGGTTAGTGGGAAAGGTGGTCTTGTCGAGAGCACCTTCTATGTCTATGGAAACACTTTATTGTCAAGGGATCTTCCTAATCAGCCAGCACCAAGCAAATTAGGCTGAATCAGTGGATCTAAAATGTCTTCATGGAAATGATGTCAAGCTAAATGGCTGGTATGTTTTTGGAACAGTGTAATCCATCCTTCCAGGTTTGGGTATGAAAACCACTTTTGTTTATGTCCATTTTTTGGGATATACCTCAGAGCCAACCATGTACGATATGAGCTCTACTGAAGTTGGGCTGGATAGATACCGTCAAGTCTTGCCGATGTAAATGGGGGGAAGTAAAGCTAGTTATTCAAACTTCAAAATAATAGTTGTTTGAAAATTGGTGACACATATTTATACCATCAACATCAAAAATAACTTACTAAAAGATACTGCCCTACTTTTTGTTTAGGTCTGATATCGTCAGAAATAACCCCATGCCAGAAATGAAATCTTTATAAAAAAAAAGATTAATTAATTTAGATGCTGTGCTGGTTGACTAGTTGATTCAGTTAAAACTTGATGACATTTATATGACTCACGAAAGTTAATTAAAGTATTAATTGGTCATAATTAAAATGAATTGGACAATTTTAGAACTGCTACTAATTTATGAATATTAAAATCAATTCTTTATCATTAATACATTTTTAGAATATAAAATAAATATCTTATTAAAATGCCTTATTTTTATTTCAGAACAACCAAAAAGACGCAGGGACGATGGGACTACTATCAGTAGCAGTAGGAATAGTTGGAACCATCTTGGTCGGGATATTTTTAGACAAAACACACAAATACAAGTAAGAAGCAAAATATGTTTTAATTGTTTACACAACAAATAATAGAAACAGAATTTTATTTCAAAGGAAACTGCAAATTTGTCGTCTCAACAGTCTTAGGGCTAGTCACAGAAAATGAAATGAAAGCCCTAATAAACTCATTAAAAACAAAAAATCACCGGGGATAAATAACGTATCATCTGAAACAATTAAAATTCAAGCTGACAAAATAGCGCCATTACTTTTAAATATAATCAATCAAATTTATAAATCTGGTAAATGTCCAAAACAATTAAAAAAAAACAGTTATTACGCCTATACATAAAAAAGGTCCAAAAAGTCTAATTAATAACTATAGACCAATTTCTTTAATTACAACCATTACAAAAATCTTTGAAAAAACACTTATAAACAAATATATTACTTATATCAAAATGTCAGTACGGTTTTCAAGAAGGTTTATGTACAAGTGATGCTTTTTCAGCTTCATTACAAAAAGTTTATACAGCTGGAGATGAAACCAAACCATCTTTATGCGTATTTCTTGACCTTGCAAAGGCTTTTGACACTGTGAGCCACCTACAATTGTTAAAGGCTTTGGAAGATTCAGGAGTGCGTGGCCTTACACTAGATCTCTTAAAAAGTTATTTGTCTGATAGAGAACAGATGGTAAAAGTTGAAAATTAATTAAATGCAAGTCAAACAGTTAAATTTGGAATACCCCAAGGAACACTGTTGGGTCCTTTACTATTTTCAATTTGTAGTAGTCGTATAGTCTCAATTTTTCTACCAAGTTCCCAGAGTTTCCTTTTAAAAAAAAATATTTTACAAAAATCTCCCTGCACAATTTCTTGGCAAACCAGATAGAACTCAGATAGTGCTAGTGAAAAACTGAGCCTATACAACTAAAAAACACAACGAAAATTTTTTTTTCGAATACACCTTCAAACGATGTGAAATAGAAAGATGGCGTTCTTTTATTTTAAAAATTTTTAAACTGTTTGTATTCGTCCCTATCATTTTATTCATTGACTGCACCTAAAGATGGAAAAATGTGTACTTTCCGAAACATATGTAGTGTGCTAAACAATAAAAATAAAAACACTTGACCGATAAAACCAAGGAAAATTTTTATTTTTAGAAAAACAGAAAATTATGCTGCGCCGGAATCTTAGACAGATTGCCGAAATGATCATTTATAGTTTCCTTTGAAATACAATCCTGCTTCTATTGCTTACTATATAAAGTGATAGATGGCGCAAATGACTTTCCAACAGCAATATGTCTTTATGGTTATTTTATCCTTGTTCTTTTTAATTTTGTTTGAAGTATATTACGTTTTTATTTATTTATTTATTTATTTTTATTAAAGCCAGGATTTCTTTTAATTAGTAAGTTTTAAATTTTATAATTGGAAATTTCTTATAGAGTTCTAATGATGACTTAATGCCGAAAAAGTTTAAATAAATTGACTAAGAGTAAGATTACAGATTCTGCACCACTTCTGCAACTTTGCAAGATACAAGTAAATGTACTATAACTATAAAGAGTCAAGTATCCTTGACTTGCATCTGTAAGTCCGCTATATCTGCAGATCTACAAAGTTGTAGACGTGGTACATTTTCTGTAATCTCACCCATATTCTCCAATTCTGCACACTGAATACGTCTGTCATTTGTTATTTCATTACATTTTTCTTATTAACGAGCAGTGTTGCCAGTTTGTTACAATTGTAACAAATCTATTACATTTATGAAGGGTTTGTTACATTATTGCATTTTCAGTAAATCTATTATAATTTCAAAATTTATTACAAGTTTGTTTCAACAATAATCAGAAACCAGTCACTGACACTAGGATTCTGCGTAATAGATTATTGGGACCGCCAAATTATCTACTGCGCAGAACCTTGCTGTCAGTGACTGGTTTCTGATCGTTGTTGGAACAGAACTTCCATTTTCAGTAACCTCATCTACCAGGATTTGATTTTTTCTCTAATACATTTGTAATAAATTTCATTTCTTTATTTACCAATTCATTAATTGATACTGAAAAACGTTCACATAATCTTTGTTTTGGTTCACTTTCATAACCAGAACCTTTGGAAGAGTTCTGGAACGTACCCCCACCTTTGTGTGTTACAAATAAACGCTCAAAATAAAACTGCGTATGAGTCTGATAGTCATGTACTGATCTAAAACTCTTGTTGGACCAAATCTTATGAAAATATTTTTCAATTCCAGGGAAACCAATGTATTCGTTTGTTATATGACAGCCATCAGCATGCTGGCAATGGCTGGAGCAATGAAAATGCAGAACATGGTCTTAACTTATATCGCTTGTATATCAGTTGGGTAAGTAAAGGAAGTCAGAAAGGATATGGAGGTGGCATGACAGTATGAATGTATAATACAATATTTCGTTCTGTTGGCAGTTTTTTCGTGAATTCCTATTGGGCAACAGGATTCGAACTAGGAGTAGAACTGACATTTCCATCAGACGAGAGCACGACCTCCGGGATCTTGACAGCAATGTCGCAAGGTACAGGATTCTTGGTTTGTTGGGCAATGGGGCCTTTTAACAAAAATTTTGGAGCTTTTTGGAGCATGATAACCCTTACAACGATTTTTTTAATCGGTGCCGTTCTTACGCAATTAGTGCCAAACATAAAAAGGAGACAAGAGGAATTTCAGAAGAACATAAACGAGGCAAAAGATATAGTGATGCATAAAGTTTAAAAGGTTTTTTAATTAATTACTTATTTATTTTATATTTGTAAAATATTTTATAAAAAATATATACAATTGTAAAGAAACAAATTGAACTTATTTAATATTTATTTATTTATTTGTGCTATTTTGTTACTAACTCTAACTAGGGGGCACCAAAATAGAGAACCGCACGAGGGCACTCAATAATTAATTCATTTTTGATTGTTTTGACGTTGTTTAGATTGGTTTTATCTAATAGAGGTATGGTATGATGCCATTTTTTGCTCAGTTTTCTTATTGTAGAGATTGGGTTACTTATTTCCTGTTGTTTGCTATACCAATAGGTGGAATATTATTCCATACTGCTTCGTGTATATTCACAACAAGTAATTCTACTTCTTCATCTAGCTATTTTACTGTTTTTAAGAAAGTGAAAGGTTGATTTTCTTTTAAATACTTTTGAACAGACACCGTTATAGCTAATTCTTTTTTTTTATTATTATTATTATTATTATTATTATTATTATTATTTTCCATCCGCCTCTGGCAGTTACAATTTTATATAAATCATTATGATTTTTCGTTGTTTCTATTGTTTTATGATAATGTTTAATAACTTAATAAATATTGACAAAAAATAAAAGATCGACAATGATACTATAAACACCTTGCTCCTCATAAAAGATTACATATCATTACAACATTAAATTTAATAGAACAAGTCACATTAGAAGCAGTTAAAATTATGCCATCCGCAAGCACCGACCTTATCAAAAAAGAACGCCGCATTGATGTTAAAGTGTACAAAAGAAGATGGGCGATACTGTCCATTTTCATTTTATACGGTTTGGGTAATTCTTTTCAATGGGTTGAGTACAGCATCGTGACGAATGTGGTTGTTAAGTATTATAACGTCAGTTCATTGGCTGTCGATTGGTCAGCCATTATTTATTTGTGCATTTATCCTGTCATTTTTATTCCCGCTTCTTACATCATCGATACACAGGTCAGTATAGATTTATATAAAAATGGAATATAGGTGACTAATAATATTTTTTAAATAAAGAATTAAAACTCAAACTTAATACCACATCAAATATCGTATAATATAATATTAATAAACAATTTTTAAATAATTGTGACAGGCACCGATGTATTTCTAGAATTACCCATAATCCTCTTATGCAACGGCGAAACAATGATTTAAATTCAATAAAATTTTGTTTTTTCTTATTTGAGGATAATATTTTTTATGGTAATAAGAAATAAATTCTGAACAGATTGTAACTTATCTATATATACTAAGTAAAAAGAATTCCAAATTAGTGATCCAAACATGAGTACACTATTAACGTAAGCCATATATAAGGCTCTAATTGTATGAGGATTTTTAAATTTGTAACATGTTCTTAAAATTAAGTCTAATGCTTTATTTGCTTTACTAGTGATAAATGCTTTTAACCAGCCTAATATTCCCTTTATACAGTTTTTCTTAAGTGATGGTTTATGATGGTATTAACTCCCTAAAAGATAAATTGAGTTATGGTCTAGATGGAATCCCTGCTTATTTTTTGTAAATTTACTCTTTCCAAACCACTACAATTTTTATTTAATTCCTCTTTGAAATTACAACAGTTTCCTGCAAAATGGCGTGATAGTTTCATTACCCCCATATTTTAAAATGCTCAGAAAGATGACATAGTTAACTATCGCCCTGTAGTTTTACTTTCTGCAATACCTAAATTATTAGAATTATTGTTGTATAAACCTTTGTCATGGCATTGCAAAAACATTTTGATCAAACAACAGCATGGGTTTATGGGAAGTCTACTGATACAAATTTACTGCTCTACGAACATTATATCATTTCTGCCTTCGAGAGGGGGTGTCAGGTTGACTCAATTTACACTGACTTCTCGAAGGCATTTGACACGGTGAACCATGATTTGCTTTTAAGGAAACTAGTGAAATTCGGGTTCCCAAACTACTTAGTCAAAGCTAAAAGTTTTACTTTAATTCCAATAAATGTAAGTTCAGGTGTGTCCCCCAGGGATCTCATTTGGGACCATTACTATTTAATATATTTATTAACGATGTGGCTTCAGGATTTAAATATATCGATTTAGGTTTAAAAATCAGCTGAGGGAGTACTTATCATAGAAATAGTATAGAAAGCCGATTCCATATATCAAAAATGAAACCATAAGGAGAAAATAGTGTGTCGGAGCTCATGCGTATAACGGTGCTGGTGCGAACAGGACCGGTGCAAGTTTTTTATTGATCGAACAAATAGTTCGCACGATATTTCAATCATACATTTTTAGAGATGATTATATACAAAAAACGATTAAAAAAATTTCAAGTTAAGGTAAATATGGTTTTGACAGTCCTTATTAAGAAAGATATGGCATAAAATATGAATTAGTTAATTTTCGGCAATCATTAGTACAGTAGTCATGAGATTTTGCTTGTGATTTTAAAAATACTTTCCAGAAAAACCACGTGCTCCGGTTTTGACTACGTTTATTATTAAACAGCGAAATTATATACAAAAACTTTAATCCACAATCTAAATTAGGTACTATCACAAGAAAATCACTGTTACAATAATTAATTACTTAACCAAAAACTAAAATACTTTTTAGGTACCTACGTAACCAGAAAGGAGCTGGACCATTTATCCTAATATTGATTTTCTCTCTCCCTACGGTAAAACTTAAAACAATAACAAATTGCCTATCTACTAGGGTCGGTAACTAAACGTATATACATAATGGGCGGATTTTGTTTATACTTAACATTACACTCGCGCATTTAAATATAACTATGCATATAAATATATACAAACAAAGATACTTTTCCAAACAGGCAATCATTAGTACTGTAGTCACGAGATTTTGCTTGTGATTTGACATCTTATTTGATAATATCATTTGCTACAACTAAATTTAATCTGGGGAGTGCAAAATAGGGCCCAGGAATATTATGTTCGATATTTTTTTACATTTTATCAGCCGAGACTATGAGTCGTTAGACAGAAAACCTTTCATGTTACCATTTTCAATATAACTTAAAAAATTAAAAAATACTACTACATTTACTTGGTACATATTTTATTTTAATTTTGAACCTTTTTAAAAGGGTCTTTCGGTTCCATAATAAAAATTAGTTGCTGCTTACTAGAAACATTCTATATAGCCTAAACCAATTTATAGTTTGTTTTCGATCAATTTAATACAAAGATTTAAAGTTTTTAGTCGATGATAACATTCCACACCAGCACATTGCAAACCTATTTTATAAATAATAGGAATAAACTTGTAAATCATTAATTTGGTAGTTATCTCATATGATTTTTTTGTTTATATGACTATTTCGATTTCTAAATATATTTTGGCCTTACAATACGAAGCGTTTTGTATCTACCACTTTTTTAATGAACGATGAATGTTGGCAGGCGTGTACCTTTTTCGGAACAAGAGGCGTTTTAACGAAGAAAATGATTTTCGAACTATCTAGTTAGTTTTCGGAAAAATAGGAAACGTTTGAAGAAAGTTGTCAATAACAGTTTGTCGTTCATGTGTTTCATTTTGATCAGCTTTCATACTAAATTGCGTAGAATATTTTTCCGATTCAAAATCGAGATTCTCGATATTTCCACAGTTTATTTATAATACCTTCCAAACAGGATTTATCTATCATTTTATATACTTTATAATATATGTTCATGCCCTACTTTTCACTTTATTAACAATTTTTTTTTAACATACTTCAAAATGGTATGATATTCTCAATTCGTTGAAATATTTTTTTATGTATGTTGAGCGATAATTCTTTACCACGTTGCCCGATTTCTAGGATTATTTTTGTTAGAAAAGGAAACAGTTTTATATACATTAAGTCAAGATCTGAAGATGGGATCCATAAGAAAATCATTAACATCTTTATTTTTAAAGTAGGTTTTTTTTTAAATTTCTTTAAACCTTACTGGTTCGAACGCGGTAAGGAATGAAGAAATGTAAATAATTGTTGTGCCAGCCAAAAAGCGAAGAGGAAGTACCGATTAAAATATCGAGTGACAGAAGAGTTCCTAAGATTGTTGAGATCGGGTTTATGTTTTAAAATGCCTTAAAACCGATATCGATAATGTCTCCCCGTCGCTGGGCAGCCTGTATATAAATATACAGCTCTCTATTTACATAATTATAATTCTTAGGTAGGTTTAGATCTGCAGACATAAATCTTGTAATAAATATAACAGCTGCCTAATATATTGATTACATTTTCATTAGCCAATGTAAAAATGTCTTTTATTGTACCAAGGATTTGACTAAACACTACACAAAACTAAAAATAAAATGCCACTTTCATCGTGTAATTAATGCCGCGTTTGAGAATCCACATCGGATGCATTTTTTACATCTCGAGCGTTTTTTATCCACATCGGACACATCTGTCCCATTACATTTACGTATACTGAATCACGTGATCGAAGATTTACTACTTACTACATCTCAGATGCATCCGATGTGGATTCTCAAACGCGGCATAAACAATAAACTACAAACGGTCCTGTAAGGGCAGCGTCATATAGCCTTGAAACACCGGATTTTAGTGCTATTGCCAGGTCAATATTGAATTTGTAGGTGAATCGCTTATTGAACATTAAAAATACGGTATTAATGACATTAATACGGTATTTGTATATACTTTTGGGAATGTAATTACACATAAATATTATTAGTTGATTATTTAAATGTGTATAAGTTATTTTGTGGCGATATTTCGTAGATATAAACTGTTTAAATCATATAATTTAAAAATTAATTAATTTAAAATTCTTTTCTGTTAGGTATGTTTAATATATTTGGCAACACTACAGGGACAAGTCATGCATATTGCGCAAGCTTCTAGACACACTATTTTGCGATGTCAGGCGCAGAGACGCGTTTTTATGCACAGTAGGTTTCAATTTATGCTTAAATGTTATGTTTATATTGGTCTTCTATATTATTTCTATGGTACTTATCGAGTTAGCTTTTGTAGGAATATGATGAGTGTAGCATAGGCAACCAGTATCACACATGTGTGTATATCATGTTGCCTATATCTTAATTATTAGAGTGAGTTGTATGCGCAGGTCAGCGCCACTGCAATGGCGGTCCTTCGTTGTTGTGGAGGTCATGTCATGCGGTCTCGCTGCTTTTAAGACATATTCGTTGTATCGATTGGAGTAAACTCAGTTTGCTACGTTATTATCGTGTTTTATTACAATTTTATATTATTTCTTACACTTTAGCTTTAGGTTTTTTTTTCTAAGTTTTTGTGATATTTAAGATACTTAAGTTTTTTTCTTTTTTGTGTGATACTTTAGATTAGGTTTAAAATATCTACTGATAATAATTATTTTGTAAAAGAAGATTTTCCGTAAATAAATAGAATAAAAATAAAATAATATATATGCTCATCAAACAATAATTTGGAGTCGAGAAATATACCCAAGTCCTTTACTTTATCCACTGGTTGAAGTGCAGATCCATTAATGATGTAACTGTTATGTAAATAAGTGTTACTTCGAGTAAACTGTATATAACTACACTTAGATGCATTCAAAGACAAATTATGTTTTCTACAATGATAAATTTTTAGATCGTCAGCGTACATGATAAATTTCGCGAATTTAAAGCAGTTACATATATTATTGACATAAAGGTTAAAGAGTAACGGACCAAGATGAGATCCTTGTGGTACTCCTGATGTAGAAATGATAAATATAGATTTGTATTTACCCAATGCTATCTGTTGAGACCTATTTATTACATAATAGTCAAACCATCTTAACAGATTTCCGTGTACGCCGACCTGAGCGAGCCTAGATATTAGGATAGAAAGGTCAATTTTATCAAAAGCCTTACTGAAGTCGGTATACAAAGAATCTACCAACATTCCGTCATTTAAACTTTTCAATATGTATTCAACATAAACAAATAAATTAGTTTCAACCGATCGTTTTTTAATAAAACCATGTTGTTCAATGTTAAGAATATTCTTGACATCACAAATAGAAAATCGAAAATTAAATTTTCAAATAGTTTACTTAATATGTTAAGTTTTGATATAGAATTGTATTGACACATACCAGTTAAGGATATGGTGTCCACCAATAAACTAGAACTAGGATCACTATAATTGTTTGGTTTGTAGTAATTATCGATAGTATCTTTAAACCACTTTATTTGTGGTAAATGAAAATAATATAGTTATCATTTATGTTATTTAGAAAAATATGAAGAAATTTAGTGCAAAATAAATTTAGTGTCACCTTGTCTCTTGGAGGTATGTAAATACAACAAATATGAACCTTGTATCGTTTTTCGCGGTTGGGTATTACGGTGACCCACACATCCTCAGCTTCAGAGGTCTACGAGTTCTCAGAGAAACTAAAAATTTCATTTGACACTGCTATTAAAACACCTCCACCACACAATTTGTTTGAAGAGCTTGATTCCCAATCGCGACGATAAATTTTGTATAATGTAGAAATTTTTTCAATAGATATTGATAAAGAAAGCCAAGTTTCCGTTAAACAAATTATATCACTTTCGGAATTTAATAGATTTTAATTCAGCACATTAATTTTGGTAGCACTATATAATGGACATATAAAAAACTTTTAGTAGTAATTAAAACGTAAAAGTGTTGATTCTCTTTAAGCCGTTTTACCTCCAATTTATTAGATTGATATGATAAAAAAAATAAACTAATACAACTAATCATATACCTGTCTCACGCTACGACACTGACTTATTTAATTGAATTAATACCTAACTGGTTTGTTAGCCTTCCCAGACCTTCTTGGTATTGACGAGTTTATCGCTGATTCAAAGTATTTACCTAACTTTTCTAGATATAATATTTGTACAAGGAGTAAATCACAATAGAATTACATTGTTGCCGATTAACCAGAGTGCAATTCGCAAAATGAGTTACCATCTTAAAATTGTTTGAGTATAGTTTATGCTATCTTCAGGAATGTCCTACGTTAATCTTAATATAAAATGGAAAAACAAAATAATAGTAACTTACCATTAAATAACTTGTTAAGAGTTGGTATGTAATAAAATTAAATGCAAGAAATTACCCTTTTTTAACATTCTGTATATTAGACTTTTTGAGTACTATAAAAAGTACGGATAGATCCTTTAATTTTATCAATTTTACATTTTTTGAACGATATAACGAATACAATTTTTTATGTCAGGGTTATCTAATTTTTTAATTTATTTTTCAGGGTTTACGGACGACAGCTTTAATAGGAGGTATCGGTACTGCTCTAGGTGCTATTTTGAAACTATTTTCCATCCGACAAGATCTATTTTATGTAGTACTATTAGGTCAATCATTAGGATCAGCGGCGCAAGTTTTTATTTTATGTTTACCGCCAAAAATTGCTGCAGTATGGTTTAAGCCTAGCGAGGTACAACATTTTTATTCCAATATCATTAAATTAGTAACCAAGTTTATTAAAATCTTAGGTATCTCTAGCAAATTCTTTGGGCGTTTTTGGAACCCAACTGGGCTTTGGCCTCGGATTTCTGGTTCCTTCGATGACCATACACGATTCTGATGATTTAAATTCCATCGGTGCAGATTTTCGGAAACTGTGTTGGATGCTCGCGATTTATATGGTACCAGTGGCTGCAGCGATAGTATTTTGTAAGCATCAAAGTCGTTTTTGTTAAAAAGTTCATGACTGGTCTTTACAGATTTTCCCGATAGTCCTCCGTTACCACCAAGCAAAGCTCAAATTGAATGTAGAAAATTACAGAAGCCCACTTTCAAAGAATTCTGTTTGGGTTTCGTCAAGATTGTGAAAAAACCAGGAATGATCCTACAGACAATGGCTTATGGAATAAACGTTGGAACTTATGCATGTTTTACTACGTTTTTGAACCAGTTTATTTTGCAGTACTTTGAGGTATGTAGGTAAAACTATCTTTATATGAAAACCCCTTCCTGTATACCTAGCGATTGATTATAATTATCCTTAGCTGATTTTAAATCAAAAGACTTACCTATTGGAGCTGCACATTCCTCCTAAAACAACGTACAAAAAATGTCAAAAGAAACAAAAATGAACCATTAAATTATAAGAATAGGTCGCTCCCTCACTTCAAAAATGACACAACGCAAAATTCACATATTTTGAGTTAATACCATGAATCTAGCAAACAATCCTACACTAAACATCAAAATTATTTTAACTTAGCTTAAAAGTGACTCATCTAAATGGCGCTTGTATCATTTTTGAGGTTTTGATGGTTGTTTAATAATCACATTTATATTATTAAATAAGAGTGCAAGTGTTTACAGAATAAGATAAATTTAAATCAAAATACTCACCATTTAAAGACGCTCATTCTGTCCTATTTGTTATTCCAGTATTTCTTACCACTTCTTCATATTGTCCATTATATCCAGTAGATTATCCCGAATAAACGCGTCCGGAAATATCTTCTATTCCCGACGATATTGATGGTCTTCGTATCATATTCAATTCTATAACAAGCCTTTGATACGTTAGATTTTTCAAAATAGACGTATCGCAGGCCAGTATATCTGCAGCCTCGTCCATTTGATCCCATAAGGTACATCCAAAGACACTATAATGTAAATCAAAGATCTACATTAAACATCAAAGGACGTATACATTCTAAGATAAAACGTCTTTATTGTTAGAAGTGAAATGAACATGAACTCGAACCAATAATATCGTGCTACCGATCAACTCGAAAATTTTTCGTCGATTTAATTTTTTTACGGAAATTCGCTGAAAATAAAAACAGCAGTCAATATAAATGATTTAAAAGGGGAAAAAATTTATTAAACTAACCTAAAATTGCAACTTTTTTTTTCAACTGGAGACCTTTAAAAGTAAAACATTCTAATCAAAGAATGACATATCGTCAGTTTTGAACAGAATGGTGAATTCTCCAAAAACTAGAAGTTCCTGGAGAGTTTATTAAAGTTTTAGTAGTGTGAATATTAAAAGAAAAACACTATAACGCTTGAGTTTTCATATAATAAATTAATGGATAATATTACTTATCATTAACATTGTTTTTTAGGGCATCTGACCAAATCTATACTTTTTTAAAGCAAAATATCCTGTAGGTAGTTATACATATTTGATTGTTTTCAGATCAAACAATTTTAATTGACTTCATTCATTTGTTATGTTATATATAGGGTGTGTCAAAACGTGAGGTTACCATTTTCTCAATTTTTTATATAGAATACGATTAATTAATTAGTAGTAAAATATATAAATTTTATATTTTATTTAAAAATTTTAGATAATCGTTACTCTGCATTTTGACACACTCTGTATACAACCTAGCACATAAATGAAGTCATTGAAAATTGTGTGACCATGTGAAAACAATCAAATATGTATAACTACCTGCAGTGTGTATTGCTTTAAAAATGAATAAGTTTGGTCAGCCCCTCGTTTATGGACCACCCTGTATATTTAAGAATATTTATTTAACATGGTCATGCAACTCTTATATTAATTTTTTTTTCGTATTTCCAATAATAAAATACCCTGTATATGTTTTATTGGCTAATATTTTGTTGAGTACAGTATTACTCATTTTAAAAATAAAATAAAATTCAGGGTGTTCTATTTAAAAATCATACATTTTTATTTGGCACGCAAAAATGCAACACCCTGTATACATAAAAATATTTTTTAAATATGTATTTTTCAACTGCATATAACTTTTATTTAAAACACAAATTGAAATAGTAATACACACTAATGGGACACCCTATAAAATACATACATTTTTATCAATAACTGTATACCAAGTATTTGACTCACCCTGTGATAGTTCCTAATGTTGATTATTTAAGAAAAGGTTATTTCAAGATGATATTAATTTGAAAAATATTTTCATGCTAAAGTAAAAATAAAAATTTTCAGTCATTTTTGTTTCACCCTGTAACTTATAATTTACTAAAAAGAGTTTAACGTCTATTATTAACACGTGATATAAAGTGGTAAATTTTTTATTAAAACAGTATACCATTTTCTTTACTCACCCCGTATAGAATATAATAGTAACTAATATTGATTCTATTTTCAGTAATTTATGACTTACCCTGTAACTAATAATAATTTACGTTACATGTACTGTAAATGGTTCATTATCTATTATTAACACGCAATATAAAATATGTAAATTTTTATTAAAAACAGCATACCAATTTTTTGACTCACCCTGTGTAGAAGATAATATTTCCTATTATTTAAGTAAAGGCTATTTTAGCATGAATATAATGCGTAATATAAAATATGTTAATTTTTATTTACCATTTACCAACTTTTTGACTCTTCCTGTATGGAATATATAAGTCCTTAATTTTAAAGATTTGAGCAAAGGTTAGCAGAATATTCTCATGATAAAGTAAAAATTACAAAAATTAATGACTTATCCTATAACTAATACCATCTTTTTTAACTCACCCTGTATAGAATGCAATAGTGCCTAATTTTGATTATTTAAGCTAAAGCTATTTCAGAGTGATACTAATTAGCAGAATATTCTTATAATAAAGAAAAAATTAAAAAAATTAATGACTTACCCTGTAACTAATACCACCTTTTTTTAACTCACCCTGTATAGAATGTAATAATGCCTAATTTTGATTATTTAAGCAAAGGTTATTTCAGCTTGATATTAATTAACAGAATATTCTCATGATAATGTAAAAATTACAAAATTAATGATTTACCCTGTAACTTATACTACCTTTTTTAACTCACTCTGTATGGAATGTAATAGTTCCTAATTTTGATTATTTAAGCAAAGGTTATTTCAGCGTGATGATAATTTGCAGAATATACTCATGATAAGAATTACAAAAATTTATGATTTGCCCTGTAACTTATACCACCTTTTTTAACTCACCCTGTATAGAATGTAATAGTGCCTAATTTTGAATATTTAAGCTAAGGCTATTTCAGTGTAAAGAATTTTCTCAGTAATTTATGATTCACCCTATAACTAATAGTACGAGTGTACACAAAAAATATCTATATTATCATGCCTAGTAGTTTTTAACAATTGTTCGCAACTTCATCGCCCTGTATTTAAAAAAATTACTGATACGATTGAGTTTGTGTTGACAATTATTGCAACAAACTTATCAGAAAATCAAAAAATTCAATAATGTTCACCATAAACCGCCAAAAAATATTTTTTAGAATATTAAAAATAGAAAATTGGAGTCGATGAAAAATCATGATTCCTATTATACATTTCTTAAAATATATAGGCAAGTAAAAATTTAAAAAATAACATTTTTACTATATAACCTCAAAAAAATCATACTAAAAATGGATATTTTTCGGTGTAGGGTGTAAAAAACCCTTTACTCTCCAATATTTTTAACTTTTTTCCTACAACTATGCAATTGGAATGTTATTATGACTAATTTTAGAAGAAAAAAAAGGAATTACTACTAATATACCTAGGGGTTAAATCAAAATATCGCTCATTAAAATGAAACGAAATTAAAAAATTGAAAGAAAGTTCAATTAAATGGTCGGTCATAATAACTACTAGTAGTACTTTGTGAAAAATGTAGAAAAAACATTTTTAAACCGGTTTTTATCCGTATTATTTTTATATATTTATCTACTTATAACGAATATAAAAACAATAAAGGAACATTTAACTATCTGAATATTAATATTAGAAAACGTTATTCCATGAAAACCGAAAAAATGGTCATTTACAAAGTTGTTACGTTTGCCCAACGTTGCATCATGTACCGCAAATCAATTAAATTTTACCAGATATTCAAAAATTCTTACCTTAAATCTCACACAAAATGATTTTCTTATTTCCAACACAATATAAATTAAATTAGGATGTTTATTTCCTAGAAAATGTTCTTATAAAAATCACTGTAACACTGTAGATATTCATCTTGTTTACTGTCATTTGCAAAGCATAGGTGACCTGATAAAAACAAAAATGCGTGCAAAAAAATTTGCGTAAATATTATCAAATGCCCAGGCATTTTTGTGATTCTTCTTTTTCGTAAGGATTATAGGAAAATAAATAGTTTGCAGTTGGTAAAATCTTTTAAAACTAAAAATCTTTTAAAGGTGAAGTTTGTCGAATTTATTTTTAGGTATATTAAAATATATTGGAAATAATATTAGACGTCAGAGAAAATTATAATAGCAGCAAAAGTAAACGGGAGTACCATCAAAATGTCTGATTTTTTGATTTGTTAAATTACTTGATGTCCCCATCAAAAGTATCCATGGGCCCAAGCCTAGTCTATGGCTAGATTTTAGATACAGGGTGTTGAAGTTAGAAATCCATAATTTTTTAAAATGGACACCACAGTTAAAGTCTCTCAGTATTTATTGGTAAAATTAGATCGTCTGTACATTATTAAATGTTTTGACACACTCTGTTTGGACTAGGAATATACCCCTTGTACTATTTAAAGGCAGACTTACAGGGTGATCGTGGTTGAATATGTAAGGTGAGAAAATTAACAACAACTGTTGAAATTATTGCTAAAAAATAGAAAATAATTACCTTGTTGCGAGTTGTTCATTAAAAAAAATCTTATAAGTACACATACAGGGTCATACATTATTCCTATATACATAATTATATTGTATATTTAAATCAGATTGGGTGTCAATGACATAGAAGGACTATTTCTAATAAGTAGGTGTAGCAATAAGTAGATAATTTATACAGAGAGATAGAGAGAGAGAGAGAGAGAGAGAAGAGGTTACTTCCATAGTTTTGTGTTTTTAAACCTATCTGATTTAGGGCTAACTAAACCAGAGAATACGTCGAAAAAACGTAAATAAAAAAGGAGAAAAAGAAGAAGAAGGAAAAAAAAAGAAGAAACATAAACAACCGGGATTTAGTGGAAATGAATCTAAAAAATTACCATTAAAAAAAGTTCGTTTCCTGATGTGTATATACAGGGTGTTTCTTAATAACGGTGCTAATATTTAAGGGGGTGATTCTTGAACCCATTTTAAGAAAAAACTTTAAATGAATGTATGTCCTAAACTTTTTATTGTCACTTTAAATATTTTTATGCACGACCGGGCGATAAAGTCCAGTTTATAAATACGATTAGCGGGCGTAAAGTGTCTCTTTATCGCCCGCGGACTACTTTAACGCCCGCCGAGCGGTACAGTAAATTTCTTTTATAATAACCTGCTCACAAAAAGCGAAAAAGAGAAAATAATTGTTATTTATTAATAAACGATCATCAAAACGGTCGTACATAAAATTTTATATAGGGTGTTCCATAAGTTCGTAATGGTTCAATATTGTGTTAGAGACACTCAAAAAAGTTTAAAATAAAAGTTATATGGATTTGAAAAATACATGTTTTAAAAATATTTTTGGATATACAGGGTGTTGAATAATTTTCCTGGCAAATAAAAATGTATGTTTTTTAAATAGAACACCGTGTATTTTATTTTATTTTTAGAATGGTTTGTTACTGTATTCAACCCTAGAAAGTTTTTAAATAATATTACAATGTTGCCAAGCAATTAATTTTTTTTTGAAATTAGAGAATGATGCTGACCCCAAATTAAATTATCATAATTTATGTAGGTTTACATTGATTTTAAAATTGTTTACTACATGTACTTACAAGATATTGAGCTAACGAACAGTGGTGATAGAACTGGTTTATTTTATACAGAATGTTTTGAAACATGTCTTAAATATGCTTAATTTTAAGTTCAATTTGCTCAATTTTTCAAATACAACACCCTGTATATTATTTTAGCATAACATTCCTTATAAATTTGCCTATACAACGATACCAATATGTTAGCAAATAACACATACACAGGGTGTCCCATCAGTGCGTAATTGATACATAGCTGTTTTAATATTAGAAATGCGAAGAAATTTTTAATATAAAAGATGTATGACCATATTTAACAATTTAACAAATCTACAGGGTGGTCCATAAACGAGGTGCTAACCAAATCTACATTTTTTTAAAGCAAAACATCCTGCAAGTAGTTATACATATTTGATTGTTATCACAGTCAAACAATTTAAATTGACTTTACTCATTTGCTATGTTGTATACATATATACGGTGTCTGCCATAAAGTTGAATACATATAAAAAACATTTTAATTTGTCATTTGTCAGGAAAAGTTTGAATAAATGAAAGTCTTTGTATCACAAATATACGCTTATGACTTATTTAAAACTTGTGCTCAATATACAGCTATATAATATGATAATATAAAAATATGAAATCAGCAACCACAAATTTTCACGGATCGAAATATCATCTACAGCAAAATTTTAAATTGTTAAAAAAGAAACAACTATGTTTAATAACTTTTCTTCAAATGGGCTTCAGTTTATTTATAAATTAAACCTAAATATAGTCAAAAATTAATTTTTTTAAATAGTGACAAAAAGTAAACATGTATACATGTCAAATTTGTGGTTTTCCTCGTCTTTTTCTTCCCCATCTTAGAATACTACACGTATTTTTTTGACAGCATTGTTAATGTTGTCTTTTTCTTAATCTACTTATCTATCCATTCTCCTTCTGTACTATTTATTTTTATTTCAGGAAGGTCAAAAAGACGCAGGAACAATGGGACTACTATCAGTCGGAATTGGAATGATCGGAACGATCTTATTCGGGATATTTTTGGACAAAACACACAAATACAAGTAAAGTGCGAATAAAAAATAATGTTCATAAACTTGTTTTCGAATTTTAGGGAAACCAATCTGGTCGTTTGCTACATGACAGCGATAAGCATGCTGGCGATGGCTGGAGCATTGAAAATGCAGAATATGATTTTGACTTATATCTCTTGTATGTCAGTTGGGTGAGTATACACATTGCTAATATTGCTTATTATTTACGGATTCACCTATACGGTTGTTCGATATTGAAGTCCGGAGATCTGGCGATGGTGAGTCGTCGATCTGATGCTCCACCCACCCGTTCAGTCTTCGCGCCGACCAGAATCGGTGACCCTGGTCGTATTTGCATAGTGTGTGTGTAGTATACTTAATAAGCCAAACATGTTTGTTTTCTTTACTATTGTTTTATTTTACCCCGTTACCGTGACCTAGTGTATGTCTTTTTTTTGTACTGCCTTGATGGGTCCCTAGGCGAGAAGCGAGTGTCCCCGTTTAATTCTCTTGTTATTATTTGAAAATAAATATTTAATCTTTTCTCTTTTTCATTCATTATTATTTGTTTGTTAATTTACCTCTTCCATTTTGTGACTGGCTGTATGACAAAGAGTCTATGCCAAAAAAAAAGCCAAACATGCTTCCTATTAGTGCTATTTTCGGCCATGATGCTGTTAATGTCTGCCTTCAACTCTGTTGAACTGGGAGACAATTTTGATGGAAGTTATTCGCATTGTTTAGTATATATTGCTTTATGGGAAGTATGTTTGTCCTGTCATGTAAATGTGTGACGTATTCGTATCTTCCGCACTCCAGAATTGGCGTCGCAAACCTGTTTTGTTTTATAAATAGAGTTGAACCACCAATACAGAATTTTTTATATCAATCTTAAATTACTTAAGAAAAATGTTTTAAAAAATAATAACTTAAACTATTAGTTCCCAATAATAACATTATTTACAGTTTCTTCATAAATTCCTACTGGGCGACTGGAATCGAACTGGGTGTAGAACTGACATTTCCATCAGACGAAAGCACGACCACTGGTATCTTATCAGCAATGTCGCAAGCCATCGGCTTCGTAGTGTGTTTTGCGATGGGGCCGTTTAACCAGAAATACGGCGGGTTTTGGAGCATGATTACCCTTACAGTACTATTCGTTATTGGTGCTCTCCTGACGCAAGCGGTGCCGAATATCAAAAAACGACAGGAAGAATTTCAGAAGAACAGGAAAGAAGAGGTAGTTCTAGTAACTCCTAAGGTTTAAATTATTTATTATTGTAAAATTGTAGTACCTACCTGTAAAACGTTTTATAAACGAATATAGAAATAATATATAACTGAAGTACTTATTTTTATCAACCTTCTTAGAATGGGCGCTACCAGAGAGGATAACTGGGATAGTAACCTTCTCCGTCAAAGGACTTCAAAGTATTTCAAAGTACTAAAACCTGTTCATTACATGATGAATACCTATAAATATGTGCACTATGATGTGTAAATCTAAGAAACAACATTAATATAGAAAATATTTAATAACAAAGCAAATATTGCTTTAAAATATAACATCATGTAGCCATCTATAGCTACATTTGGATTAAAATACACTATAAATAAAGTATAAAATTACAATGCAAAAAAATGCCTTTGAGTTTTAAAAAAATAACATTTTTAAACAAATCACTGTATATAAACTAATCTGGACGACCTATGATGGTCTAAATTCCTCATATCGCTGTTCAACATTTTCAATGCCTCTTGTCTCAAAAGAAGATTACTAGGCACAAAGAAATTGATGATAGCGCCTATAGTCAATAAAACAGCTTGACTAGATAGCGCCCAGAAACAACCTAGTTTCATATTGAGGAAACCAAGAGAAATGGTGAATATCACACCCAGTATTTGAGTCATCGCCATAAGAAGGCCGGAGGTAGTACTTTCTTCGGCTGGATACGTTAGTTCCATCGCGTATTCAAATCCTACTGGCATGAAAGCTGTTGTGAATAGTCTGTAACAAATATATCTTTATTGTAAAATTGAGATTCATATATAAATAGAATTCAAGAAAGGTTGATTCTGATTCAGGTGAGTCTTTGAATAAAAATTGAAGTCCGGGTACAGCTGCTCTAGAGTTCCAGATAATTCTAGTGTTGTACTGGAATTTAGATATAGACAGACAATATTTTATAACCTCTTAATTCATATCAGTTGTTCCCACCTCTAATCGACAAAATAAATTACTATAATAATATTAGATATTGAAAAATTGTTTATAGTGACATTGAAGAGTGGTTCAGAACTGCTGAGTTAGTAAGTCAAAATAGTTGTGCGCCAAAAAGTGACAAAGAGTTACATATTACTTTTGGCGCCCAACGTGGGGCCAAACCCACGACCCTAAGATTAAGAGACTCATGCTATTATTATAAACTTATTAAAGTAAAAAGCAAGTAAGTACTAATGAAATAACTATTTAATACAAATTAGCAATTATATTTAAACCTATAAATACATACTTAAAAACTAAAATTAGGATGAATAATTAAAAATAATATTCAAAGTATGGGAAGACGTAACGAAGTTAAAGTTTTGTTATGAGTTTAAATAATATAATGAGTCCGAGTATCCATGGGTACGATAAAACAATGAACACTTCAACCTCAGTAAAGCTATCATGGATCAAATAACTTGGCTAACACGACGAAAGATACCTCCAAACGGGCTAAGTTGATCTTCAAAATAATAAAAAACCTGAATAATATTCTAGAATAGGAAGGTATAAAAAATTTTCAACATTGATAAATATTGTAATAAATTCACGGGATGTAAATGAACTTCGATTTTCATTCAAGAATTACTCACCTGACTTGGACTCGCTAAAAGAAAAAAGTTACTCACCCAACTAAAGCGCAGGTCACATAAGTTAGTATTTTGATTCTGGATTCTAAGGCATACATAAACGATATCATGCTAGCTATTGAACACAGGTAGATCACCATTGTTATTATTCTGAAATAAAAAGATAGAACATTATAATTCAATTAGCATTAGTTTATTATATTTTTCAAACAACACCATTTGTGTAATGTTTCCTAGATTATAAAATAAAAATACCAACCTAAATTTATGAGTTTTGTCTAATATAATGCTGAAGAGAATAGCTCCTCCGAGACCAGTAAGTACCATTATGAAACCCATTAGTCCTACATCTGCATCTGCGTCCTGAAAATTGATTATTATTTTAGAATTAACTACAAACTTCCAGAATATACACTTCCCCAATAAATTAACGCACCATCAAAAAATAACAAAAAGTTTAAAGTAAATATTTGTCAAAACGACTTGTCTGATTTGGACGATTTTTTTTTAAATGAAAGGTTGTCTCTTACACAACGTCGGTGTGCTAACTGTGTTTGTATAAAACCCTCTTTTTTATTAATACAGGGTGTATCAATTATAACGTGATTTTTTCATAAAAGTTGTAACACCCTGTAGAGTGCAACAGTTACATTATCAAGTTAGAATTGATCTCACAATGTAGCCTTATCTATTCTTAACAATTTCTTTTCTTATTTACTCCATTATCTTTGTCATTATTTGAGAAACATTATTTTATAACATAACATGATTTTATTAAAAATTAATATCAATATTTAACAATGAAAACACGAAACAAAATGTAACGAAATAAGTTTCAGTAGCGAGTATTTCCGCCTCTGGCACGAATAACTTCTTGACAACGGTGGCCCATACTTAAAATAAGAGACCTTATGTCATTTTGGTCCAATTCTTCCCATATTTGAATCAGTCTCTGCCGTATATATTCCAGAGAGTTCAGATTACGTTCCTCTTGTAATCTCCTCCCAAGAGTATCCCAGAGATTTTCTATCGGATTTAAATCCGGGCTCCGAGCTGGCCATGCCATGGTAGCGATACCAACTTCCTCTAGATAATTTCTCACAACTCGAGCAACATGAGGCCTGGCATTATCTTGCATCAACAAAAATCCCTGCCCTATATATGGTGCAAATGGAACTACATGTTCGTCTAAAATCTCCAATATGTACCTGTCAGCTGTAAGGCTTCCATTTAAGGTTACAAGTTCTGTGCGACCAGTCAAAGAAATGCCTCCCCAGACCATCAGAGATCCTCCTCCAAATAATGTTGTATGTGAGAAATTACACTGAGCATACCGTTCATTAGGGCGTCGGTATACGCGCATACACCTATCATTGTTATACAGACAAAATCGAGACTCATCAGTAAATAATACCTGTTGCCATTCAGCTTCTAACCAGTTACGATGCTCTCTGGCAAAATTTAGCCTTGCTCTGCGATGAACTCTAGTTAGAACTGGACCTCGAGCAGCTATTCTAGGCCTCAAATTATGTTCCCTTAGTCGCTGACGAACAGTTTCTGTACAAACTTCTAAACCATTAGTATCCCGAAGCTGGGTTTGAAGGGTCCGAGCTGTTACAAAACGTTGTCTTAAGGCTGACAGTCTTAAAAATCGATCCTGAATCGGAGTAGTTACTCGGTTTCTTCCTTGTCCCGGCCTACGACCATGATTTCCAGTCTCTCTATATCTTTGTATAACTCGTGAAACGGTTGTGTGGGTTACGTCAAATCGTTCACCAATTCTTCGGTAACTCCAACCCTCTTCAAACAATATTAAAACTTGAGCACATTCTTCGCGAGTAAGACTTCGTGGCATATTGTTTAATAATTTTTTTTGCAAAAAATGGCGAATGGACTAAATTCTGACAATACCCATCTGTATTTGAGAATTACTGGTTTTTCCATAGCATGCTACTTACTTTAGTGCTTATAATGCTAATGCAAATGAATAAAGTCATGTTAATTGAGTTTCTCGTGTAATAGGAAACATAATGGAGTAAATAAAAAATGAAATTGTTAAGAGAAGATAAGGCTAAATTGTGATATCAATGCGAACTTGGTAATGTAACTATTGCGCTCTACAGGGTGTTACAACTTTTATGAAAAAATCACGGTATAATTGCTACACCCTGTATTAATAAAAAAGAGGATTTTATGCAAACACAGTTAGCAAACCGACGATGTGGAAGAAGCAACCTGTCATTTAAAAAAAAAATCGTCCAAAACAGACAAGTGGTTTTGACAAATATTTACTTTAAACTTTTTGTTATTTTTCGATGGTGCGTTAATTTATTGGGGAAGTGTATTTTTTTACCTCGTAGTATTGTAGGATCATCTGATTAAGAAGTGTTGACACTGCCGAATACACTCCAATGTTGATTCCATAAGCAACCATCAGAATTAGGAAAGGTTTGTTTGTACACAATTCTCTTAAAGAAGAAAAGAACGCCTCGTTGGTAAAACTTTCTTTTGAATCCCGGATTTTAGCCTGAGTAATGCTTGGAGGTAGTTTAGGTTGACTAGGAAAATCTGAAAGATAAAATTATAGGAAGAATAAAAATAAATTGGGTTTTAAATTATTCAGACACTTACAAAATATGACTACTAATGTCACTGGTAAAATTATCATGCTGAGCGTCCAGCACAAGTTGTGAAGACCTGCCCCAATTGTTTCTGGACTGTCATGGTTATTTACTATAATAGGTGGCACTATGTATCCAAGAGCCACACCTATTTGGGATCCAAAAACTCCAAGAGAGCATGCTATTGTTATCTGAAATACACAATTTGTTATTGCTAAATATTCTTTCAACAGGGTGATTTTACTTACTTCGTTAGAGCTGAACCAAACAGCTGCTAACTTTGAAGGAAGACAAGCCACAAGAACATTGGCGATGGCCAAAACGATCTGACCAATACCGACGATGTAAAATCTGTCAGTATGTAGAGAAAATAATTTTAAAGTTGTACCAATGAAGGTGAGAATGCATCCATAAACACCGGCTGTTCTCAACCCCTGTGAAGATAAATTAAAATCAATTTTATTTGTTAAATAGGCTAAATGATAATGTAGAAGAGTGTATATTAATCGCTTTCTTTTTCGTATTAAAATAGCGCGACTAGAAGAAGATAAATAACCAGAATTTAGTGGAAATGAGAATGTAACAAAAATATTAACATTTAAAAAAGTTTGTTTCCTAATCTGTATAATATGTTAGAATCAAGTTTTTGGGGAAACCTAAAACCTCAAAATATTTTTAACCTAATTAAATTAAACCAAATTAATTACTCAAACCAGAACTCATGTCAATCACCTCTCGAAATCCCTGACTCATGAAAAATGCAAATTAAAATCAAAGACAAAACTATTTTCAAACTAATCGAAAACAAAACACCCCCACTCCGACCGGCACAGCGGTGCGGCGTTGAAAGCCGTGGAAGGTTTTATCCGACCCTATTCGTATTAGTATGAAGCGGAGTTAAATATACGTCTGCGGACTGGAACGTTTATGCAATACAAGAACTAGAAGAGCTTTCTCTGGCTTCTAATAAATTGGTATCACAAATGTTCCCGGTTGGCGTAAATATTAGATATTTTTTTTATATTTCAAAAAACTTGAAAATCTAAGGGAGGAAAAATGAAAAATGAATTTCCATTGCGTAAAATTCTAAATTACGTTATATTTAGGGTGTATACGGACGGCTAAAATTATTAATAAATAAAACATATTTAATGCAAGAAATCTCTTTGAAATGAAAAAAAAATACGTAAAATAAATCACTAATATTTTTAAAACTATTACATCAGTCTGAAAAGACCCGAATATTTAACAATTTTTAACTGAAAAATCTTAAAACTGGAAAAGTTTGAGATTTATTATGAAAATCTAAGTTGTTAAACCAAGTTTTAAATATGGCAACAGCGCATGTCTTAACACAGTATGTGATATAAGCCTTATACTGTGACAGATCTAAGACTTTTATGTTTTAAGAACAATCTAGTCCCTTCTGACGTCACACCGCACGGATCTAACGACCTCCCCTTAAAGTATTTGGAACCTTGTTAGCTACATAAATTTGGCAATGTCGTTTGTCGTGAGCTGAAGAATAATCATAGGATTGGGTAAGGTCCGATTACAATTACATGAACACAGGTATATCATCAATTAGCGAAGTAATTCGTTGGGTATCGCCGCCTACTGGGGGTTTAGTGGCTTATTAATATCATAGGAATGTAGGAATACTATTTTTAAACCAAACAACTCAAATATTTTTTATTTATTGATAGTTATAGATGATATACAGGGTGTCCCGAAATTAGACGGTCATATTTTAACAGCGTAATCTTCATCCTAAAATAGTAGTAAAAGTTCATATAAACATAGGTCCGAAAACGTTTCTTTTCCGAGATACAGGGTGTTAAAGTTAAAGTCTTGATACCACACTTTTGTAAATATTTTCTAAACGTTTAAAGATAATTAGGTAAAATTTGGTACAAATACTTATCTTTTAACGCTCCATTTATTGGACTAAACCCCAGTTTTTGATCATCTTCTTAGGTGGGTAAATTAGGGGGAGCTTAGGGTAAAATTGCTCTAAGTTTTTTTTTTGTTGATAGTTTCTAACATTTTTGACTATAAAATTTGGATATTTTCTGTATATTGTTGCATCTCGCTAGGACGCCCCATTTTCAAGAGAAAAGCATGTTACCTTATTTGAATTTGTAAACAATAATTAATAGGTCTGTAGAATCAGACATTTTTTTTTAACTTTGGAAAACCGGCCAAAAAAAATTTTAAAAAATATTTACAAAAACGTGCCGTCTGGACTTCACTTGTAACACCCTGTATCTCGAAAACGAAACATTTTCGGACCTATGTTTATATAAACTTTTACTCCTATTTTTAACCGACTTCAAAAAAATGAGGAGGTTCTCAATTCGTCTCAATATTTTTTTTTTATTTTTTTTATGTATGTTCAGCGATAATTCTTTAACACGGTGTCCGATTTCAATGATTCTTTTTTTGTTAGAAAGGGGGTACTTCAGGGGTGGCCCCATATAAATTTGGTCAAAATCTAATAATTGGGCCCATGAGAAAATCCTCAAACTCTTTATTTTTTATGTATGTTTAGCGATAATGCTTTACCACCTTATCTGATTTATATGATTCTTTTTTGTTAGTAAGGGGGTACTTCAGGAGTGGTCCTATATAAATTTGGTTAAGATATGGTGACGGCATGTGCACGTTTTTGAATTCGGTTTTTTTTAATTTTTAATTTCTAATACTTGTAGGATGTAGATTACGCTGTTAAAATATGACCGTCTAATTTCGGGACACCCTGTATATTGGAAATTCGAAATAATAGTTATGACGTAGTGGTGTTCTTCTAATTGTAATCGGACCCTAGGTATATCGATACGGAAAGTGATGAATGGAGATAGGTAAATTGTATTTAATGTATTAAAGGAACAACAAATATAAGTACAACTAAATAAGTATATTAATATAACAATTTTTTAATGTCTGTATAATTTTTTTTTACATAGATTATTAAATTAAAAAAATAACTATTAAAACACGAAATGTTAATTTTTTCTCTTTTACAACACAAAATATACAATACTGTTGAATCAAAATTTTCTCTTGGCAGCAGGTGGTTTTTGTGACGCGACAATTATGATGCTTTGCATCTCATGAATTAAAGCTAATTCTCTTTCAATCTTAAGGTGATCACACCCCTTATAATTTTTGGACAAGAATATCTCAAAATATTTAAATTTTGGCAAAATAAATTAGGCAATAATATCTAGAATCTGCATATATTTTAATGTTTTAATTCCTTCCAGTTTCCGAAAAAAACTAAGATGGCTTTAATTTTGAAATATGATAATGAAAATAAATGCATTCCTCGACAGCACTATTCTTAATATAATCCACAAATTTAAGCTTCTAATGTCTTGTTAATGATTTCTTAAAATTCGCAAAAATTAGTGGCTAAAACGCCTCGTTAAGTGCTATCTTTTGGTGTAAACTGGTGTAAATTGTTGCAAGAAACGAATAATGACAAAGTGTACGATACGATAGTTACAAGCGCGTTACACCAGATGGCAGCACTTAACGAGGCGTTTTAGCCACTAATTTTGGCGAATTTTAAAAAATCATTACCAAGACATTAAGAGTTTAAATTTCGGGATTATATTAAGAATAGTGCTGTTGAGGAATGCATTTATTTTCATTATCATATTTATTTTTTTTCCCGGAAACTGAAAGGAATTAAAACTTTAAAATATAGGTATATCTAGTTAATATTACCTAATGTATTTTGCCAAAATTTTAATTTTTAAACAAAATTACTTTTTGAAATATCCTTGTCCGAAAATTATAAAGGCTGCTGCATTCACCTTTATATACCAACATACAGGGTGTTTCAAAATTAATGGGACAAATTTCAGGAGGTGATTGCTCGTATGAAATTAAGATGGGTGTTTTCTATAACAAAATTTCTTCAGCCCACCCCTTTCCGAGATCACCTTTAAGAGTAAAATTGAGTTTCTATTTTTTTTCTAAAATTTCAGTAAAGCTAGAAACTTGAAATTCTGTAATTTTCGTGCACTCGCAAAGGACTAACCACGGTTATTTTTTCAATTATCCTGTTACATTATAGGGGGGTGAAATTGGCAACCCTTACTTTATTTCATATCAAAACTTTTTTTGGAGATGAAAGTTTTATGAAATAATTTTGTAACTTGAAACACTTGTTTTATTTAAAAAAAAAATCCCAAAACCAATACCTTCATAGAAAAAAAACTGTTTTCCATTCAATTTATTAAAAAAAATGATAAATTAGGGTGTTAATTTTTTTTCTCTAAAGCTATTGGTATTGAGAAAAAAATTCAAGAATAAAAAAAAATTAAATAAAACAAGAATTTCATAAAAGTTCATCTCGAAAAAAAGTTTTGATATGAAATAAAGTAAGTTTTGCTAATTTCACCCCCCTATAATGTAACAGAAATATTGAAAAAATACCCGTGGTTAGTCCTTTGCGATTACAGAATTTCAAGTTTCTAGCTTTACTGAAATTTTAGAAAAAAAATAAAATCTCAATTTTAGTCACCACCTTTTAAGGGTGATATCTCGAAAAGGGGTGGGCTGAGGAAATTTTGTTATAGGAAAGACCCATCTTAATTTCATACGAGCAATCAGTTCCTGAATTTTGTCGCATATATTTAAAAACACCCTGTATATTTCACATTTTTTTAAGCGGGCAAAATTCTTGACAATCTCTTTTCCCTAATTGACACATGTCGTATTTCTCTAGGATTTACTAACTCTGGCAGCAAACAAATAAAATTGAAATTTGTCAGCTGTGCATTTTTGCCTTCCAGAATTTTTCATTTCATAAATTAACTAAAAACTAAATTAAACAAAAACCTAACAACAAACTAAGACGATCACAATAATTTCGCACCTCTTCAAAAACAACTACCTATTTTTCGACACAGGAATTAACAAATTAACTAGACAGCAGCTACCCTTTTAACCACGGGCTTCATAGACTAGCAGCATTGCCATATTCACTGGTATCATTGTTTTAATAGAATTAGTATCGGAATGAAAACTATGTTAATCTTCGGTCCTGTTTAAAATTGGTAATCTTTTTGAAAAAAAGTTATTTAGAAAATAGTTAAGATATTTGTTATAGAATGACGCTAAAGAGCCAAAAAATTAAATTTGTTAAAAAGTTGAAATTTTTGTTGTTTTTCTTTAAAAATATAAGTTTTTCACGGTTTAGCCTCATTCTTGGTTCATTTTTTTTACAATTTTTTTTAACTGCCTCAAATGTAAAATTGATTTTTGTCGGAGTAGCGCCCGTCATGTTTGCTCTTAAGTTAATTTTTAATTGTATGAAATGTATTTGTATCAAATAAAATAAAAAAAAATAAATGCATCTAATCGCCCTCTGTCGCCAACTTAGTTATTTAATAGTTTTTCATAAATTATGGCCATTAAATTCCGTCTTAAATAAATTTATGTCTTTCAATTTTGCCTAATGATGTTTGGTGGTTAGCCGAAACTAGTTGCTATATTCATAATAAACAGTTTTAAAGTTATATTTAGATGAAAATGCTGATAAATCGATTTACATCGGTTGGGATATAATGCCAATAAACTTAAAAAAAAAACATACCTCTTTATCGATAATATACGAAGCAGGCACCACAAACAAAGGATAAACTGCATTGTACGTGATTGAAGTCCAATCGACCACCATACTACTAACTCCATAATACTCCACCACCAAATTGGTGATGCTGGAATAGGAGATCCACTGGAAGGAGCCAATAGCGTTGTAGCAAATGTATAAGAACAGGATGAACCATCTTTTTGGGTACGTTTTGATCTTGTATCCGCCTCCCTCTTCAAGGAGATTCCCGCTAGACTCTTCTCTTTTTACCATTTCCGTTTGTAAATAAAATCGCAGATACTCTTAAATGTTGTGTCACTGATAGACCACAGAACATAGTAACAGGAGTGTTGCCGAAACAGTAGCTGTCCGAGTTATATATCGAATGGATTTATTTATTTTTTATGATAAATGCATCATCAGCGCTACCAGATGCCTAGTTCATTGTCTTTTGATTTTCCAGCTATATACGTTGGTTAAACATCGTATATCATTTTTTTAAGGATTTTTTTATTAGTAAATTAAACATTAAGATGTCATGGAAGTTTGTGATGTTGTGACGAGTGTGTAAATATTTTCGAATACAATATAGCAAAGGCTAGATAAGAGGTTTTGATTTAAGACTCTATTTGATATGGTATTAAAGTTAATCGAAATTTCATTGTATCCAGATATATCTGGTGAAATTATTTGATGTAAAGGTATATCAAAAGTGTGACTATGGATTAATTTTGCATGTATGCATAAATAATAAGCTAAAAATAAATCAAATTTGTGTAATTTGCAATTATATTCTGATTCTGGTATGCTTTTGAATAAAATATCGTTAATTCGGTATAAAAAAAATATGGCGCTTAGGATATACGAGTACAGAATTAATATAAATCTATATGACGTAGATAGAATACGTAAAAAAATGTGTAGGCCATGGAAAAAAACAGGCATGTATATTATAATTCTTATTTAAATAAGAGTTTAGCTTCCAGTCAGCGGAGTTTGAAGTTATTACAGGCATTGGGATGAATCATATTGTTTATTTTAAAAATAATTTATTTATTTAAAACAGTCTAATTTATTTATTTACACCTAGGCACTATTTATATTTCTAATGAACTATAACAACGCATCGGAATTTTCAATCTTATTTACGTCGAAACAATTATTAATGGCGTTTATTTTAATAATAAAACATTGATTTATCCTTTTAATTAAATATTTAGAAGAAAATTGGGATTGAAAAACCATTTTTGATGAAATTTCCTGCCTAAAATCACCCTATTGAATAACTACACATTGTTACAACGCACACTGGTTTAAAAGGTTAATCTAGCTATGCAAAAATCGTCTTAAAGTGGTAGTTATAATATTTTGTGTAATTTTTTATTTACATAGAAAAGTATTATTATTGCATGAAGAGGTCTGTATGTATACATTGTATACAGGGTGCGACAAAAATTAAAGTAATATGAACACAAGAATATAAACAAAATTTTCCAAAAATACAATAAATATAAAAAGTATTATCAAACCAATACCTATTTATGTGGGACACCCAGATACTTAATATAAGAATTAAATTACAATTATTCCCTATCGCAAGAGCAACCAGGATATCTCGAAAGTTAAGTTTAAAGCCATACGCTCTATTTTTCATCTGATTTTCATGAAATTTTTTGCAGTTATTAATCAATATTTATTGCTTGGGGCAGAAACAATATTTTTTTTTTAATTTTTTTTTTATTATTAATTTAGTAAATTTTTCGACATTTTTAATGTTTCTGCCCCAATGTATAATAAATTTAAAAACTTTTGACGGTCTTTATTTTTTAAAAAAGTAAATACTTTTTAAATGGGATTCTATCTATCTGAATTAGGGCGTGGTTCAAAGCCCACTTGTACTGAAGCTCTCAGCGGTTGAGTGTTGCCAACTGAGCGCGTCTCCAGGTGGTGGATGAGAGGACGGCCAGGATTTCAGGTCTGTGAAGTTAGCACCGCCAAATTCGAATTTTTATAAAAATAAATTGCCATTCGATTGTCCACGATTTCTACGATTGTCCAACAAAAATTTTCGTTTGTCCACCCTTCAAAAGAAAGTTATAGAAAATTTAAAAATTTGAGCCAAATTTCACAGCACCGCCATAAAAGCTTTTTGATAATTTCAAAGTGGTATTCGATTGTCCACGATTAGTCCACGTTTGTCCAACCAAAATTTTCGTTTGTCAACCCCCCAAAACCGAGATATTTACAAAAATAAAAAAATAATACAGGTGGTCTTTGGGGACAACCTTAAAACATTTCATACGAATTATACACGACAATCGTTTGTCCAAACATTATTTTCGTTTGTCCAGCGAAATTTTTGTTTGTCCACCCTTCAAAAACAAATTATAGCATATTTAAAAATTTTAGTCAAATATCACAGCACCGCCAAAAAATTTGTTTATAATTTCGATGTGGCATTCGATTTTTCATGATTAGTCCACGTTTGTCCAACCAAAATTTTAGTTTGTCCACCCCCCAAAACCGGGACATTTAAAAAATAAAAGAAATAACGCAGGTGGTCTTTGGAGACAACCTTAATTCATTTCATACGAATTACACATGACAATCGTTTGTCCAAACATTATTTTCGTTTGTCCAAGCGAAATTTTTGTTTGTCCACCCTTCAAAAACAAATTATAGCATATTTAAAAATTTTAGTCAAATTTCCCAGCACCGCCAAAATTTTTTTTGATAATTTCGATGTGGCATTCGATTGTCCACGATTAGTCCACGTTTGTCCAACCAAAATTTTCGTTTGTCCACCCCCAAAACCGGGACATTTAAAAAATAAAAGAAATAACGCAGGTGGTCTTTGGAGACAACCTTAATTCATTTCATACGAATTACACATGACAATCGTTTGTCCAAACATTATTTTCGTTTGTCCAAGCGAAATTTTTGTTTGTCCACCCTTCAAAAACAAATTATAGCATATTTAAAAATTTTAGTCAAATTTCACAGCCCGCCAAAAAAATTGTTGATAATTTCGATGTGGTATTCGATTGTCCACGATTAGTCCACGTTTGTCCAACCAAAATTTTCGTTTGTCCACCCCCCAAAACCGGGATATTTAAAAAATAAAAGAAATAACGCAGGTGGTCTTTGGAGACAACCTTAATTCATTTCATACGAATTACACATGACAATCGTTTGTCCAAACATTATTTTCGTTTGTCCAGCGAAATTTTTGTTTGTCCACCCTTCAAAAACAAATTATAGCATATTTAAAAATTTTAGTCAAATTTCACAGCACCGCCAAAAATTTTTTTGATAATTTCGATGTGGCATTCGATTGTCCACGATTAGTCCACGTTTGTCCAACCAAAATTTTCGTTTGTCCACCCCCCAAAACTGGGATATTTAAAAAATAAAAGAAATAACGCAGGTGGTCTTTGGAGACAACCTTAATTCATTTCATACGAATTACACATGACAATCGTTTGTCCAAACATTATTTTCGTTTGTCCAAGCGAAATTTTTGTTTGTCCACCCTTCAAAAACAAATTATAGCATATTTAAAAATTTTAGTCAAATTTCACAGCACCGCCAAAAATTTTTTTGATAATTTCAATGTGGCATTCGATTGTCCACGATTAGTCCACGTTTGTCCAACCAAAATTTTCGTTTGTCCACCCCCCAAAACCGGGATATTTAAAAAATAAAAGAAATAACGCAGGTGTTCTTTGGAGACAACCTTAATTCATTTCATACGAATTACACATGACAATCGTTTGTCCAAACATTATTTTCTTTTGTCCAAGCATAATTTTTGTTGGTCCACACTTCAAAAAATTTTTTTTTAAAAATAATGTCAAATTATGAAGAAACGTCAGTTAGATAGATGGTTTTTAACGTATTAAAAACAAAACAAGTATTACAATAACTAAAATATTTATTTATTAATAGTTGTAATGCTTGAAAACAGTATGATGATGATAATAATAAGTGCACTTAATACAAACTCAAATAATAATAAAAAAACAGCGATATTGGCTATTGTACAAAGTGAACACCAATTTTAAATTACCAAGAGCCGACACTGATTTTCAATATATTGCCAAAACTGCTGATCGAGATGTTTCTGTTTTTGTCTTGCAGTCAGAGTCATGTCTGTTGTCTCTAAGAGCATGAATGCAGGATTGGCTTAGCGAATATTCGTTACAGTGAACTTTTTATTTATATATTTTATACTGATAAAGATACAGTTAATTTATTTTAGCGTTTCATTTAAATGTTAATATATTATCTGAATGAAATTAATGCCACTAGTCAAGGTTTTAAGGCCTTGTCAGTCCAATATTTGTTTTAGATGCATTTTTCTTTAAATTTGTCATTGACAAAACATTTACAAAAGAATCCTTTGGATTCTGATAAAAAAAGCTATTTGATACGTCCATGGAGACCAAAACTGTCAAAAGTTCGTAGATAGTGGCTTCAAACAAACGGCGCCCGTCAGTTATCTATATTTCATTTGTTTAACTGAGGCTGAATCTGCTTTTACAAATCCGGGATTCATGTTTAATATTTACAAACGATTTAGAAATAGAAATATAATACAGAATTGTATGAATTAATTTTAGTTTCAAACTGACATATATATAAAATTTCTGACATTTGGTTCTTTATGAAATATAATGATATTGCAATCATATTAAAACAAATCTTCAAAGACTATTTCTTTTTGATAAAATAAACAATTTAGAATTTTTGGTAGATTCAGGAGCAGATATAAGCGTAGTTCCAAATTAAAATTTTTAGGATCAGTAGAGAAAGATTTTATTATTTCTTCAGCTTCCGGCAATACAATTTTTACATATTAAAAAAAATAGTTGTTGGATTAAGAAGAATATTTCCTTTCCTTTTTACTACTGCTAATGTAATCAAACCAATCTTGAGTGCAGATTTTTTAACATATTTTGGCCTAATTTTGGATTTCAAAAATACTATAATAATCGATGTTATTGGTGGAAAAAATTCTTATTTAAAAACCAAAGACATTTTACCTAAACTATTTAATGTTGACACTAAATATATCGAGCTATTTAAAAAATATCTTCAAATATACATTTAACTGCAAAACACAATGTTAGGCATCATATTGTAACTGAAGGAAATTTACCTTTTTTCAAACCTAGACGTTTAGATCCTAAAAAATATAAAATTGCTAAACGAGAATTCGACACAAAATTTGAATTAGACATTTATCGCCCCTTATCTGCCTTACACATGGTACCCAAAAAAGATTCAAACGAATGGAGACCTTGTGGTGATTATAGATTTTTAAATTAAGTCCCTGACAGATTTTTTTAAAGCTTTATTTTCGAAGTTAATTTTAAATGTCATGGCTGTAACATTTTCTGTAAAATCGATTTGGTTAGAACCTACCATCAGATCCCAATGGCAGAGGATATTTTCAAAACAACAATTACCACTCCTTTTGGTTCTTTTGAATTCCTTGAAAGACATGCCTACTACTTTTAGATAAAAACAAAGGAGGTACTTTAAGTGTGGTCCCATATTAATTTGGTCAAAATCTAATAATTGGGTCCATTAGAAAATTCTCAATTTCTTTATTTTTAATGTATGTTTAGCGGTAATTCTTTACCGCATCTTGTCCGATTTCTATGATTCTTTTTTTGTTAGTAAGGGGGTACCTCAGGGCATAAATTTGGTTAAGATATAGTGACGGCATCTGTATTTTGTAATTTTTCAATAACTATGTAAAATTCAGGACACTAATTCGATTTAAATTACTACTTTTTTTAGTCCTCACGTCATTTTGAAACAATATCTTTAACTCACTTTTTGTAACCCACCAACTTAGATTTTATACGATGTTGGATTGTTGTCGCTATATTATTCTTGATCTTATTCTGCTATCACTAGATTACTCATTTAAAGCAATTATTTTATTGACTTTTTGCATTGCACAAACTGCATCACTATTAATAAATCACCAAGACAAAATTCTACACACTACACTTTATTCTTAACCTACCTTTAAGAGCATTTAATGAATAATAAAATATTATGATGATTCCGGTAAATAGAGGTAAATAGAGATGGATGATATTTGTATTTGCTTCAATCTAATCTAGATGTATCCAGATTTTACTGGATCGTTGTTTTAATGAATGAAATTCGTTGGAGGTTATTTCAATATTGAATTTTTTTGATTTTTGCAGTATACAACTTTAAAACGGTAGATTAGATAGGATTTTTTTGGTAACTGATGTTTATACGTATATACATAGCGTTTCGGGAAAAATTAATGCAATAGAATCAAAATGCAGTTGATTTATATTGAAAAGTCGTTTGTGGTTTATTACTGAAAAATGCACCCAATGAGTTATACCTTCCATGGTCTTATCTATCTTAAATCGGAGGTCTAAGAAATAATAACCTAAAAAATCAAAAATCTCCAGGTTTGGATGAAATTCGTCCGGAGACTTGAACCATTGACTTGGGACGCTTTTTGCTTTTCAAGTTAATTATATTTAAGCCTATTTAAGTTTAAGTTTAAGCCGATGAAAAGCGGGTCGAACTGGGAGATGTTTTCTCTTTGTCTAGTGCATGCAATGTTTGTGTTTTGTCTCAATTTTGAGTGCTCACTGGTAAACAAAACTTTCACAGGACCGGTTTTAAATAAAGTTTAGTCTAGTTGAGATTTTGTTCTCATTGTCGTTACTCAGTCGGACATTTTGTTGAGTTGTTTATTTTATTTAGTTTTAATTATACTTATGTTCTGTTTAAAAATTTTTAATTATTTGAGTATAAAAACTTGTTTTGTTTTTAAATTTAAATGGTGAATTGCTCTATAAAGGATTGTAAGACCAGCTACAGAAATATAAAAAGTAACATTTCATTTTTCACGCAAGTATCAATACAAGTAGGTACAAGGTAAATACGTTTATAATAATTTTATGAATTATAATTAATTATAATAATAATATTAATAATGAAGTATTTATTGTAAATACAATTACATAAATATTATTATATTCAAAGGCCCGAGTTAGAGCTATCTGGGCTTTACAAGTACATTTTAAAATTTAGTTAGATACAGAGAAGTATCGTATAATAAAAACAATATAAATAGAAGAAAAACGGACATAAGTACCAATACAGAGAGACAAACACTTTTATTCTTTGATAGGTTCTTTCTATGTGAATTCTAGCTCTGGCAATTTTGGCATTAAGTAAAGCCTCTTGATGGCTGAACTGATTTTTTTTATTGCGGAAAGGAGTCTGTATAATTTGTATACCTTCAGCTTCTGTTATCTTTCCAATAAGAAAACCTTTGTTAAACATTTTACTATCGAGAAATGATTCATACACTTCAAGTATTGAACTTTGTTAAAAAATGTCTATTTCTGAAGTTCTACCACCATATGCTTCACTTTTGTAAGTAATGAGACCAGTAGGTGACACTCCAGTCAATATTTTAATAGTATGCCTCTTTTTGTAGTCAGAGTAATTTTTTAGCCTACAACAAAGACATTTGGCTTGCTGTATTGGGATTTCGGTACAATCAAGTAGTACTCTTACTTACATAGAGGCACACTATTTAATATTTCTTGTTTTGAAGGCCGAATTATACCATACTAAGAACTTCTACCAGTTTTATTAAAAAATGTTAAAAAATTTAATGATAAAAAGTTTCATTCACTCCAAATAAAATGGATAAGATATTATATCTTGCATATCAGTTTCAACTTCATAAAAGTAAATATAACTTAATCCTTTACAGACATAACTGATCTCCTTTTTCTTATTCTTTAGAAACAACGAATTCCACAATGGTGGCTAATAACTGGAAGGATTGCAATCCTATTAAAGTAGATAGTTCTTTAGCACTGACAATTCTGTTTGAAAACGGATCAACTAAATCACCACTCTTCACTTGTGTCGAACAATCGATCCCAATTTTCTGCTTCTAAACGAAGTTCTGTAAATTAAGCAAAGCTCTTCAGCAGCACACAAATCTTCATTATCTGCTTCAGTAGTAGATATATGTTCATTAACTGCAAAAACACATTAAACATAATAATAATTAACCAAACATTTTAAATTATGCATACGTACATCCATTGCCTGAAGAAGATAACTCAACACTTAACATTCTACTAGTACTGGCAACATATCATTATTAAAGACAGTAGCCATAATTCTTGTTTTAGCTGGATTACTTTTCTTTTTATTAATAGTCGCTTTCTTTTTACCACTAATCTGAGCTAACTTACATCGACTAAGCTTAGTTGTACGTTCTTTTTGTGATTGTAAGTCAGAATCTTTCTTTCCCCTTACCGATGCTAAACGGATCTTGACGTCAACTAAGATTGCACTTTGTACCTAGTTCATTTTACTATGATGTTGATCAGATTTCCACTGGTGGAATCTTATTATTATTCATCAAATCATTCACATTCACCGCCAAAATAATCCTTAATTGTCTAAAGGGAACAAACTTTAGAATGTGAAAAAGCTACTAACTTTTAGTAAATGCTTTAAAAAGTTCATTCAATTTTTGCATAATATCTGCTTTTATAATGCGAAATAAATTTTAAAAGAATAATCAAGTGTCCGAATAGTGCCACTATACAGTGGTCGTGGTCTAAAGTTAGTTATATACACATTAGTGTAAAATTGTTTATATCTATCTTCAAAATTGGTTAGATCTCTTAAAATGTTTTGAAAATTGGGAAACTAGACGTTATGACTCAAAATCCTTTTTTAAAATATCTAACGCAAGCTCCTGTCTTGAAATAAACATACAGATAATTTTTTTTTTTTTAATTCAATTCCTACTTTGATGAAATATGAGTTTTAAACTCATTTGGGCCAGATCGATTCTGCCTGGTGAGCACTCGGCAAGCCAAGCAATATGACCCGCTTTTCGTCGTCTTGTTTATATATGGATGAGCAGTCTATTAATCTATAATATGTCATTGGTCTAGGCTGAATGTCTGAAATGGGTGTCAAATTTTGAGTCGTAGTTTATAGGGTAAGATTAGAATATTTTTATAGCTGTTATCTAAAGTGTTCATATTTTTTTAATTTTTTTTCTTGATGTCTCAAGTCACCCGCATTTTCGGTTGACTTGAGACACAGAGGGGTCTATTCTGTAACAATTCCTTTATATTTAACGGCCTTTAAAAATATTGGCGGCCTTTAAAATATTTTCGTATTCGTTAATTTACTTCTGTCATTACTTAAACAGATTTCTTTAAGATAGTTCTTTAATGTATTTTAAAGATCCGTTTAAATAATGACAGAAGTAAAGACGAAAATATTTTTAAAGGCCGTTAAATATAAAGGAATTGTTACAGAATAGACCCCAATCACCCTTTATTTTGTACGAATAACTCAAGATACAAAAGGATCGGGCGCCTTGAGACAACAAAATAAGGTTTTAAAAAATGTATGGCTGTTCAAAACGTAAAAAAAAAACAAGTTATTACAAAAATAACATGTTTATATTAACATGAACCATTGACTTTGGTAACTAATGCAAAAATTCTTAGAACCAGTCTTTAGGAACTATTTTTAAGAACAAAGTAAACTTAAATCTACTTTTTTTATTAAATGTCAACGGAAAGACTGTTTAACGAAAACAACAGTTCCTAGATATTTTAAGAAAAAAATATAAAAATTCTTAGAATCAACCTCTAGGAACAAAATAAACCTAAATCAATTTTTTTAATTTACACATTTACGGAAAAACTGTGCCTTCCTCTTTTTATAAGGGTAGGTTTCAATAGTGAAATAATTTGAGAGGCTTCTATAGCTGCCAAATCTGGGATATCAGGGAAAACATAAATATTTTTATTGGAATTAATACTTTTTCTTAGGAATTTACAGTTAAATGTTGAGTTTTTTATTATTTCTGTCACCTGACCAATAAATTTCTTATTCACTATTTTGTTGTTTAGGGCTTCGAAGGGTATTTCCACCAAAATAAATCTACCTTTTCAATTTTTTCCAGTTTTAATTCCTCTTCGATATCTGATTCGAAATTCTCCGGGGAATCCGAGAAATCTTAAAGGGAATATGAATCCGATTCATACGTTTCACCATCGTTGCTTTTCTAATTATTTTTAAATAAGTTGCATCTAGATACGACTTTACTATCGCCCTTAAATCTCGGCTTGTAACAGGAAAGTCCCATCTGCAAGCAGTAGCTGTATTTTGCCCTATTTTCGCCTCTTCTTCAGCACTTAGTTTTGTTTGTCCCCCTGGTTTTTTCATATTAAGATTGTTAACCTTTCTTTGTATTGTTGATCGACTCACTTTATATTTTTTCTCAAGTCTTTGGAAGCTACCACCCCTCATTCTGTATTCTCTGACCGCCATTTCCAAATTTTTGGGATCAAAAACGACATATTTGCGGCCGCCCACTTTTCGCTTATATTTTCCCATTTTTACCTTAAATTAACATAACTAAATTGAAATATAACATAAAATAAAATATATTCCGACCTTGAGGATGACTTGAGACATTGGTCTCAAGTCATTCTCAAGAAGACACATTTTTTGTTTTTCTAATTTTTGTGCTAACAAAAAAAAAAGGTAAAATAAACGAAACAAAGAGGAAAAGCTTAGCAATGCACAGCACTACACACTACGCTCAACTTAATTTACAAAGCTTTTATAAATAAGGAGTTCTACATAAAGTTTTCTGGAATATTTAGATTCAGGGTGTTTTCCAAAGATTTTGAAATGTGCTATAGTCAAACCACTATTTTAAAATGGAAATAAAAATTAATTTAGTAATTATCGACCAATATTGTTATCAACTATTTCAAAATTAAATGAAAATTTTAAAAACACTAATATTGTATTAGAAGTTATTATTTTTTGTTCTTCTTTCTACTAACTAATATAATAATAATAATTACAAATAGACAAAAATTAAAAGTACCATTATCGAAGTCTGCGTAATTTAAATATTAAAAATTAAAACATCCAGTCAATATTTACACAACGATAATATATATTATGCGTATCAACATTACAGAGACACCTATAATAAAAAGGTAGATTAAAAAGAAAACTTAACTTAGTTTTCTTTATTCTTAAATAAAATTAATCATTCGTTAGTTATGTCATTGTCTGTATAAAAAACTGCCTGTAGCTATGCAACTATTCATACATATGGTATGTGGCTGCTATTTTAAAGTTAAACAATTGTAATTTAACCACCGGGGTGCTATGATTATCACATTTAGATATAAAATAGATATGCAATTAGTTGATACCGTTTGCCAAGAAAATGTAAGAGAAAGTCCCAAAGAAATTTGCGGAGATATTATGAAGGAATCCACCAAAGAAAGCCATAAAGAACACCATACAGAAAGCATTAAGGAAAATACTATAGATAGTGCCAAAGAAGACATCGAAGAAATAAGCCCTAACGAAGACCGAGAGCAGCCTATTGATGAAAACCATATAGAAAATCCTGAGGTTATATAAAGCATGCTTTGAAGAATAGAGACTCTTTTGTCAGTGAACCAGTATTTAATAAAGATTTTTACTTCGCAATTTAATATAGGATTTCACGTACCTCGCAAATATAAATGCAGTATCTGTATTGGTTACAAAAAACAAGAAGCCTCTAACGATGAAACAATTAAGTTCAACATTCATGTTGAGGAAAAAGAGTTGGCCAAGAAATAATATTTAATTGATCAGAAAAAATCAAATTCAAATAGGTTTCTCTGTAGTAGCTTCGACGCAAAAGGTTCTTAGTACTCCATATGGTGAGCTGGATATGAGAGTTTTTTATTATAATAGGTATTCTGTATACAACAAAACAATTTATGAAGCCGGCACACGAAATGCATAGTATTACATTTGGGGTGAGGCCGATGGTAAGCGGGGAAGTAACGAAGTAAGCTCCGTACTGTACAATTACCTTCGTCGTGTAGATTTGTCCAACAGCGTTTCAGAAATTTCTTTGTACTACGACTCTTGCACTGGGCAAAACAAAACAGAGTGGTAATGGCTATGTTAGAATATTTTTTGAAGATGACTGTTAATATAAAAACAATAAAAATTACATTTTTAGTACCTGGACATACCTACATGCAAGTAGATAGTGTTCATGCTTGTATCGAAACCTACACAAAAAAAATGCTAATCTGGGCTCCAAGTGAATGGCCTACTATCTTACGAAATTCAAGAGTAAATCCACACCCTTTGAGGTTATTTATTTTAAATATGGTAACTTTTACGACTTTAAGGCACTTAAAAAAAAATTAAAAAAGATATGGACGGAATGCTAATAAAATATGGGAATTTTAGACAAATGATTTTCTTGAAGAGCTCAAGCGAGGTACAATTCAAATATTCACTTAAGGATGAAGTCAAGTTTGTACCTCTTGAAAATTTAAGACTATCAAGAAACATAGAATTAGTACCTGTATACACAAAGCGTCAAGAAATACCCCTTAAAAAATATGATAGTCTATTGGAAATGTGCGAAAAAAATTTAATTGATGAAAAATACCATGAAGAATATAAATCCCTCATTGCAAAAGATACTCCTGTCACTTTACCAGAATCCGATGAAGAAGACACCATTAGCAACTATGAATAATATTCGTATTTTATTTTTGTCTTAGCTTATGTCGTAGGTACAAACATTTAAGTTTTTTTTTTTAATTCCAATTTTCATAGTAAATTATTATGAGGCTTATTAAAAAACCTATCCCACAAAAAAAATCTTAACAACTTAAATACATTAAAGGAAAAAAGCCCTAACCATCATTTTTTCGATTTTCAGGCATAAAATGGTATTTAAAATAATCAAAAATTTTATTTAAACAAACTATTTATATAGATGGTTAATATGTAAAAAGCGGAACCCTTTTTACTTTCCTATCTGAATACAGATATAAGGAAAGTATAGGAATCATGATTTTTTCGACCTCGAGTTTTCGACGGATTTTTACATTTTAAGGTCTCCTAAATCCGTTTTGACTATTTTCGCGATGATGTCTGTGTGTCTGTGTGTCTGTGTGTCTGTGTGTCTGTGTGTCTGTGTGTCTGTGTGTCTGTGTGTCTGTGTGTCTGTGTGTCTGTGTGTCTGTGTGTCTGTGTGTCTGTGTGTCTGTGTGTCTGTGTGTCTGTGTGTCTGTGTGTCTGTGTGTCTGTGTGTCTGTGTGTCTGTGTGTCTGTGTGTCTGTGTGTCTGTGTGTCTGTGTGTCTGTGTGTCTGTGTGTCTGTGTGTCTGTGTGTCTGTGTGTCTGTGTGTCTGTGTGTCTGTGTGTCTGTGTGTCTGTGTGTCTGTGTGTCTGTGTGTCTGTGTGTCTGTGTGTCTGTGTGTCTGTGTGTCTGTGTGTCTGTGTGTCTGTGTGTCTGTGTGTCTGTGTGTCTGTGTGTCTGTGTGTCTGTGTGTCTGTGTGTCTGTGTGTCTGTGTGTCTGTGTGTCTGTGTGTCTGTGTGTCTGTGTGTCTGTGTGTCTGTGTGTCTGTGTGTCTGTGTGTCTGTGTGTCTGTGTGTCTGTGTGTCTGTGTGTCTGTGTGTCTGTGTGTCTGTGTGTCTGTGTGTCTGTGTGTCTGTGTGTCTGTGTGTCTGTGTGTCTGTGTGTCTGTGTGTATGTGTGTCTGTGTGTCTGTGTGTCTGTGTGTCTGTGTGTCTGTGTGTCTGTGTGTCTGTGTGTCTGTGTGTCTGTGTGTCTGTGTGTCTGTGTGTCTGTGTCCACCATAACTCATGAACCGATACACAAAAAAATACCAAATTTTAAACTTAAGCTTTGTTCCAGCGTCAAATGAACTGATTAGATTTTGGGCAGAGTCGGGACATCTGGGGGGGGAGTACTTTATGGGAGGTCGTTTTTATATTTTATGGAATATATCTGTTATTTATGTTTGGAGAAACAAATTGTTTAAATAAATAAATAAATAATAAATCGATCTCTATAATTTTTGTTTATACATTATTTTTCTAAAATGGACCGTAATGGAAAAAATAGTTTAAAGGTATGTAATTTGTAACTAAACGATTGTATATTTGATGCATGTTATCTACTTACTTTAGGAATATATTTATAAAAGTGAAAAAACGATATAATTTAGATAAATAAAACAAACAAAACGCACTCAAAAAATCTACTGTCACTTTAATTGTCAGTGGAACCATAATTACATCATCACTGAACCAGCGCATTGCGGTATCGAATCAGTGGCGTACCCAGATATGGATCTTGGAGGGATATCAAAATTAAACATGGAACAAATTTTTATTGTAAAATATAGTATTCTATTTTATATAATAAAATCTAGTCGTTTAGTCCAGGAGCTGATACCTTAGGTTTATTTAAACAACAATCAGAAACCAGTCATTGCCATTGTCATTATATACTGTGCAGAATCCTGGTGCCAATGACTGAGTTTGGAACGTTGTAGGAACAAACCTCATATCGTCATCGTAGAGTCCAAACCTCGTATCATAAAATTAACAGGTTTTCAGGAAACACTAAAAACACTTATTTTTTCTGTACTTGTTAATTTTGTTAAAGTTGTTTTTTTATGCAATAGAAAAAGGCAGGTCAAAAAGATGCCAAATGGTTAAACATTTACATTTTTAAAATTAATCTGTATAAATATTTTTTTAATTAAATTAAAAGCAAAAATTTTTGCCCAAAGCCAATTTTTTAAACGACTTTTGGTTAAAAATTTGGGCGTGGCAGCCCAAAAAATTTTTCGTCTCTGATAAGGGGCCTCCGACAGGGCGCCTGAGGTGGGGTTTGTTTAATAATAAATATCTTTGTTTCTGCGCTACTGATAGAAATAGAAAAATTTAAATAGGATCAAAGAAATAGCAATATTATAATTACGCTCACCAATAAAATTACTTTTATCACATTTTATAACACCATATTTAATAATATTTAATTAGAATTTAAAGCGATTCTGGATCAGCGATTAATCTAAATAATATAAAGTATTTTATTATTCTTCTAAACATAAGTAACGGTAAATAAACGTACTATCAAAATTGTAGAGATTTGTATCAAAGCAGAATTAGTATTTGTATGTCGAACAAGGCAGGCTAATAAAGGCCCGGTTAAATAGCAACATCCAGTGAATAAAATTAAATTGAATTAAATGATGGAAAAACAGATAGCAGAGAAACTACCGGAGGGGCAATTACTCACTAAATCTGGTAGTAAATTGCCTATTAAGGCGTACAAAAGAAGATGGTGGATAATGTTTGTTTTTATGTATTACGCTGGGATTAATGCTTTGCAATGGATCGAATATTCCAGCATTACCGCCATTGTCGTCAAATATTACAATGTCAGTACTTTAGCTGTAGATTGGACTTCGACTGTTTTCATGGTTGTGTATCCAATATTGGTGATTCCTGCGTCATACCTTATTGATAAAAAGGTAAGAATTTTTTTCTACAACTGTTATGAAAAGTAGCTTATTTCTCATAGCTAGGTAGGCTGATATATATGGGGTGACAAATTATAATGTTATTATCAATTTTAAGATTAGATAAATATAAAAGCGTCTAAAATAAAATACTACGGATAATTTTGTACATTAGGGTGTAAGTGGCGTCCTCTTTGTTTAGTATTAAAATTGATAAGAAAATTATAATTTTTCACTCCAAAACATCACCTTACCTAATTTCAAGACGATACAATAAATAAATTCCAAAATATTGCCTGAATCTATGGTTAAAATATTTCCCATTCCTTATGAAAGACCTGTTTTAATTTTACACTTTACTCCAGTTTTTTGTAATGAAACCAGCGGTAAAATAGATATTTGTGTACCAAGGCCATAGAAATAATATAGAAGACCAATATAAATATAACATCCAAGCAGAAATTGAAACCTACTGTGCATAAAAACGCGTCTCTGCGCCTGACATCTCAAAATAGTGTGTCTAGAAGCTTGCGCAGTATGCATGACTTGTCCCTGTAGTGTTGCCAAGTATATTAAACATACCTAACACAAAAGAATTTTAAATTAATTTATTTTTAAATTACATGATTTAATCAGTTTATGTCTACGAAATATCGCCCCAAAATAATTTATAAACATTTAAATAATCAACTATAATAGTAGTAATATTTATGTGTAATTACATTCCCAAAAATATATACAAATACGGTATTAATGTACAACAAGCGATTCACCTACAAATTCAATATTGACCTGGCAACACCACTTTAATCCGGTGTTTCAAGGCTCTATGACGGTGCCGTTACAGGACCGTTTGTGATATTTTGGCTTCAATTTGTATTTTATTATTTAATTACACAACATTTTATTTTTAGTTTCGTGTAGTGTTAAGTTAAATCCTAGGTACAATAAAAGACATTTTTACATTGGCTAATGAAAATGTAACCAATGTATTTAGCAGCTGTTATATTTATTACAAGATTTATGTCTAGAAATTCAAACCTACCTAAGAATTATAATTATGTAAATAGAGAGCTGTATATTTATATACAGGCTGTCCAGCGACGGGGAGACGTTATCGGTATCTGACAAAATAATGAATGATTTTTTGTTAAAAATAGTAAACAGGCTATGATCTTTCCATCTAAAATATTTTGACAGTTCTGTTATTTCCTTTTTATTTTAAATGAGATGCCACTTCTATTATTCCTGATAGCGATGGAACATGAAATGTTGCTTATTTGGAATATATACCTTTACACAACGCTCATGACGTCAGAGACAGTTTCAGTCGGGTATAATTTAAAATAAAGAATTTTAAAACGAATCGTATTAATTTGTACCTGTACCTAACATTTATGGCATCACTAGCCGAGTTGGCATCGGGTATATTTTCAAATGTAGAAACTGAAAATTAACCCTATTAAATTGTATACTTTTAAATGCGGGTTTCAAGGCATTTTAAAATATAAACTCGATCTCAACGAACTTAGAAACTTCTGTCACTCGATATTTTAATCGTTACTTCCTCTTCGCTTTTTGGCCGGCACAACAATTATTTACATTTCTTCATTCTTTACCGCGTGCGAACCAGTACGGTTTAAAGAAATTTTAAAAAACCTACTTTAAAAATGAAGATGTTAATGATTTTCTCATGGATCCCATCTTCAGATCCTGACTTAATTTATGTAGTATTATTCATTTTCTAACAAAAAGAGAATCATAGAAACCGGGCAACGTGGTAAAGAATTATCGCTCAACATACATAAAAAAATATTTCAACGAATTGAGAATATCCTCCCATTTTAAAGTATGTTAAAAAAAATTGTTAATAAAGTGCAAAGTAGGGTGATAATATATATTATGAAGAATATAAAATGATAGATAAAGCCAGTGTAGAAAGTATTATAAATAAACTGTGGAAATATCGAGAATCTCGATTTTGAATCGGAAGAAGAGTATTCTATGCAATTTAGAATGAAAAATGATCAAAATGAAACAAATGAACGACATGCTAATGTTATTGACAACTTTATTTAAACATTTTCTAGTTTTCCGAAAACTAACTGGATAGTTCGAAAATCATTTCCGCCGTTAAAGCGCCTCTTGTTCCGAAAAAGATACACGCCTGTCAACATTCATCGTTCAACAAAAAAAGTATTAGATACAAAACGCTTCGTATTGTAAGGCCAAAATATATTTGGAAATCAAAAAAGTCATATAAACAAAAAAATCATTATAGTGAGATAACTACCAAATTAATGATTTACAAGTTTATTCTTATTATCTATAAAATAGGTTTGCAATGTGCTGATGTGGAATGTTATCTTCGACTAAAAACTTTAAATCTTTGTATTAAATTGATCGAAAACAATCCATAAATTGGTTTAGACTATACAGAATGTTTCTAATAAGCAGCGACTAACTTTTATTATGAAAACGAAAGACCCTTTTAAAAGGGTTTAAAATTAAAATAAAATATGTACCAAGTACCAAGTAAATGTAGTAGTATTTTTTAATTTTGAATCTTGAGAGATGCAGACATATTTGGATACTTTATATTGAAAATGGTAACATGAAAGGTTTTTTGTCTAATTGTAAGTAACGACTCACAGTCTTGGCTGACAAAATATAAAAAAATATCGAACATAATATTCCTGGGCGAAACGCACCTGCCCCCTATTTTGCACTACTCAAATTAAATTTACTTGTAGCAAATGATACTAAATCAAATAAGATCTCGTGACTGCAGCACTAATGATTTCTGTAAATTAACCAATTCATTTTTCATGCCATATTTTTCTTTCAAAAACATATTTATCCTACTTGAATTTTTTTCATCGTTTTTTATATAGAAGCATCTCTAAAAATGTATGAATAAAACATGGTTTGAACTATTTGTTCGATCAATAAAAAACTTGCACCGGTCCTGTTCGAGCCAGCACCGTTATACGCATGAGCTCCGACACACTATTTTCTCCTTAGGGTTTCAGTTTTGATATATGGAATTGGCTTTCTATACTATTTCTATGACCAAGGCTGTGTTTTGGCCGAATTAGACATTTGCGTCCGAGTCTAAGCGAGTTCTGGTTAAGTATAAGAGTAATAGATGTCACATAAGTAGGTGTACTGAAGATTAACTTTGCAGGACCCAGAATCAGATAGGTATAACACTTGATATTCTTAAAACCATGCATATTACACTGAATAAGAATGAATGGAAGTGTCAGAAGGAGGCTAAACGCAAAAAATAGACGGAACAGAGCTGAATAGATAAATAAGTAATATTTTTACCAGGAGACAGTCGATGAATGTTATAAAAATAGTAAATGTATGAATGTATTTTTAATGTATAATTTCAATTTATTTTCATTTTTGGTATAAAACAATGGCTGACATAATAAAAGTATATATATTTTCAATCTTTATTACTATACATTATTTAGTTTTCATTTATTCTCTCTGACCTAGGGAAAAGGTTAGAAAACCCTGGTCATAATTATTTACAATGTTGATGTTCCTAATGATGCAAAACATTACAGAGGAATGATACTTAACCGATGAAATCTTATCGAGTTCACACATGACGTATTGTGGTACGGAATATGGCTATCTATGATGCCTATGCAAATTTAAATTTATTTTTGCGTACTGTTTTCGATCAACTGATACCCCAAATTCATACAAGCCACATCTTCGCACCACAATGTGACATAGCATCAAATCTGCTTAATCTCATACTATTTTTTTTAAGTATCAAGGATATTCTTAGTGTAGCTAATCATCATCGAGTCACTGAACCTAAAAAATAACAAATATCAATAAATAGAATTCGGAATTTATTCCAAAAACATTTTTCTTTGGGAATTATATAGGATTTCTCATTAATATACTGACAAGGTGGTAGGTGCATCAAAATAAATATTTTTTGTTTAATAAAATAAAAATAATTTTATTGCCCAACAGATTAATCCATTTATAGGACAAAATACATGAAATAAATATCAAACATAATATTTCGACAGAAAATACTTTTAGCAACTAACAGCAAGAAAAAAAAGAAAAGAAAGAATCCTAAATATATTAGTTACAAATTAGTACAATTAATGGTCGAAATAAATATCCCAATCAGAACAAAATTAACTAAAATTTGAGCACATTAGTGTTATAGGCGAATTTATTCCCAAGTTCGCTTGAATACTTGCTGTATAAAATGTTTTATGATATCTAATGATTGTTTGGGGAATATTAAAATTTATTTGATTTATCAAAAATGATACATCAATAGTGTTATGTAATATTTTATAAAGAAATTTCACGCTGGAAACTACCCTTCTATTTTCCAAAGATGGTATGCTGAACCTGTAAAGCAACAGATATTGTTCAATACTTCAAAAGAAAGGTACTTGAGAAATCTCCGCTGAACATTTTCCAATGATCTTTTATGAATATTGTAAATAAGATTCAAGATAAGAGATGCATATTCTAGCTTGGAACGAACTAAAGAAAAGTAAAGGATCTCTAAGCTTTGAGAGTTTGTAAAAGAACGAGTATTACGAATTAAGAACCCTAAGCTTTTCAAAGCAGAAGTGCAGAAGCAACGGTATTATCAATATAATCCGAAAAAGTTACTTTTTGGTCGAATAATATACCTAAATCTTAAATTTGTGCACAAGTCGACAAAGGTAGGCTGTTAAATAAATAATCAAACTCCACCTTGTTAATTCAATTTCAATTTCAATTTATTCAAATTCAAATAGTAATAAAGTACAAATAATAATAATAATATTTTAAGATTAATATAGATTACAAAAAATCTAGAACCAGCAACAAGCCTAAGCAAAAGCTGCCTGTGTTGCTTGTGCTGATTCTAAAAGATTTGAAATAAAACGTACATTTTATATTTTAGTGTCTAAGTAGGTATAAAAATAAGTAGGATACAAAATTTTTTTAGATTGAGTACATATGCAGAATGAAGCAGACGAGGGTTATCCAGGAGTTATTCCAACATTTAATACAAATAGTTGACAACAAATTTCAATTTTAAATCAGGTATAGCTTACAACATTATAGCAGTAAATGTGATTTGGTTATCTATTATATATTTTTTAATATTTTGTTTGAATATAGATAGTTTACTTTTTTGTTTGAGATGTATGGGGATTAGATTGTAGAACTTGGGACCAAAGTAAAAGAAGGATCTTTGGGTTAGAGATTTTTTAAAAAGTTGAGTAGAAAGGTCCATATTTGTAGTAGAGCGAGTCAATCGAGTTTGTTTATATTGAAATAGTTCAGGGCTATTATATACTTTTATGATACATTGGTAGATAAAGAGTGATTTAATGTTGAGGATTTCGTTTTCATTATATAATCGTATGGTAGTGAATAATTTATCTTTTTTTAATATTATTTTCAAAATTGTGTTTTGTGTTACTTGCAGTGTATTAAGTGTAGTGTTAAAAGCCCCTCCCCATGCCGTAATACAGTATCTTAAAACAGATTCCACTAATGAAAAATATGTCATGATTATTTTTGTCTTAGAGAGAATATCGCATAAAATGTATGCATTAGAGCCCTTATTCGATTACTAACATGAGTGATATGCTCTGTCCAACATATATATTGGTCTAGTATAACACCTAAATATTTTATGGAAGCGACTTTTTCAATAGTGGGACATATGCAATTGTTTAGCTCGCAGTTTAGGGTGTGTAGTTTAATCGGTAAGTTAATTGGCTGATTTGTAGCAGTCGGGCTGAAAGCAATAAATTTTGTTTTTTTTAATATTTAATGTTAGTTTGTTATAGTTTAACCATAGTGTCACCTTAGTTAATGTAGCTTCTGTTTTGCGATGTACGTCTTCCCACGTTTTTCCGGTGAAAATTATGGCTGTATCATCGGCATAACACACAAGATGACCTTGAAAATTATTAATTTTTGTTATACTATTCATGTAAACAAGAAACAACAAGGGACCCAAGACTGTTCCCTGTGGAACACCCACTTTAATAATTGATTCGTAGCTAAATTCAGAACCAATCCTTACTCTTTGAACACGATTATATAAGTAATCAGATATAAGTTTCAGCGCCACGCCCCGAATTCCATAGTCTTCTAGTTTGTTTAGAAGTATTTCATGAGAGACTGTATCAAATGCCTTGGCTAAATCAAGGAATACAGCAGTGCATGCCAATGATTCATCCAGGGCACCGACTACTTTTCTCATAAGATCTATAATTGCAGTTTCAGTACTTGAATTTTCTATAAAACCATGTGGATAGCTTGTTAATACTTCTAATATACTTCTAATATAGGAACATACTTTACATTTAAACACATTCATAAACAGCTTGTTTTTATTACACCAATTTTCAACGATGCCCAGTTGGGTCTGTCAAAAGTGGCAGTCCTGAATTGATGAGATTGAGGTAAATATTTTTAAGTCAACAGCGAATAGCAGGTGATTGCATGTTAAGTTTATTGCCAAGTCATTTATAAATATACTAAATAATAGTGGCCCCAGATTGGAGCTCTGTGGAACTCCAGATGTTGCTATGAAGAGTGAGGCCGAAAATCCGTTATAAAAGACATAATTAAAACGATGATTTAGATAAGAAGAAAATAATGTCAACAGCGACTGATCAAACCCTAAGCTTTCCAACTTCCTTACAAGAATATTATGACCCATTCGAACAAAAGCCTTAGAGATGTCTGTATATATTACGTCAATTTGCCCTTTCTGATCGTCTACATCTGAACATAATAATATGTCCCAAAATGCTTCGTTTTTGAAACACATATTTATTAAGCAAAAAAGTTTATTTTGATGTCCCCTCTACCGCTCCTAAAAGTTTGTTGGTATATTTACAGGACCCTTTGTATATTTAAATCTGTACAATGTAGGTACTCATCAGATTCTTGTTTACAACTAAAAATATAATAAAACAGAGTTCAGAAGTTACAGGTAAATTATTACTAAAAAAATAAAAATACTATTGTTTTCGACTCGAGATATTTCTCAAAATATTCATGAATTCAGATATAATTTGGAAATTTATCAATAAAAATCATATTCAGATTTCAATCAAATTATATTTATTTTTCTTTAGTAAAATGTATAATAAAAATAGTCTAACCTTTTGCTAGTAACTGCACGACTTTTCTTTCATAATTAGTTACATAACACGTAAAAAATAATAAAAAATAAATTCTAAATTTTTACAATCAAAAGAGCGAGTTAGACCCTGGCCGAATCACATTAGCTTTGTCCCAACATCTCACAAAACCGTAATATTACGGTCATCGTCATGCGCAGTAAATAAAAACCTATCAATAAAGTCCAAAGTCGAACGGTTTTTATTTACTGCGCATGACGATGACCGTAATATTACGGTTTTGTGAGATGTTGGGACAAAGCTTTTATATTTGCTAATCCAAGCTACCGTTGGTTCCAGGTAGGTAGGAGAGAGGGGAATATTTTCACAAGTTCGAGATAAATGGTTCAGGACAAAACTCAATTTTTTATTTTAGCAAAAACTTCAGCTATAAATTCCAGTTTTCCAAAAATTGACAAAAACTTAGTTGGCTGCTGTTTAGCTTTACAATTTTCATGAAATATATAGTATATTACATTACGAGTGTGGAAAGTGACATTTTTCACACGAGTGGGAAATATTGTCGCACGAGGCGTAAGCCGAGTGCGACTATCACACGAGTGTGGAAAATCACTTTTCACACAAGTGATGTACAATATTTTTCCTACGACCACAAAATAATTTCATCAAAAAATGTAAAACCAGATTATTATAATAATTAAAATGTATTTAAAAAAATAATCAACAATAATCGTATTTATTAAATTTTCATAATTTCTAAACAAATAAAAAAAAATAAAAAAAAAATAAAAAAAAATAAAAAAAAAATTCTGGCACAGCCAGGATTCGATCGCGGTCGTTGGACGGTCTCAAATTGCAAAGTTGATGCTCTAACCAACTGAGCTAACAGGCCTTACGGTAATTGATTGATCTAATCGCTTATGTGTTTAACCAGAATAAAAAGCAAATATATCTTAGTTATTTTAAAATTATTTTAAAAATAATTGTTAAAGATAAATATCTAGGATCTAATTTACAATAATTTAACAATCATATCGATTTTAGTATTAATATGGACATTACATAGATCAAAATAGAAATTATGTGTTTGACATTTTCTGACAGCTACTGCGGAAAGTAGCATATTCTCACTTGGGTGGAAAGTAAATTCTTATTCATACGCGTGTGATATAGGGCACTTTCCATAGGTCTATATAGTGTGATATGTGTCACTTTCCTAAGTGGTCGTAGGAAAACTATATTTTTGATGTTTTTGGCAAATAAGGAGTTTTGTATTAATAAGGACTCACTTATGCATTTTTATAATTATTTCCTAATTAAATAAACTTTAATATTATAAATATACCATATTAAAAATAAAAATCTCTAGACAATGATAACAATATTGACATATATTATTATTTTTATCAAAAGAGATTACAGTACCATAATAGTCATTGTTCTCTTAAATGCCTTAAATTTTCATTTACTCGTTTATTTGCAAATAATAAAGATACAAAAAAGTTTTGAAACGACGCCATCAAATTTGACGAACCTTTTTTATGAACCAACCTGATTCTTCATTGTGTATCATGCTATACTACATGCATAAGTAAATAATAATCATAGCATAGTTGTGGTGAATTGTGTGGTTTATTCGGGTTCCTTTAAACCAGTAAAACAGTTGAATTCCAAATTATTCATCGTATACAACTATTAAACTGTCCACTGGTCAACTAGTACTCTGATAGTTTTTAACGTATTTTTGAAGAATACGAACAGACTTGTGAAATAAAAAATAGAATGCCATTCAGACAATAGTCAAATTATCAATTGCAGTTCCAAAAAATTAATTTCACTTGCAGCCGGAAGAGCAGCATTAACCTCATTCTACATCCAACCTAATGTAAATAAACAAGTATCCTACTTATAGATGACAATCGCGAATGCTTCAACTTGGCAAACCCCATCTGGTATCACTTAAAGACTTCGATGATCCACCAGTACAGCTTCTTACACTTGTCTTATATATTTCCTTCAAAATTCTATGATGGCAAAATACTAGGTTGGACAATTCTAGAGTGCCAACTGTATAATGGGAAAATAATGTTTACTTAAAAGGTTTCATAGAGAGGTTAACGTTTGAAGAATTTTATAGCACCCATTTTAGTAAATTGTACCCATCTATTTAATTGTATTACTTTTCTACTATTGACTTTTCTTATGGCTTTGTAAATGATAAATTGTGTATTTTTTTACACAATTAAACATTTTTTAATTTGATTTGATTTGACTCATTTAAAAAATTTATTAAAACCTTATTACTAATATATTTCTTCGTTAACAATTATCTTTCTTTAGGGGGTAAGATTGGCTGTACTTGTAGGATGTACCGGTACGTTTATAGGGACCGCTATAAAAGTACTGTCCATTCGAGGCGACATGTTTTGGCTAGTATTAGTTGGCAACACGATTGTTTCTGCTTCTTGTTTAGTAATCGTATGTCTACCACCGAAATTGGCATCTTTATGGTTCCAAGCCAATGAAGTAAGTTTATTTTTAACAATTTCTAACAATATGAAACAGTTTTAGGTATAACAAACCATCGAGAAAAATATTAATTGGAGTTGGTAATTTAGCCACTCCCACAGAATGATATTTATTAGACAGTGACTAGCAGTATATCGGCTGTACGCGTTTTATTTGAACATCGATCTCCTTCTGACATAGTAGGTGAGCTGGGTCCAGGCCATTGGTGTTTATGCCGATCGGCGTATGGATTAAAATTTGCGGCGAAGCCGCCACCCTACGAGAAGTCGTTGCTTCGTCTTCTTCTTGTAACGGCGTTATTATTATTTGTTCATGCATGTAAAACTTGCTTCTAAGGTTTGTAAAAAAAATACTTCACTCCATCATCTGAAATAAAGTTAGGTTAGAATTATGATGTACAAATAATGGAGGATACATCCGATGTACAAATATTTCGTGTACATCCGATGTACTGCTAGTCACGGCGTATTTATTATTACTTGACATTTTCTCGCTGGCTCGTTACTATTTTGAATCAATATTTACTCTTAAATCATTACAGAATCATTATTAAAACAGGTTTCGACTGCATGTTCTTTAGGTGTTTTCGGTTCGCAAATGGGTTCGGCAATAGGTTTCGTTCTGCCGCCATTTTTGGTTCACGATCATGACAATCTTGAAGATATTGGAAGTAATTTAAAAGTGCTGTGTTGGGTACTAGCAATAGCGATGATTCCACCAACTGTAGCTGTATTTCTCTGTAAGTATTTAGTTGTATTTTAAATTAGAAACAATAACCGAGGTGACTTCATTTGCACGTCAATAGTTGGTCATTTAATGTCATTAACGTCACATGACCTTGAAATGACGACATATTAACGTATTAACCAAATAGGAACGTCATCTTGATGTTTATTAAAGGTAATTAATGGTCATAATTCGAGAGTTTGATCAAATTCCACAATCCACTATTTGTATGACAAAGCAATAGTTAATGTCATCCAATTAAAAAAAAAACATTGAATTAGGGAATCCAAATAAAATGGTTACCCGAAGGTAATGACAGGTTCTGATATGGCAACCCTGTAAGCCTGGTGATTTGACAGGGTCAATGATATAAATATTTATATAGATTAATTATTCATATTTTTTTAAAATAAGCCTTTATGCACGACCAGGCGATAAAGTTCAGATCATAAATACGTTTGGCGGGCGTAAAGTTCCCCTTTATTGCCCGCCAACTACTTTACCTCCCGTGAACTACAAATATCTATAGTATAAATATAATATTCCACGAATATGACATTGACAAAACATTTTCACCAATTTCAAAAAAAAATCCCTAATACAAAGAATGACGTAATAAAACGAAATGTTTTGATTGCATCAACCGATATTTTTGTTGCAGATTTTCCAGATGAACCTCCGTTGCCTCCGAGCAATGTACAAGCTGTTTTAAGAGAAAATAAAGTACAGTTTGACACTAAAGTGTTTTTCCTCTCCATTAAAGACTTGTTTTTAAATACAGGTTTCGTTATTCATCTGTGCGGTTATGGGATAAACATAGCTGTATTCTCTGCCATTGGGACCTTATTAAGTCAGTTCATATTGAGCTTTTTCGAGGTACGTTTTAGGTATTATAGCTACTTTACAATTTTGCAATTTTCCTTGCTAACTATAGAAGGTTATTTTACTTTACTTATACAGGGGTGGATCATAAAGAAAGCAACTAAAGCATATCCGTCAAAAATGCTTGTCGTTTTTGAATAAAATCATTATAAGAAAATAAATAAACTTACGAGGCTGGGCTGAGAACAAATACAATTGTTTCTGGTAAAAACTATCTTTCAAGTGACTTCTGTCATATTTTCAGCGAGCTGCGTCACTTGGTTTGTACTTGACAGTGATTGAAGGCAAACAGATTTTGCATTTTTACAAAAATGAATAAAATCGAATATTGCGCAGTGATTAGATTCTTATTTTTAAAAAAGAAAACGAACGATGAGATCAAAATCGAACTGTATGATGTGTATGGGGACTCTACACCTTCGTTATTAACAATAAAATATTAGACTGCCGAATCTAAACGAGGTCGTACGATAATTTTTGATGATGAGCGTCCAGGCCGTCCAAAAGAGAGGTCACCACACCAGAAGTGGTCGATAAAATCCATGGTTTGGTAATTGACGATCGACGGGTAAGAGTGTGTGAGATTGCTGAGGCTGTGGGCATCTCACGTGAACGAGTGGAAAATATATTGCACGAATATTTGGGAATGACGAAGCCCGCTGCCAGATGGGTGCCGCGTTTGCTCAATGCCGACAACAAGCGAAACCGTGTGACAACTTCAAAGGAGTGTTTGGAAATGTTTAACCACAATAAGAAGAACTTTTTGCGCCGTTTTGTAACCGTGGATGAAACATGGATTCATCACAATAAGCCAGAGACGAAGGAACAGTCAAAGCAGTGGGTTTCTCAGGGCGAGTCAAAGCCAAAGAAAGCCAAGGTGGATCTGTCTGCCAACAAGGTCATGGCCACAGTTTTTTGGGATGTGCACGGTATTATTCATATCGATTACCTTGAAAAGGGCAAAACCATCACTGGCGATTATTACTCAAAGCTGTTGGACCGATTTGACGACAATTTGAAGCAAAAACGACCGCATTTAGCGAAGAAGAAAGTGCTCTTCCACCAGGACAACGCACCGGCGCACAAATGTGCAGTCGCAATGGCAAAACTGTATGAATTTCGTTAAGAATTGGTTCCTCATCTGCCATACTCCCCAGATTTGGCGCCCAGCGACTATTATCTGTTTCCAGACTTGAAAAAATGGCTCGGTGGTAATACATTTGAGCCGAATGGGTCATCGCTGCGACAGATGCCTATTTTAAGAACTTCGAGAAATCGTATTATTCGAAGGGCATCGAAAAATTGGAGAATCGTTAGACAAAGTGTATAGAGCTTAAAGCTATGTTGAGAAATAAATTGAGTTTTGCCAAAAAAAGTTGTGTTTTCTTGTCTAGGCCGATTATTTTTCAGCCCAGCCTTATCGAATTCAATTTTTTATTGTTGTCCTCTTCCCAGATAATTTCCTGTGGTACTTTATGGGAAATGATTTTTGTTAACAAACGTCTTATAGTGTCTTGTAAATATTTTCTAGTATTTTTGGAAAATCGCAAAATATAAAGTAGTTCAAGAATCACGTTTATCTAAAATAATAATAATAATAATAATAATAATAATAATAAAAAACTTTCTAGGGTGCGAATCAAGAAGCAGGATTTATGGGATTTATTCTGATTATTGCTGGAATGATTGCAATGCTGGCCTTTGGAATTTTACTGGATAAAACTCATAAATATAAGTAAGACTATAAAGTTTCTAATTATAAATTATTTATAATATAACTTTGGTTTCTGTTTTAGGGAAATTGCCTTATTCAACTATTTTTTTGCGGGAGTAAGCATTTTGTGTTTAATGTTTGCGTTAAAATACAGATTGAAAATCATGACCTATGTTGCCTGCATTTTAGTAGGGTAAGTAGTAATGATAATAGGTTAGGAGAACTATTTATGGGTATAGGGGTTACTCAGAGATAACGAAGAGATGTAACTGTTAGGTTGTAAATTAACTAGTACTTTATATCTAATTAGGAGAGTGAATAAAAGACATAAATTAAGCAGGTTCCATTTTATTACTGAATTGTTGCCAACCTTTAAAATACAAAAATCCCAATAAATAGGTAACACGCAACACACAATACTTAAGGGTTTTGTGGGTTGCTGCCCTCACAGTAACTACTAACAAATATCGTGCGGTCCGGAATAAGAAATATCTGCTGTTGTCATATGCCTATTTCATTATTCTCGTTTTGTTTAGTTTACAAAATTATTTAAATATATTAAAAAATCTAACATAATTCAACCTATTTTATTACAACTGTATTAAAACTAAATTAGATGTAATAATTTTCAATAAATTCCAAAACCTAGTTATGTTAGGTTGGAAGTGGCAACAGGGCTTACACCAGCATGGATATTTACGTTGTTTATTATAAGCGCATAGCGGCTTACACATTTATTCACTGATAAAAATAAGTTGTTTCCGCGTAAAATTCTTCTCTTTATCCCTTCTCTTACTTCTCACCTTTCGTCTCCTCGCCCCGTTCCTAGAAATAGAGTGTATCGATTGTCGAATTAATCTTGGCATCGTGAATATTATATTCTATCAATGAATGGTTATATCTCTGTTATCTCTGGGGTTACTTATGAAGAGTATCGTTAACTATAAAACTATATAAACCTTACTAGACCTATTGTGCATCCTTCTCAAGCTGTTGTAGGCTAGAATTCTAATAGTTATCAATTTTTCAGCATATTCACAAACGCCTACATGATGGTAGGCTTTGAATTCGGCATGGAATTAACTTTTCCTGCGGAAGAGAGCACCACGAGTGGCATCATGCTAGCCAGCTCTCAGATTTTGGGCGCCATCTTCACCATAAGTTTGGGATACATCAATCTTTGGTTGGGACCGTTTTGGGCTTTATCCACCCAAGTCGTGATGATGTTTATCGGTACCATAGCCACCGCTTTCGTGCCGAACGATTTACGTAGACAGGAAGCGTTCAGGAGGAATAGTCCTGAATACAGCGTTCGGAAGGCTTCTTATCACGGATCTAGACCAATGTTTATCGAATGAAATGTGTGATATAATAAAGATTTTTTTATAATATTATTTGTTATATTTATCAGTGGGTCTTAACTTGTTAGTTAAATTCTAAGCCGAATTTCACCGACCAATATCACTGTCTGACAGGGGTGTGCGGTCCATGGAAGCGGGGGAAGCACCGCTTCCCTACACATTGAGATTTAAAAATAAATATTTTTCAGTTTACAATGCATAGAAATTGCCAAATACCACGCGAGCTCAGATCTAGTAGGATATATACAGAGTGTAATTTTTTTTAAGAAACGCCTCTCTCTGAAATGAATTAACAATCACCCTGTATACATATAATGTAAAATGGGTTTATATAATGTCAGAACAGCAAACATTATGTTTTTATTTATTTATTATTATATAGTATTATATATTTTTGACCATGTTTTCATTCCATATCAGAATCTCTCAGAATTTCAAAAATTCCCCCTGATGTAACTGAGTACCATCCTGTATATGTTTACATTTTGAACTATTTATGTGTACGTTTGTGTTAGACTAGGACATATTAATCCTACAATCAACTAAAAATGCTTATTTTTTTTCTTTCTCGACTTTAACACCCTGTATTTTAAAAACTAGCCATAGGATTGAATTGGTCCCATGAACACTTTTAGTCAACAAGTCAAGTACAATATCATATTTAAAATTTATTAGACTAGACGGGGTCCTTTGCAGCCATTGAGGATAGGGGAATTGATCTTAAGTATAAATAAATGTCAACTGGTGTGTCAACTGTGCGAAAAATGCTGGAAAAAATAAAAAAAAAACTTCAGTTAAATTTTTTTTACGTTTAAATAAACCAAGGAAGCTTTTCAATGGTAAGTTTTTTTATAGCTTCTAGTACTAAACTAGGTAATAAAGTAATAGTAACACTTCAAAAATCTCAATCTCGAATATCCGTAGTAATGAGTAAAAAGCAAGATTTTGACAAAATGGTGAATGCGCCGCGAAAAATTTTCGCCTGCGGCGTTGTGTTTACTCGCCAGCTGTATTTTTATACAATCGCTTCCCCTTCCAAAAATGTGACCGCACGACACTGTTGTGTGCAGAAAGCTCCTTCGTACTCCAGTTCGATATTCAGCTTCAAAATTGTCGATTCCAAATTTTTCCACTACTTTCATTTTCTAATCTGTAGTGAAAAAAGTATTTTTTTATATTTTTGGGATGTAACAGGCTTAAGGAAAAACTAACAGAGTCTTCGGAAAAGCGTGATATAAGCGACGCAAGGAAATCCAGATATGCAATAAATATATTCAACCTATAATATTCTTCAACTATATTAGCCTGAATATTATTATTTCTATGAGGAATTTATTTAATAATTATTTACACTATCTTTTGAAAGTAAAAATAAATTAAATTCCCTCCTTCTTATGCTACTCATACTGGAGGATCTACGCGTATGTGTATTATAAGTTGCCTATATACTTAAAATCCCCCTCTTCAAGGCAGCCAGCTGATTGTTTTCTGACCAAAATACAAAAACTCATATGTTTTGAATTGAATCAGTGACACAGTGACAGTGCATGCGGGTTTATCCTAAATATAAAACCAGGAAGGGTATTGATCTTACAATAAATGATAACTAAAAAAATGCACCGTGATGTGTGTATGATACTAAGTGGAAATAAAATATACTCTAATAGTGCTACTACATAAGTGTTCTTGTTTCTTAATTATTGGAGCTGCAAGATTTTGTAACAAAGGAGACTGATTTAGCAATATAAACAAAGAAGGTAAGAGTGTTAAGAAAGTCTTTGTTAAGAAGGTAGGTATGCAGGTGAACGGTATAGTGGTTAAAATTTAAAAAAACTTGGGTTAAAATACCTATATGCCTAGTTAGATTACCTGTCAATTTTAAATGTTTATTTTTGTTAACATGGCATGATGTCAGTGTTGACAAATATGTTTTTAATTAAAATTTTAATACTCAAATACTGTTAGATAATAAACCCCATGAATGAGATACAAATATGATTAATCAAAAAAAAAACTTGCCATGCCTATTTTATTTGAATTAAATAAAGGGGTAAGGGTTCGTTGGGGCAGTTCGGGTAGAGATATTGGGGTCGTACTTGGTGTATTATCAAGGGTATCAAGGTGAACATTTTGTTATTTTTTGGCCATTATGCGTCAAATTTGCCTAATTTGTAAGGAAACAAAAATGTTCTGAAAATTTTTTTTTCTCGTGTGGTATTTGGAAAGATTATTTAATAAAATACACAGTAGGTACTTTTATAAACAACATTGGCTTTGTTTCCGTAAGATGAATTAGATTCTGCATTTAAAATGTAGATATATTTATGAGGCTGAAGCTAGCAGACAAACCGCGCGGCGGTCCCTTAATGTTTTGATATTGTTATTCGGCAAAATCTTTGCTTTAGGTGGACTTTAGTATCATGAAAATTTAGAAATAAATAAATATTAGTGTATTTATTGAAAAAAATGAATTAATTCAATTTGAATTATTAGTTAAAATAAGATAATCTTACACAAAGACGGGGACGAAACAAACACATTTACAATGCGATTATAAATATAATTTTTATACCAAATATTCATTAGATTTTTGTTAATTGATTAAACAAAAAATTATGGCCGAGCAATGATTTAAAATATATTTTTTTGGTCTTTTTAAAGTCAGGTGTTTTGTCGTTAAACGTCTATAAGAACAAAACGACCAAAAAAACACATTTAGTACGAAATTACAAATACAATTTTTATACCAATAATTTAGTACACCACTAGCCATAAAATAAATAAAAAATCATTAAATAGCAAGACATCTAAATATAATTTTTAGATCATTAAAGTCAAGTGTTTCGGCGGATAAATATTACTCAATAAAACCAACAAAAACAAACACGAGATTCCAAATACAATTTTTATACCAAAGATTCAATAAACAAGTATCAATAAAAAAAAATAATAAATTATCAAATAGCAAGACCTCTAATTACATTTTTTAGATCTTTAAAAATGTGAGATTCCGCGGATAAACATAACTTTATAAAAATGACAAAAACCAATATTTAGCACGAAAATCCAAGTATAATTTTTAGTATGAATAATTCAATACATTATTATAATTCAAAAAAATAATAAATCATTACATAGCAAGACCTCCAAATACGTTTTTTAGGTATTTAAAATGGCGCGATTCCGCGGATAAACCTTACTTTATCAAAATGATAAAAACCAATTATTAGCACGAAAATCCAGGTATATTATTAGTCCTTGCGTCACCATTTCCACTATAGTATTGGCCCTTGTGGTTAATCTGTGGTATTGGCACTGATCGCTATTGACTGTTTAGTTTTTATTCACTTTCTTGATGGAATCTAGTTCTCAAAAACCCCTTCCATGAAAAATGGCTCTTATAAATCAATTAAGTTGTTAAAGAACGTAACATCGTCCAAAATTCGAAATGAAACAAATTAAGTATAACTATGAATAAGACAAAATAAAGATTGATCCTTAAAAAAATTAAATAAGGCCATAACCGACAAAAACAGATACAAGTCATGTCTGTGATAACTACGCACAGTTCTGAATTAAATCTAATCTGGTATTTAAAAAGAAGAAGAATACGTAAATTTTTCAAAGACCTATTTTAAAAACATTTGAATAGGGATAATTTCCTGTTGCCATGTGTAAAAAGATTTTCTGAACAAGTGTCTAAAATGTTTTCTAACTATAATATAAAAATTACTCATAAACCAACTATACAACTAAAACGTTATTTTCGAATTTTAAGCCCAAAATTAGTAAAATTAATCAACCAAACGTTGTCTATAAAATTTACTGGAAAGACTGTAATTCCACTTACATAGGACAAACAAAACAATATCTACATAATAGAATAAAAAACCAAAAAATAATATCGCTAATGAAAATTTCACTGCCCTAACTAAACATGCTTTAGAAAATTTGCACTTTCGATTTTGAAAATGTAAAAATTCTCGAAAATGAACCTAATCTCAACAAAAGAACAATCCTTGAGATGAAACATATGAAAAAAAAATAACTCTATAAATAATAAAACGTTTATTTTAATATTATTAAGTAATTGTAAGCTTCTAATTTTTAACTGTAACGCCACTGGTCATTTTTAATTTTGTAAAAACTCTTTTTGTTTCCCGTATTAAACCAAATCAATATTATTTCGAATACACCTTCACACGATGAAAAAAAAAGGTGGGGTTTCTGATATTTTAAAAATTTTAAACTGTTTGTAATCGTCCCCATGTGTTTTTTTAATGTTTTTAAATTTTGACTGCACCTAAAGATGGAAACAAAGTTTTCAGAAACATATGTAGTGCTGTGCTAACGATATAAAATAAAATTAATGACCGAATACACCAAGGAAATTTTTATCTATATAGAATACTTTAAAAACATTTTATGTGGATTACCCCATATGTACCGCTAAACTAATGTCATGCGAGCCATTTTCGTTATACTTGGTTTAATCGAATCGAGAGCGTCTAGAGCAGGGATTCCCAAGGCGGTCGAAAATGACCCTTTGGGGTCGACATCGGTTTCCCAGGGGTCTACATAAACAAAAACTGATTTTGGGGGTCAGCAAAGTCTAAAAATCTGAAAAAATTTGATATTTGATGAGTGTAGTCTAGGTTTTAGATAATGCAGAACTTTTTATGAAGAATAACTTTTCTTCCTAAAATTAATAATAAAAAAGTTTTCCATATGATTCCAACTTAGGGGGACATACTGTATATAGGTAATTGAGGTTTTTTACTCAGTAGCACTTATAACAATTTTCTATCGCATTTGTTAATCATAATTAAATTCTATCGTATAGTTTTAAATAATTAAATAATTAGTTACTTAAATTAGTACTTTAGGTCACTTAGGTATCGCAAAAAATGTAATGTTTTTTTTAAATAAACAGGGTACCTAACTGTTTTGTCTGTTTCAATTCGAGGTTACTTCATTATATCAATAAGCAAATGCATTTTTGTTTACGTTTTACGATAATTATTAAGAATGTATTCGAGATCAATTCCGGTAATTAATCATGCAATAAAAGCAGCATGCAATTTACTACTTGTTTACTAGTAACTGGAAATAATAATAAATCGACATACTTACTTAACTTGTTGATTATTAAATCTCCATGTACTTCTAGGGTAAAAAATTCTACTAAGTCTCATTTACAATAATCTTATGAAATTCGAATAAAATTAAATAAATTAAAATTTATGCAATCCAATGGTTTCCGAAATGTCTGGTATCCTATTCCATGTAACATTTGACTGTCTATTCCAGTGGTCGCCAACCTGTCGATCGCGAGCTACCGGTAGCTCGCGGAGGCAATTCTGGTAGCTCTCACAACGATTTTAATTTAAAAAATACAAACTGCAAAAATCAGAGAAGCTTCCGAAAATTCCACAAAAAATCTAATTGTCATAAAATTAAACATAAACAGCGGCAACGTTGCGGTGAGCGATCTGCCGCTGACGCCATCAAGCTAGAATCGGCTAGAACCGACCAGCCGAACCAGCGCGTTAGTGTTCGAGAACGATCAGGATTGCTTTGAACGGGATAAATACGCACGGCGCGGCGACATTGCGCTTAGTTTAAAACTGAACGCGTAACCAACGTTCAGCGGTTGGGTTAGTAGAGAACAACAAAAAATAAAATTATGGCAAGCAGTTGTAAGAAGGTAAAGACATACCACTTTCATTCGGAATGGGAAGAACAATACTTTTTTACAGAAGTTAAAGATAAAAATGTGTGTTTGTTATGTAATACTTCGGTCTCCGTTGCTAAAAAAGGAAATATTGAGAGTCATCATAAAACTGTACATTCTAATTTTGAAAAAAAGCAGTTAATTGGACAACAATCAATATTTTTAAGAACAGTCGACAAAAATAAGGCTGCAACTGAAGCATCGTACCGTGTGTCCCAGATAATTGCACAAAAAAGAAACCTTATGAAGACGGGGAAATGATAAAACCGGCGTTTTTAGAAGCTGCTGATTCGTTATTTACCAACTTTAGAAATAAAGACGAGATAGTTTCGGCTATAAAATCTATGCAACTTTCTGCTAATACAGTGATAAGACGTGTAGAAGTAATGAGCAATGATATTTTTTTACAGTTTAGAACTGACTTAGATAACTGTGTTTATTTTTCACTTCAACTGTATGAATCAATAGATGTCGTTGACACTGCCCAGATGGCCAGATGCCCAGGATGGTTTTTAGTGATTTTACGATTAAAGAAGATCTTTTGAAGTTTATTCCACTGAAAGGACACACTACTGGACAGGAGTTGTTTTCTCATTTAAAAAATATGATTTCTTCCGAGAAAATTCCAAAATATCGAAAAGGGTAGGCTTGACAACCGATGGCGCTCCAGCTATGGTGGGTTGTGATAAGCGTCTGGTGGCGTTATGTCGTAAAGATGAAACTTTTCCGCAATTTCTCTGTTACCACTGCAATATCCATCAGCAAGCATTATGTGGAAATTTCCTGAAACTAAACAACGTTATGAAACTGGTGGTAAAAATTGTGAACAAGATTAGAGCTCAAGCGTTACAAAGAAGATTATTCAAAACCTTGGCCGATGAAGTTGACTGTCAATACGGGGACCTACTCCTTCATTCTGAAGTCCGATGGTTAAGTAGAGGACGGGTGCTGAAACGTTTTAATGATGTCCTATCTGGCATAGTTCAATTTTTCAAACAACGCGATGAACCGACTCCGGAACTAGAAAATTCAATCTGGCTTAGAGATTTTGGTTTTCTCGTGGACATTACAGATAAATTAAACGAATTTAATTTGCAGCTTCAGGGGAGAGACAAAGAACTAGCGGAAATGATTTCTGATATAAAAGCATTTATCAAAAAGCTGGAGTTTTGGGAACAAAACCTAATTAACAGCGATGCCAAGCATTTTCCTATTCTTTCAGAAAAAATATCTCAAAATCCATTAGAACCCTTTGACAGCAAATATCATGTAGAAATAGTTTCTACCCTGAAGAATAACTTCAAAAATCGTTTTAAGGATTTCAACGAAATGGCTTTAGTAGCGCAGTTTGTTGTTTCACCCTTTATGGAAATTGATATCCAACAGTTTGCAACTTGTGTTATGCAGAACTTTGGCGAAGACATCGCTGCAACAGAAATGGAAGTAACTGACTTTCAAAATGATTTAGCCTTAAAATCGTTAGTCCAAATGTATCTGGCCTATTGTAAGTAAAGACAAATATTCAGTTCTATGCCGTGTTGCCTTGAAAGTGAAAGCATTATTCAGTTCAACCTATTTGTGTGAATCTTCTTTTTCCAATATGAAGTTTATTAAGAACAAATATCGCAATCGACTTACAGATGAACATTTGGATAATTGTATTCGAATGGCTGTATCAAATTATACTGCAAACATTAAAAAAATTATCGATGAGTCTGAGTGTCAGCCTTCTCATTGAACGTGCTTTTTTATTTTTCAATGTTTATGTTCATCATAGTGCGTTACTTTTTTGTTGTTATTATTAACTATTTTTAAATCTTACGTGACATGCCGTTGTGGCTGGATAAAAGTTTGTGTTTATTTTTCAAACACCTTCGTTTGGTAGGTAGGAATGTAGCTATGAACAAGTACGTACTAGTAATATTAGTTATTTTGTTATTAGTTTATTATTAGTACCTATGTATTATGTATTACCAGTTAAATAGTAAAATAAATACATATAATGATAAATTAACTGTGGTTTATTTCATTTACGTTGCGTTACGTGGCTTCCGTGTGGGTAGCTCGCTGTTTATTCCAAAATTAACAAAGTAGCTCAACACATTGAGAGGTTGGCGACCACTGGTCTATTCCATGGAATAACTGACTTTTATATAATTAACTTTAAAAAATTGAATTGCCTACCGTTTGTGATTTAGTTAAATGCAGACGGTGCGCTGTTGTCACAAAAGTGTAGGATTCTAACGATTTTTCAGTCTGCAAAAAAAATACCAATATACGTGCAGCTGAATGGTTAAATCTGTGATCCTGATGAAACCACTTTTCCAAAAATTAATTTAGTTTTGGTCGTTAAATTAATCGGAAAAGTGGCTTCACATTAACACAGATTTAACCTTTTTCTACACGTACATAATCTTTTCTTTCATTTAAAATAAAAATTAAGAGTTAGATAGAAACAATTTCCAAAGTAAATTCTTCTCTTAAAGCCATTTATACAGTGTGTTCTAAAAGAAAATAATAAAATATTGCAGATTTGCAATATTTTCTTGTTTTATTTCGTGATTAATATTTGTTTCAATGAAACGCCCTGTTATATTAAAAAAGTTACTCCCTTTAAATACAAATCCGGTGATTAATAATTCAAATTTTTCTCTGATAGTTTTAAAAAAAAAATTAATCAAAATGAGGCCACAGCTACGTGAAATAAGACAATAAAAATATATAATAGGTATCTCCTGCAAAGAAATCAATTCAAAACTACTTAATTACTCTAATTTCCCATAAATTTTCAAAAACTAGTAAATACAATTAATAATTTAGGTATATACTTAACACGATGATTTAGATGTTTGGTTTTGGAATAAAAATGTCTATCAAAAAGCAAAAAACTGTAAATTTATAAAATTAAATAATTTTTTTATTTTTACATATCCCTTCATAACTAATTACCTATCTACACCACTGTTCCCTACTCTTTGCCAGTTCCCATTACTCGCAGACATAGTATCCTATTTTTATCCGTGTTATTAAACTTTTATGTAATCATTCAATTAAATTTTCATAATTGTGATTAAGAGGTTACATATTTGACCTCCCGACATATATAGAGACATATTGTTGTAGTCGTGTTGATAGGAAAGCGACATACATTTGATTTAACATTCAATTAAATTGACACAATGCTGAAAATAATTTAGTTCTACAGCGGAAGGGGGGGGGGGGAGAGGGTGGGAGTGGATCGAATAACTCAAGACCCTAATAATTTAAAAAAAAATTGTTCTGTTTTTTTATGAAAAGCATAGGAGGTAAGGGGTGAATTTTTTTCTTCCATCGTACAAGAAGTTTATAAGTATAGGGTTCTATATATCAACCTATCCTGGGGTGGGGAGAGAAGTAGGGTGTATATATATATATATATATATATATATATATATATATATATATATATATATATATATATATATTTATATATTATTATTATTATTATTATTATTATTATTATTTGAATTTTATAACAAATTTTCTGTTTAAGTAATTTTCATGCCAACGTAGAATATTATGTATAATATGCAACTTGCTCTATTTGCATAACAAAGAAGAATATATCTCATTTTACATTTATCCGGAAGTGAATCACAAAATGTGTGCATCCATTGTTTATCTAACACTGACCTCTGATAATCCTAATCTGTTAGATATGACTTAAAAGAGTCTAAACGATTATTTACCAACCAACTATAAAAAAATTAAACAATAGAAATGATAGTAGATGTTTTTGGTGTCAAACTTTAACCATAATTAATTGAAAAAATAGGAATTGGCTAAACTCCAAATAATTTCAAATGTCTCTTCAGAGTGCCAGGTATTTTACAATTGCGTATTGTTTTCATTTGATTTAAATACGCAGTTTCGGAAATAAAACTGCATTTTTCATTCGCTAATTATGCTTTGTCATTTTGAACAGCAACTACTACTACAAGGACTGGTCAAAATGTTCTCATCTTGTTGAATACATCCAAACGATCAAATTTAATACTGGAATTACGTTTACCTTTTTTCAGATATGTGGAAGAATTCGGGGCAATTAGATATAACAATTTTTAGTCACATTTACTTAAAAAACAATCAATGAAGATCTTTAGTTGCCTAAGAAACTCTTCATGTACATATTCGTTACACTATTATTGTTTATTTTATGCGCTTATAAGTAGTCAATACAATTATTACAAAATCAATTAAAAAGAGTATATAAAACTTAATTTCGTGAATTTTATTTTATGATTTCCACTTTGCCAATAACTCGTGAAAGATTAGTTGAATCTGTTTTCCAAAAACCCAGAATCCATTTTCTACACCAAAGAATATATAGATCTGGAAAATTTATTCCACTATGCAGCGTCTAGATCCTCTATCCTTATTTTTAAACAGCAGTTTTTTAAACGTGTTAGAAACTCTGAGATAAACTCATCTTCCACGAAATTCTTTGGCGTCGGAGGACAATCCACCAGTTCCTATTTGAGTTCCTCCGTGAAGTCCTCTATTCACAGATTCTCGAATTACGATAGGTCTCCTCACCCGAAGTTTATGTACCCAGATTAAACAGGATATGCTTATATGTTCGGAAAATTACTTCTTTTAAGATGCGCCACTTCTCCACAAAAGCGAATATGCTCGTTGTTATATCAATGATCCTCCGTATTTCTTTCTTCTCCTTTATCTTCTTCCAAGAGACAGGATCCATTTTTATGAAAAGTAGGCGTCCACTAGAGTCCAAGTTCCTTTCAGAAACTCTCCAGTTCTCTGTTTAGAGATTTTGGATACTTAGTCTCTTCATCATTGGATCTGGTTCGACCGCTGATTACTTCCCCAGAGTCTTTGATTTTCAGTTTAGCATCTGTCCAGAGCACCATGGTTTTAACCACTCTCTCGTTCTTTGATCAACGCAGGAGAAATGTTTAAGCTTCCGTTTCTGATTGTAGCTTCAGACAAAGTAGGTGTATGTCCTCCTAGAGCCTTTCGAACAGTGCAGTCCTTATTAGGTCTTCCTGATCTGCTGTTATATATTTATTGAGATAGTCTATTGGTACAATAGTCACTTCAATATGTTTTTTTCCTTTTGAGGTATAGGAACACTACGCTACTGGCTCGGACACATCTGGTACCAATTGATCCCGGACCTGCAGCTCTCCTTTTTTAGGCATGATAGTATCTAACCATGCTTGCTGGACACAGCTCTATCTGTTTTTCTTGTTTTGCCATCCCTTAAATACTCCAATCTTCGTAGAGGCAGGAAAAAAATACTTATATTTCTCAAATTACGCTAGTATCAGTAAAAGTTTTACTATGTAGCTTTAATAGCTTCTTCCTAGAAACCCCTTTGTAGTACAAATGTATATTTGTTTATTACAGGATGCCATGGTTCGAAGAAAAAGCGAAGCAGATCAAAGCTGCTTTCAATTCGGAAAGCAATCCAGAATTTATCGACGATCTCGAAACACCGCAACAATACAAAGAAAGATGGCGCTCAATTTACATCGTATACTTTACAATGTTTCTAGTTTCTTTAGGATTCAGTATAATAGTGACCGGCGTATGGCCATATTTGGACAAGGTAAGTGCTTTACTTCTGTACAACCATTCGCAAAATAGATTATAGAAAAAATGTATTACGAGGGGCTCCTTTTTAAGTAGACAGGTTAACAAGCTGTTGAAACCTTCAAAAACCTTGTAGTTTAAACGCAATAATGACTTAAATACCTTCAACGAATAATTGCGATTTAAAATTTAGCACATAAAAGCTAAATTAATACAGAAGAGAATATAAAAAGAAATACTGGTAACTTTTGATCAGATGTAAATGCAAAAAGGAAAGATGGTGGAATACCTGTATTTATGACTTATGATTTAAATATTTCAAACATTCACGATATTGTGAATGATTTTGTTAACAAACCTTCTCACCTATTAGATTAGCCCTCAATAGTTTGAACTCAAACAGAAGTTCATAAAATAATAGGTCATATTAAGCAAAACGATTTACACCAAACCTATTTCTGAAAACTAAAAATGTAACCCTTATATTACATTTTAAATTTACTTTTTTTATATATAGTTGGATCCTACGGCTGGAAAGGAATTCATGGGATTCGTGGTAGCTGCAAATCCGTTCGGACAAATGATTTTCTCTCCTCTAGTGGGATGGTGGAGCAACAGACTGGGATCAATTAGATTACCGCTCATATTTTCACTAACAGTTTTTATGCTAGCAAGCGCGACATATTCCTCATTGGAACTTTTTCCGTCTCATAGGAAACATTGGATGTTGTGGTCCAGATTTCTTGTCGGAGTCAGTTCAGGTAAATGAAATGTATATTTTTCTACCGGAAAAGCTTTCGATCCAAATTGTCAAGAATATCACAAAATTTTGGATGGTTGATTTTTATATTAAATAATACATTTCAACAGTCCACTTTCATCGATTTTCCTTAGATCTAGGGAAATTTGTATAATAGCTCTGGCAACATCGCACCGCATGAATCAATATTAAAGTATCCCCGACGACCCAATAAACACAGTTAATCGGCACCGTAACTGGACCGAAGGAGGATTGCCGGATGCCGGACTCGGCCCGACATACGGGTGCAGTTTCGGCATATAGGTAGGGCATGTCCGCCCAGCCGAATGTCGGCAGCCCACTAAATTGTAGCCGTGTTCATATATTATATAATTCGGCCCGTAAGGATGCCTCCCATGCCCGGCTAGCCAAATATTCACCGCGTTCGACCCGTAAGCATGCCTTCCATGTCTGGAAAGCCAAATATGGACCATATGCGATTTCTACTTCTGAATTACGTCAAATAATACGGTTCTCCCGGCCCCGAAGTACCCCCGACAACGGCAATCCGAGTGCTCTGCTTCCCGTACATGCCGGTATCAGGCCAAGCGAATGCCGACTATTTGTGGTTAACTGGGGATTAACTAGACACTTGTCACTAGATAGATAACAGTGATGTTACTTCCTGTAAGGCTGTAGAGGAACAGGTACAACGTTATCGCCATTTTCCAGGTTGAACATGGAAATTGAAGCAATGATGTATTGTCACGGCCAGCAATGTTGTTCAATATAACGTGCTCAATAGCAACGCTGTTTTCTGGGGAATTATCGGGCATACTTACCATTGATTCATACGGAGTGACGTTGCCAGATCCACTCTACTAATTTCTCCATATCTGGGGAAAAATCTTTGGTAATAACCGATTTGTTCGTTCCAGCAAATGTCGCCGCATGTAGGTCCTACCTGTCGGCCGCCACCCGATATTCAGAAAGAACCAAAGCCGTATCGATGATATCCCTAGCGCAGGTTCTAGGATTCGTTGTAGGTCCCGCCATTCAAGCCGCCGTCGTGCCTCTAGGCGGCGAAGGAGTCTGGCTCATTACCGGTCGCTTAAAACTCAACATGTATACCGCGTCCGGTTGGATCAACGTCTTCCTAACGCTCGCCAACATTTATTTCTTCTTTCCGTCGGTTTTCAAGGAACACAAAATAGCCGTCAGAGAGGCGATGCTGAAAACCGGCAAGGATAACGTAAAGGACGTGTGGAAGGAGGAGAATACAAACTTTATATCAGCGTGGACGCTTATAGTCGCTTTCTTCATTTTGGTTTTTAATTTTATGCTGTTAGAGACGTTGGGGACCCCGCTTACTATGGACCAGTTCGCGTGGTCGAAGAGTGAATCGTTGTGGTAAGAATATTTTTGTAATAAAAAGAAGCTGTATTTCTATGTTTATTAATGAGTAGTTATGATTAGCCAGTTCTGGACCAAGGTCAGAGGCAGTTGATGTAAATAATAAATATCCTAAGTACCCAACCCCCTTTACGCAATTAGCAAGTACCTTCCAATTACTCTGTACACCTGACCTTGGTCCAGAACTGGCTAATCATAACTACTTCAATGGCTTTATGTGCCAAAATGTATTGGTGATTCAAGTCAACTTTTCCCGTTTATTGTTTCTAGTAAATACCTATTGTTTTTTCAGTTTCATCGTCTTTCTTCCCCACCCGTCTATTTAAGTCTTCTATTTTCCTTAAATTCTAATAAATTAATTTGTTTTAAGGTACATGGGGATTTTAATGTCCGTTGGAGCTCTAGTAGCAATCATGACCTTCGCATCCATAGCGCCGTTAACTCGTCGTTTCTCCGAAGTGAAAATCATGATATGGCTCGGTTTCTTCCTCATGGTTATCGGTAGATTCAGTATGATACCCCTAGCTGGAGACCCACCTCGCATCTACAACTCCGATTTTAAGTTAAACCTAACTCGTTACTGTGATATGACTCTGATGAACAAACGCTTCGATTTAAACGTTACTCAGTTGAACGAAACTTTAAGCTCGTACGGGAAGTACTTAAACGTCAGCGCTACGACGGAAAGTGTGGTTAAAAATATGACTATCGGTTGCGGGGAAGATTTAGTGGGCTGTCCCAGTAATCAAGTGTGGTGCAATTACACGCCTCAACTACAGCTGTCTCAGTTTATGATTGGGTATGTGTTGACCTCGTTTGGGTATCCGATCGGGGTGACCTTGCTGCAGACGATATTTTCGAAGATGTTGGGATCGAGACCGCAGGTAAGGTTTTTGATTGTTTCTCTAAGTTTGTAGTTTAATATTCTTTCCATGTTCAAAAGGGGGGACCATTGGACACATTTCAATGTCGATGAAAAAACTTTTCAATTTTTTAAATTTTAAGATATCGCAATATTTATGTTTAACATTTTGTAGAAAAAATGTTGTTCCTAACGTATGTGGAAAAGTAGCATTTCCTGCTTATCTTCACTAATAAGACAAACAAATCTTGAAAAAAAAGCCGAAATTTTCAATTTTCAATATTTGAACTATAATTATTAGAAAATAAAAAATAATAATTTTCTCTCTCGGTGATTAGAAATTTATAAACGGTGGTGATCTGTATCACTCTGCACTCATGAAAGGAAAATAACTGTTGCACTTGTAAGAATATCAGTTAATATCCTCCCCGCACTTATTACTTTACACCAGGCACAATAGCCCCAAATAACAAATGGATTTAAGACGGAATCGTTCGACCATTACTTTAGGGAACAGTGACGGTTTTTTTTTATATTTATTCGGTTTAAAGTATCTCTTATGTAGACATCTGGTAGTCCATAGCTTCTACAAGAGAGAAACCCTTTCTCCGAGCTGTTATAAAGACTAGGGGCTGAAACAGCTCTGATTATCGACGGGGGGAACAAGCGAATACCGCTATCACTCCCTGGTTAATGCGAAAATGTATGAAGGTTGCGAGTGCCCCCGGATTTAAATCCAATTTGCTTTATTACCCTAACAGGTACTAAGGAAATTAAAACTACAGGTCGAATTCCTTAAGTAGACAATGGAAACGGAAAATGAACGTTGCAGGGAGAATTATTGGACGGAATTTTAAATAAAGTGCCTACCTTGATTAATTCCTCACAACGGTTTTCGGTGCACGAAATGTAAATTGCGAAAAATCGGTTTCGAACGGCACAGTATCACGTAAATCGGTCAACAGTCAACAAAATCCGGGATGGAAGAGGGAGCTTCCATCGAAAACGTCTGCTTTTATCAAAAGTCGGACTTTTGCCAGAGTGGGGGACGCTAGTTCCTACTCCTTTGTTATTAGTTGTTTTGCAAAAAAAACGTTGATTGATCGGCATACTGATAAACCTACCAGAATTGAGATTTTAAGACATGATTTAATTTATGGTGATAATGAAAAGTTTTAAACTACGAGGGCTCTTGCAAAGGTTTAAAAACGGTAATTCTATGGAAACATTAGTTACAGGGGGCCTCACAAATGTTCATAGACGGAAATTAGTTTTAGAAATTAATTTAGGGAATAAATTAATGGAAATTTTTAGTGACTTCGTGAAAACCCCACTACGAAACATCAAACAATTCCCATACGGTTTGTCATATAAAGATAAAATGATTCACGATTTGTCACACAAAGATAAAAGACACTAAGACCGCACACAATGAAAAGGTATAGGACCGTTTCATTAACGATCATTCTAATTAACAAATCAATAAAACAAACATTAAAAATATCGTAAATATATTAACTAAAAATCGTTTACAAATATCATAAACAATCATTAACCAAATCGTCGCCCTCCATCAAGGAATAATGCTTAAACTGGAACATATTCAAAGTCTCCTTGATCACAAAACGCGTTTGTCCAGCATCGATAAAATTTAAATTCTCGAACACGAAATCTATATCGCCGGTGTCCAAATTGAACGTTTCCAGAGAAAATTTTCCCGGCGGACAGTCCAAACTGCTGGACGCGGAATTTTTGCTGTATACCGCAATCAAACCGTACAACGTGAACGCAACGTTGTTACAAATCACGGTTTCGATTTTGCAATAAACTTTGTCCGTCACGTCCGTGATTGAAGAGACGTGCAGTTGGTTGTCGGTCATTACTAATTCTACCAACTTTCTGCCTAAAAAAAATTTTTAGTTATGAATTTGGTAGTAATTTCTCAAATAGGCAATTAATATCATGTCAAACTGAATGATTAGCCAAAACCTGACTTGGCGTGGTGTTTTTAACCCCACTTTTAATAATTTAATTAAAATAAGTGTTAAAAAGTGTCTGGTGGTCTTTTGTTGACCCGTTACAAGGTAGATAATAACTACATATTCCCAGAAAACTACATACTGAAAGGAAAAAAAGAACAATCGAACGTTCTAATAAATTAAATGCTATGTTTGACTAGGTCGATAATAATAATCGAAAGTTTTGAGGATGTACTGTCAAATTTTAAAACAAAAATTAATCTTGATAATGAGTGACACCTTAAAATCTGTTTTTATAGGCTAAATATGGAATACAAAGTGTAAGTATCGGGTATTAGTTATGGTTTTTGTCCCCTGAAAAAGTTAGAGAAACATAGTTGTCCTTGTATGAACGCTGGTGCATGTCTTGCCGAGTAAACGATGTACCTTCCGTCAGAGCAACAATCGCCAATGTAAAGTGTTCGCGTTCATTAGTTAGTTAGAAATCATTTATTCAAATATTTAACAAATATATACAACATTTTAACAATGCATAATATAGAGCTCCAACCTACTTAAGCCTAAAAATATAGACCATGGTCGATGTCACAACCGTGTTATTATTTAAGTCAAATTTGAATTTTGAGTTTACTTTAAATAAACATTATGAATAAGTTTTGGTTTTCCTTGGTAAATCGGCAGTGGAGTATTGTCTATAGTTTTGTTTGAATTTATTTGTGCCCGTGTCTTCCCTGAAAAAATACTTGCAAAAAAACAGGGTTGTCTTTGTATGAGTGTGCGTCACGTCCTAGTCTCTCGTGGGTTTATCCAAATCTCGAGACTACAAATCTGGCCACAATCTAGCCTGAAATCGCAGCAAGTCATCATCATCATCATCATTTATTTAAAACATATAAATGTACATATTTACAACTATATCTTATCTATATATAAAAATTCACAAATTTCTATTCGCGGACGATGGCTGATGTTCCGCCTTAAATGAGAACTAGGTGTTTTGCTATTCAACGGTGCTTAGTCTACTCCTTACCACGGTATTATTCGGTTTTTATGATTGATATGCTTTATGAGCGGTTAATGGTCTGTTTTCTTGCTATGTATGAGTTTATTTGTCGTTATTTTCTCTGGAAAAACGAATGAAAAACCAGAGTTGTCCTTGTTTTTGTGCTGTCCTGTTCGTTATAGTTTGTGTTAGTCTAAGCTCTGTACGCGGCGAGTGATCTGGTTGGCTACCCTAGGACACGCCCACCACCAATGGTAGCGGGCCCCTTCCAGAGCTAACCTCGTAAATACAGCCGCTTCGTTCAGAGCCTTTTAGTGATGTGGATGTTATGGTAGACTGTCGTTCGATTTTATTGTTATGGTTGTCTTCTGAAGATGTCTAGCTTTTCGTGCAGCCAAACATACCTCCTATTTGCACTATTTCAGATCAGATTGGTGACATCACCGTGCAGTCTTCCGTCCGACCATGTTCACTCTGACGGTCGATTCACCGCTCAGTCCGCCGTCCGACCAGTTTGAGAATTATGCGAAGAGATAGTTACCTTTTATGTACAATTTATTCTTGTAAGAAAACACAGTAAATCCTAATCTATCATCCAACAAGCTCTTTTCAATTTTAATTGGAACCGATATCCAATTTTGCACGCCCTGTTCGAAAAAATACCCGCAACTATTTGCGATACTGAACAGAAACAATTTATCCATAAAATTGCAACATTTCATGTGCCTGTCGAAAACCGGAAGTGATTTTTCGTTGCTCCACGTATCCTCTTTAAAATCGTACCAAAATATGTTTTCTTGGTTTATTCTGTAGAGACCTGTTCCACCTAAAAGAATTAGAAAAGGTGTACCAAACTTTTAAGCTGGATAACTTATGGAATTTTTAAAAGAATTATGTGGAAATGAAAATGAAGAGAAAAACGCTATAATAAACATTTTTTTTTTTTAATTTTACGCTGTAATGTATTTAATATTTGTCAACAGTTTCACTGAATTAATTCAAAAAGTTGCGACTTATTCGAACCCTGAAAAAAATTGCAAGAGGGTTTCGAAAATTTGTTTTTAAGCTCCCTATTCTTTCCTATTTTTCGTGTACTATTAGATACTTATTATGATTAATGACTTACCAACGATAAATATTTTCGAATCGACCATACAAGTTTCGAAATGTCTTCTAGGAAAAGGCAAGGTAGCTTTTCTTTGCCATCTTTCTTTTACGGTATCATAAGCCCAAAAACCTTTGTTCCAATCGCCTCTACCGAGTGTATACTCTCCGCCGTACATGAATACGTATTCTTTATATCCCATCAATTTGAAACCTTCCAGTTTTTCCTTGAGAGGAAGAAAGATTTCGAATTTATTCGATCTGTGGTCTTAAAACAAAACTAATTTTGAATTTGAGTATAATTTATGAGGAAATGTACTGTTGTTCAAAATTATCGCACCACTTAGAAATCTAGACATCTAAGGTACACAGGCACTGAATTTTTAACACATATGTTACTTAACATAAATAACTTACCTAATAATACTACATACCAACCCTTGTATTTGTTTGGATGTAACGTTTGATACATTCTGCTTCTTTTATATTTATCGGGCAGTAGTATTGGTTCTAAAAAAATATTGTGTCGGTCTTTTGTTTGCAAACATCTTAAACTTCGAGAAAACAGTGTAAATATGTTTTTGACAATATTCGGTACATAATTATGATTGTAGTCAAATTTAATGTGATCTGATGTATAAAAAGGGGGCTTAAGTGGGAAAACAATTCAGTTATAGGGCAAACAAATACACAATTAACGCAATATGTGACCTCTATGAAGCTGTTACGGATGGTTTTGAGGATCGTTCACATAGTACTGCCAGATTTTATGATCTTACAAGAGCGTTCGATACAGTTCAACATGACATTTTATTATTAAAATTAGAAAGAATTCAGTACTGTATGGAGTTCCACAGGGTTCTGTTCTCGGACCCTTACTTCTTATCATTTACTATAATGATTTGTCAATTAATCTAAGTAATATCATACAGGTTTATTATTGCTACAGATAAAAATAAATCTGATACAATAGAAAGGCTAAATAAAGCAGAAGTTATGTCAAATAATTAGTTTGGTAGCAATGGTCTTACATTAAACGAAGCAAATACTCGGCAAATGTCATTTTCTATCATTGATAAATTGAATGAGCTAGGCAAGAAAAATAGAGTTACTGTCACTTGGGTCCCGGGACATAACGGGGTACAGGGTAGTAGGGGTGCAGATAGTCTTGTAAGGAAAGGGGCTCAAACATCCTTTGTAGGACCTGAGCCGTTCTGCGGTATCAGCAGTAACATAATATTAGGAGAGATTAAAAAAGAATTGGGCAGTGTAAGAACCGATAATTGGAACAATCTCTTGGGGCTGAGACAGGCCAAGATACTTCTGGGTGAATATAACCAAAAAAGATCGGAAGCCTGCATCTGCCTGAGCAAGAACAGGCTACGTATTGTAACAGGAATCCTTTTGCACTGATCTTTTGGGAGTTAGTCGGTTTAGGTTTAAAAATCAGCTGAGGGAGTACTTATCGAGTTAGCTTTAGCTCTAAGTTTTTTTTTTTTTCTAAGTTTTTGTGATATTTAAGTTTTTTTTTTTTTTCATGTGGCACTTTAAGTTAGGTTTAAAATATCTACTGATAATAATTATTTTGTAAAGGGAGATTTTCCGTATAAATAAATAAAATAATATAAAATAGATCTTTTAGGTCGCAGTGTATTAACACCCCATTCTCAACATAACATAACATCATTGATAAAAGTGAGGAACAGGTTACTAAGTCGTTTAGCAGAAGCTACTTATGCAATTAGACAGCTAACTTAGGGTATTTATTGCACAAAAAAAGTAGTGCGTATCATGACATCGAGTAGCTACAATAGTATTTTACCACTACCATGTTGTTTTATTTTGTCTTTTATACATGAAAAAACAAATTGGTAATAATAATGTTATAAGGCAGAGCTCTAAACATTCTTATTGCACCAGAGAAAATTATTATATATTTACCTAATTACAGATTAACCAAACTTCATGATTCTTATAGATATATCAGCATTAAACTGTACAATTTCCTACCTCAAGCTTATAAAAACTCATCTTTTATTTAAAATAAGAATTCGCAAATTTTTGTCAGGTCACTGCTTTTATTCCATTGACGAATTCTTATCGCATGTGTCCATCTGTGCTTGTGAGTAATGTGTAAACCTTTTTGGTGAATATACCTTTTTAATTTTTATCTTTTAAGTATGTTTTAATTATGTGTATGTGTATCTATATATTTTTTTGTCTATATTTTTCTAAATTGTAACTGTATTTTCTGTATCTATACCTATATATCTTTTGTCCATGACCACTTAATAATGAATCAATATTCTATCTCCTAACTAAAAGCATATGGTACCCATATATCAGGGAGTGAATTATGATAATCGAAAAATCGAAAAATGGAAAAAAATCGAAAAATCGAAAAAAATTGAAAAAAAAAATCGAAAAAAAAAACGAAAAAAATCGAAAAAAAAATCGAAAAATCGAAACAAAATCGAAAAATCGAAAAAAAAATCGAAAAATCGAAAAAAAATCGAAAAATCGAAAAAAAATCGAAAAATCGAAAAAAAATCGAAAAATCGAAAAACATTGACAAATCGAAAAATCAAAAAATCGAAAAAAATTGAAAAATCGAAAAAAAAATCGAAAAATCGAAAAAAAATCGAAAATGGAAAAAAATCGAAAAATCGAAAAAAATCGAAAAAAAAATCGAAAAAAATTGAAAAATCGAAAAAAAACCGAAAAATCGAAAAAAATCGAAAAATCGAAAAATGGAAAAAAAATCGAAAAATTGAAAAAAATTGAAAAAAAAAATCGAAAAAAAAAACGAAAAAAATCGAAAAAAAAAAACGAAAAAAATCGAAAAAAAAAAACGAAAAAAATCGAAAAATCGAAAAATGTAAAAAAATCGAAAAATCGAAAAAAATTGAAAAAAAAATCGAAAAAAAATCAAAAAATAGAAAAATCGGAAAATTGAAAAATCAAAAAATCGAAAAATCGAAAAAAAAATTGAAAAATCGAAAAAAAAAATCGAAAAATCGAAAAAACAACAGTTAGTTACCTATGTTTAATAAAAACTTTCCATTCACACTTAACTTTTATTTAATAAAGAAACCATAATGGTCGTGGACAAAGTATAGTATTAGACTCGCAATTTATGGCCATTGTTCACTCGGGTGACTTGCGCCCCTCGCCTACGGCTCGGGACGCAAACGTCACCCTGCGGGAATAATGGCTACCATAAATTGCTCGTTTAATAATATACTATTTTTTTATACTTTTAACATTGACACATGTAAAATATTTATTTTTATTTTACATCAATAAATATCTATCATAAAACAGCTGTTAAAAGTAAATAACTCCTTCTGTCATTTTTTTTATTGTTCCATTTTCTCGGCGTTGCATAGGAACCTATTTTTAAACTTATTTCTCTCAAGATTTTCATTAGAAATGTCATATGTCAATGTGAAAACAGTATTTTTAAATCCAGTAACACTGATTGTTTCTCTCGATTTATTTAGAGAAAATTCAAACTCTCCTAAGCATTTTAATTCTCACTGGCTTTTAAAATACTGTTTTTATGTTGGCGTGTGACATTCTTCTTGAAAATCTTGATAGAAATGAGTTCTCCCAAGTTTAAAAATAGCCCCCTAGGTGTCTAACTATATTTAAGGACGTCAAACATGTTTTCATACATAATTCCCCTTTTTATAGACCAGGTCACATATATTATATTAGTGTACCTAAAGAAACATCACTGCTGTCATCATCCTCATCTTTACTAAATAATTTGCCCATTCTGTCATTTTCGCTTGATAGTGTCTTAACTAAAATACATGGAAAACAAGAATTCACTCTACTTTTAGTTGTAGTCAATAACATAGCTTTATTTATAATTTCTTCTGAAAAATTTTGTGAAGTTATTCGACTGATAATAGTGTAAACACATTTAAGAATTTTTTCAAATTCTGTACCAGCTATGCCAGGGTAAATTAATAATTCTTTGAAATGATCTGGTAGCAAACTTTTATAATCGACGCAACTGAGTAGTTTCAGTAATTCTTTCTTAGAACCGTTACTGTTTTCATACCACCAATGCATCACCGTTTGAAATACACTCAACTCATTATCCGTTTTTAAATTGATATTTCCCAGATAATTACACAATTGTTTTAAAGTAAGTTCTAATATACTGTCAGTTTCTTTGATCACCATAAATTCGGCCAAAGCCATCGATTTTGCTTTTAAATATAAAGTTTTTAAGTCCAATTGCTCAGTAATAATCCATACTTTTAAGCAATTTCTTACTGTGAGGATTTCAACGATTTTATCCACGCATATATTCTGAATTTTAGTGAATTGAAGCATACAAGCAGTTTGTAAAACCATTAGAACGTCTTCGTCTTCTATGTAATACGTTTCGTCCCATATTAGAGTTAAAATAATGTTCATAGCTTTTAAATCGACGTCCTAAAAATGTAATTTTGTAATAAAATTTATTCAAAATTATGCATTTACCTTTAACTGAACGATATTCTTGTTTTTTTCTACAAAATTCCCCTCAAACATTGCTTTGAAATAATCACTGTTGGATGCAAGTTCGTCTTTTTTACATTTTACTGAAGTACCTTCGATTTCCAGAGTGATTTCGTCTGAAGACATTTTATTTAAAATTGTCTGGTATCTTGCTAAATATTAAATTATCTTGTCATGCGTTTTTAATTTCTATTTTTTTATAATAAAGATAAAATTTAAATGTAAATAATTGATACGTAACCTCAAATAACAGCTGACAGCTGTTCCCAACGATGTATATAGTTATATAGATTGATCACCCATTTTTGCATTGCTTTTCTAAGTGCTCACTGCACAGAACCGTTCTGGCCCAAATATGTTTCTAAATAATATTTCAGTATTACAATATACAAGGTGATACAAATCAAATTGAATGCCTAAAAGAATTAAGGACCGAACTTGAGTTAAAGAAAAATAATGGAGAGCAGGACTTAACTATAAAATATATACATGGTGTCCCAAAGATCGTGAAATTTCGTCAATAATCTCGATAAATTTTGTTTTTACGACTGGCTATTTTTATATACGAACTTGGCAGCCCTCAACTCCAAATTTAATGAATTATTATGCTCTGTACAAAATTTAAAACCGAGATTATTCTTATCACAGAAACATGGTTAACTTTAAATGATTCTGATTCTATGTATGATATTTTGAATTATTCTCTATACAGATGCGATCGAAGAGACCGTCGCGGTGGAGGTGTCTGTATTTATTTATCATCAGATATTACACAACATTTTTTTGTTACTCCTCTTGACATTAGTGTCCCTAATATGGAATTATTAGGTTTAAAAATTTATTCTAGCTCTATTACTCTTCATTTAGTCTGTATTTATAGTCCCGGAGACTCTAAACTAGCTGAAGACACAATCCTTATTGAAAAACTTGAATATCTGTCTTCACTAGAAAATGTTATTATTATTGGTGATTTCAATTTCAGAGATATTTCGTGGCCAGTTACTCTCACTCCAAGTGATGTTGTAAATTCAAAAAATACATTTTTAAACTTTGTTCTAAGCTCAACAACTTATAACAGATCCAACACGATTCCGAGTCAACAATATTCCTTCCACGCTAGATTTGTTATTTGTAAATGATAAACAATTATTAACTGACCCTATCATTCAATCTCCGATAGGAATATCGAATCATGCAGTCATCATAAGTCGTATACAGTTTAACATCTCACAAAGATCATACTACATCATATGAAATCATCGATTTCGATAACTTATTGCTACTCATAAAATCCAATCAACGGAGAACTAATATCCTTGATTAGACATAAAAGTAAATTATGGCGTAAATATAAGCGATCAAATAATATTGTCGATCTAGAATATCACAAAAAAATTTCCAAGGACCTAAAAATTTATAAATGAGGCCCGAGAAGAATATGAAGAGTCGATAGCATGCAGCCAAAACTGTAAAAAATTATACAAATATATTAGATCTTCACTGTCATCAAAAGTATCCATTCCTTTACTAAACAAAGAAGATGGAAGTCCCTGCCAAAATAATTTCGAAACGGCTGAGCTTTTACAAAAGTTTTCACCAATGAACCTCCCCAGGATCAGTTACCAGATATCTCACCAGAAAGAATCCCTTCTTCCTTAGAACGGCTCAATTTTACTCCTGAAATTGTTAAACGTCACCTTTTAAAATTAAAAAACAACTCCTCTCCGGGTCTAGATCAAATATCTCCTCTATTTTTAAAAAAATGCTCTAATATCATATCAGTTCCTTTATCTATTACAATCTCTTTGTCTTTTAATACACACACATTACCCTCTATCTGGAAAACAGCTTCTGTAACACCCATTTTCAAGAAAGGAAACAAACTAGACTCTAATAACTATCGCCCAATCAGCCTCACACCCATAATCTGTAAAGTTATGGAATCCATAATAACAGAGCACGTTTCTCAGTTTTTCTTAGTGGAAGAAATCATTCCCAGACAGCAACATGGATTTGTAAAAGGGCGATCAACCATGACCAATTTGCTTTGGTGTGTAAATGAGTGGACAGTTTCATTAGACAGGAAAAACCTATAGACATTACTTACCTGGATTGGTAAATTGGACATTTTAATGGCATAATAACATTCTACAGTTTTAATTAACAATAAAAATATTAATTTTATTTACTATCTATTAAATGTACATTTAAATCTGTAAAAATGTTAATAACAAGAACACGCTAAATTTTCTAATTTCTAAACCGGTTCTGCAAATAATTTGTTTACTTATGAATGAGCATTCTATATAATATAAACCTGGTCTTATCTCTTTTTGAAATACAGCCAAGGTGATTAATACCAATAAATATTCTTTTTGTTTTTTACAGGGCGTATGGATGGGTTTGATGACTGGCTCAGGTTGTCTTTCGCGCGTGATGGGTCCGGTTTTCGTAACGTACATTTACAAGGAATACGGGACTGTTTGGACTTTTGGACTAACGACAGCCATGATGATTCTGTGTCAAAGTTGGTTACTGGGATTCCAGCATACTTTGAACCCCGAAACTACTAAAAAGAATCACGAAGAGGATGGCCAAGAATTGAAAGAATGTACAAAATTCGTTTCAGTTGATTTATTACCCCGAGAATAATGTCTTAAAACTATACAATGAAGTGATTTACAATTTTTTTTATAAAGTAGGCCTTGAGATAAAAATCACGAATGTCATATCGTAACAATAATTAGGCATTCCAAACAAAATGGTTTGTCCGTAGGTAATGACAGGCACATGACAGATTATGATATGGCAACACTGTGGTGATTTAACCAATGACCAGGACAGGGATTCTTATGTGCAAACTCAACACGTTACCTGTTGAAAAGAGAGAGACATTTCATAAAAATAACATTCTGTCGAACGAAGATAGAAGCTTCTCAACACGTGCCGAATTAAAAGATGAGAATCCCACTGCTGGAGTGGGGTAGAAGCCCAATGTGCATGTAGTATCAATAGAACAAGATGCGACTCGTTGGGCGCAGCCATTTTCATTGCTCATCTCACTCGGGAGTATTTATAATAACCGTTATTGTCAAGTCCACAAGCTGGTGGATCAGACAATAACAATGTGAAGTAGAAACTGTCTGCGCCCATAGAGTCGCATTTCAAGCCTATTCACAATCATTCTACCCCATTCCAGTTCATTGGATTTAACAGGGTCAATGATATAGATAGTTATATAGATTGATCAGCCATGTTTCTCAAAATAAACAATGACAACAGGCCTATAGGGTTGCCATATCTAAATTGTCAATTTCCACGGTTATTTTTTAAATAACAGTTTATTCTGTATCTCTGCATTTGTCAGTTAAGTCAAGGCCTACTTTAGAAACATTTTTTTGTGAATCACACGTTACTTTTACCGAACTGCTATAATATAAGTATAATTTAATAAAATACCTAATGGGCCTAAAAAGTGATTGTGATATTAGAAAACAAAATAGTTTTTTATAATTCAATTTACAGTGATAAGAAAAGAAATTTCGACTCTCCTTCTATGTGATATGAAAATATTTTTTATACATATTTAAAGCCATAGGTAACAGTGTGTTTATGGAGTAGGTATACCTTACAAATCTTGTTCATTTTAAATAATATTTCATTGAATAAATATTTTAAATTCGTTGTTTTATTTTTCATCATCTCTTCTTACTCTTGTTTGCATATTTTTATCCAATGTATGCCGAACTTTCGTTTTTTTTTAGGATCAGAATTTAAAGGGATAAAAGATTTTAGACGAGCAGTGTATGTGCAGAGTGAATTCTAAGATGATACTTTTATTTTAATTGTGTACAGAAAATAAACTAAACACTTTTTAAAAACTGATAAATAAGAAAGATACACAATTAAAAAATCTAAATCTGGTACTGGATTTGTGTATGAAAAGTTAAAGTAAATAAGAAGTATATTTATGTTTTTATCATTTTTACTTTTTTTTTCTGTTTTTCTTATGAATCGTACTTGGATTATGCACCGGTTATTGTAATTCAGTCGCGTGTGATTTCAGTAGTATGCTTATCAGGGGACCTATTTTAAACTACGGCAGTACACATTTCTCTCCAGACTTTCATGAAGAATGTCATACATGGAAACAGTATTTTTAATACCAGTGAGTACTCACTGACTGTTTTTCTCGAGAGAATTAAAATACTCCTTAAACTTTTATTTGCAATTCTAATGCAAGCGTCTTACTTTTGAGTTTTTTTAAAAAATTTGTTTATTTTAATGATTTCTATATAGTTAAAAAAAAGTATCTAAATAGTTAAATACATATAAAAAATAAGTATTTATTTGTGTAAATATCAAAAATATATACAATACAATTCTTTCAAATCAAAGTAAGCTCGTTTTTCTTGAACGCATCTTGTCTCTTCAGCTGATTAGGTACGAAACATAAAAAAACGTTTCCTATGCCTATAATCACACAAACTACAGCCAAAGACCAAAAAGCTTCTAGCACTTCGTTCAAAAATCCCAACATTACAACGAATATTACTCCATGCAGTTGGACACTGCTTAAAATTATGCCAGTAGTGGTACTTTCTTCTAAAGGGTAAGTCAGTTCCATCGCAAATTCGAATCCTACAGGCAAGTATCCACATGAGAACAATCTGTAAAAAAAATGTTAATCATAACATATTTGTTAAAAAAAAAACTTGGTAAAATAAGAACGGATCCGATCCATTTTAGAGCGAAAATTTGGCTCGGAAAAAATTTGAGACATACATAAGAGACAAGTTAGTGTCGGGTCAAATTATAGTGAGACATATTAGCGCCTGGTCAAATTATAGTGAGTAAAGTTAGCGCGGTATCAAAATATTCTAGTATTCTAATTAAAATGTAACTAATTTACCTAACCTGAGCAGCCTGCAGCCATTAAATATCGCTTAGTAAAAAATATACACAAAATGAGAAAAATTTAACTTACATGTGTATCTAATCTGTGCGACCTGGAACTATATATAACTTAACTAAGTACATTCTGTATTTAGTTTAAATTACAACTTTACTAATCAAGAACAGATTCTAAACTTAATATCATGAAAGGAAATATAATACAACCGGTGGCATTACACCTAAGGTGGAATGACACAAACTAATCTAATGTAATAGTCAGCACTTCTAAGGTTTGTAACCCTACCCAATTCCCGAAGCACAACCCGGCAACGCTGGAATGGTGAGAGAAGACGGACTTGAGCCCAGGGGCCCTATTCTACAAGTTGAACGATGTGAACATTCCACTGTGAGATGTGAAGTGTCCTATCACCAATTTGTCCTCTCGGTCATGTATTCGGTATTCTTGAATCATTCACATCTCATAGGTTCACGGAGCACCGCTGCCAAATTTAAGTTGTGCGTTAAAACTATTTTAGAAGGTACTTTACTTTAATTTTTTATTATTTTTTGACAATTGTAATAACAGATTATATTTTCCATTATTTTCTATTAAATTCCGTGCCAAAGGTTTACTTAGACGAACATTTTGCATGAATATTCGGTCACTAAAGTCAAAAGGATCCTCTTTTCTTAAAAAAATTATATTTTGTCGATTAGCATTTTCTTTCGCTTCAGCTAGATCATTCAAAATATGAATATAAATAAGAGCTTCGTCCAAATCCATTTTAATTAAAAAAAAGTGACGTTTTGACAGCGCACAACAATGACAGTTCTCCCAATGTTCTCGTGTCCCGAAATGATACTCTTCTACTGGTTTTGACTAAGAGAAGTATGTTCTCTCGATTTTCATGCGAAGTGATCATTCACTTCAATTCAAGAATACCACTCACACACTTTTTAGGAGAACGGCTGTCCAGTTCGCATGAAATGATCATTCTCTCAACTGGAGAATAGGCCCCCAGATAGACAGTTAACGAGCGGTGTGCTTGTTTTGTTAGTTTTCATATTGTTGTTCTTTTACGAGTATGAAAAAGTTGTAACGTTTTGAGTTCATAAAAAATCAAATAAATCATCACTTTATTAATTTAAGTTGCCCACTGAACAACCCCATCCCTCAACCTACGCAATCCACACCCGAAATCCCTTGCAGGTTCATACACGAGGTTGCCGACTCAGGGTTATTAACTCTATAACTTATATCAACTCACGATGGCTCCAGGCCACACAGGTTAAGTGAATAAGTTATTTTTTTTATTTTAATTAGAATACTGGAATATTTTGCAACGCGCTAATTTGTCCTGCTGTTTTATGACCCGACGGTAACTTATCTCACTATAATTTGACCTGGCGCTAGCTTGTCTATTAATGTATTTGTTTCGGCACGAATTTGTTGCAGCAAATTTGTTCTTAAAACCTTTGTACATCTATGTTTCTGTAGATACAACCATCTGTGTGCCGCTGCGGGCTGAGCTCGATTAAATGGACTGTATATAAAACGATTGGGGAAATAATGTATTTTATTATATTATCCAAAACATGACGTGACATAAAAACTCATTGACAACAACAAAAAGAACATAAAATCAAGGCTTATATACAAGGGTGGCGAAACTTTTATTTAACGGCAGGCATCGAACAATCTGGTAAGGGTAAACAGGTATGTCGTAAAACCGCTAGTAATAAACGTTTCATTCATCAGCAGGAAAATCTTAAGAAGCAAGATTAAGGTTATGAAAAAGATAGTCATCTTACTTACCCTAATACAGCGCACGAAATATAAGTCATCACTTTAGATTCATACTTCATTGAAAACATCAAAAATACAATACTAATGGTGGTAGTTATGTAGATAAATAGATTTATTTCTCTAGAATAAACGATATATATTATTAAAACGTATTATTTGCTCATATACGAGTATATGGTGCACATGAAAGAAATACCTACATTTGTTATTCCGTGATATGGAAAACAAATACTTTGAACTCAAGTGAATAAATGTTGACATCCCACAGGGAAGTGTTCTTGGGCCAGTATTATATTTATTTACACGTCTATGACATTCCAGAAATGTAAATTATATTATTGACCATAGGATCAACTATTGAAGAAACAACATCTGATTTGACAGTACAAAAATCGGTCTGTGATTAGTTTTGATTGTGTACACTAAGTTTTCGTACAGTTCTGAGTCTATGAAGTGTGTTAGAACACGAAACCTAGTCTGGGCAAAATCGTGACAGTACGTAAACTGATTTGGTTTATTTTGAAACAAATCTATACCTTTATTTTTTCATTGACATTGTTGGAACAGAAATTACGTCAACTAATATAACATATTGTATCTTTACTCAAGAGGATCAAAGTACTTTCAAGTAGCTATTTAGCCCTGCTAGCCAATATTAGTTAATTATAAAACTGTTGTAAGGACATACTTGTATTTGTGAGTTTTATCCAAAAGTATGCCGAAAATGACCGAACCAAACATTCCTATAACAATCAGAACAAATCCCATCCATCCAACGTCCTCATCGGCGCCCTAAAACATAATACTTATTTTTCAATTTTTTAATTACCAAACTTTCCTAAAAAATGTCTTACCGGAAAGTATTGCAAAGTAAACTGGTTTAAAAATATTACAACAGCGTTTATCCCTGCTACGTTTATACTGTAGGCTACCAAATGAATCATGAACGCTTTGCTTTTAAATAGCTTTTTTATGGAATTGAAGAAGTATTTAGATTGAAATTTTTTATTGTTTTCCCTTAGAGTAGCCTGTACTTTATTCGGTGGATTTTTGGGCTCCTTGGGAAAATCTAAAAATTAAATTTCAGTACATAAAAAAAGTCGATTAATAATTGTTATCTAGCTTTCCAGCTAGCAGTGAAAAAAGTTCTGCAGAGCCCGGGCTGGCACATCAGAATCACGCGAGTGATATCTTGTTTTGTCTTGACATCAAAAGGATCATTAAAAAGATCAATTCATATTAAACATTTATTTAAATTTAACTAACAAATAAATCAAATTTGAAACATTTTCTTTAAATTCAATACTAACAAATTTTGATTTCCTTTAACCACCTCCAATCACTCGAATCACATTTGGAGGAACATGTTTCACATTGAGGTGAACGCACCTCCTCTCTTGACATTTGACAGGTCAACGTCTTTAAGTGTCGCTTGTCACCACTGTCATGTGGACACGGTTAAACAATAGGTCTTTTCCTTTGCATCGACAGTGTAGCACTGAGCTACGTTACTTCTGAAAATGTCGTTCCATCCATACAATTTGTATAAATGTAACGATATTTTCAGAAGTGGTGTAGCTCAGTGCTACACTTTCGATGCAAAGGAAAAGACCTAATATTAATAAAAATGAATGTATAAAGAAATTTAAATTTGAAAATATTACTAATAGTAATAATTATGAGTTAGCAAGTTGTGAATATCCTGAAATATCTAATTTTGGGAGCGAGGATGACTAAGAACTTGTTGGATATGTTTGTGGACAGTAGGTAAACTTTTTTACAATTATAATGTGGAAAAAAAACTTCAGTTTTTTTTTCCTTTGGCCTTTTGCGTTTAACCTTTTTCATATTAACTATTATATTCTAAATTTAAATTTCAATATATTTTCCTCTATTTGTAATTTTTTTTTAAATTTTAACTAATTTGTTAACTTGTTTTCAATTGTACCTAATGCGAATAGTAAAGGTGCTATAATTCCTTAGTTCCACACAAGCTAACTTGCTTCTGGAGATCAGATATGATTTTTTAGGGGCTTATCCCACACTCACTATTCCCAACACTGGGTTATGTCACTCTGTTATCTTTTAATTGTTAATTTTTTCAAAATAACCTCATATATATAATTTTAACTTTTGACTTAAAAGTCTTACTCAGATTTTATATTTACACATATTTATAAATTGTAAGTTTACATCCACAATTTTTGTAGATAAGCACTGATGATGGCACAATGCCGAAAGCGCTTTGCATTTATTAATTAAAAAGTTTTGCACGAAATACAAGTCTTTCCTTTTGAATCTAAACTACGTGCACACAGCCGTCAACCTTTTTTGGTTATTTTAATATTAACCTTTGTTGCCAGCATCTACAAGATCTTCACATTCTTGTTAAAGCTTTAAACTTGAGTCTTTCGGTTTGAAACCTGAATCTCTAGTTAATTCTGTCAAAGATCGGAAAGCAGTGGACATCATGGAGAAAACTTTCACTAGAACTGACGATCGTTTTGAAATAGGCCATTTATGGAAAGATAAAAACACTATTTTACCGAATAGTTATGCCAACGCTTATAATCGTCTACTTTGCATGGAAAGGAAGATGATTTTTCATTGCAGTACTGTAGAAGACGATATAACTAAGAAGTATGCAAGAAAGTTAAACCCATCAGATACTGTTGCAGAAGAGGAGATTTGGACAGATAATAAAACAGGAGTTAAAGGGCTGGTTTGACTCATTGGATCATCAAAGGATATCAGAGGCGTTCAAGGAACACTCTGGAAATATAACTGTCCCCTAGCTCCAAACATGACTGCTGTTTGAGAGCAAATAATAAAGTCAGTAAAGAGATGCCTAAAGGTAACTCTTAATACTATGAAACCAAAAGAAGATATACTTCTAACTCTACTCCTTAAAGCTGAATATTGGCCCTAAAGCAATTACTCATAACCATTTTTATTGCTAAGATCTGGTGATGTAAGATCATCTGGCCCAAATAACCCAATCACTAAGAATCAGTTACATTAAAAATAATCATATGGGAGTTTAAAGATCCCAAAATTTTGGTTTATTAATCTAGATAACATGGCGCAGTCATAATCAAAGAACCTACAGAGCGATTGGAATAAGATTCTGTAAACATTTAAAAAAAATAACAATAAATAGGAAAAGTTTTAAATTTTACTATTTTAAAAGTAAGTTTTACAAATTACGTCATACTAATGCAGCGTATTATTATTTACTTACACGTTATAGTTGCCACAGTAACAGGTATCATTATTCCTACTAACGTCCAGCATAAAGTTTTTAGACCTTCACCGATATCGTCGAGATTGTTCGAATCGTGTACTAATAGAGTTGGTAAAATGAATCCTAGTGCGTAGCCCAATAGAGTCCCGGATACACCCAAAGAACAAGCAGTAGAAATCTAAAATAATACTTTTCGGTATCAAAATAAAAAGATACCACCATCGGTATTCAAGTAGTTGTGATAATTAAACACAACCATTTTTACGAAGGTTGATACCAAAATCGATTCAAAAACCTAAAATTTTACGAGTTTGGATATTTGAATGTAATTGTCAAAAATTTGTTTCGCCCCATATCATCGAAACAATGCTGCTTCTTAAAAAACATTAAAGGACAAAATATCCTTAGAATAATCCAAGTAATAACACCCCTTGAATTTTGCCATATCTATTTATATCATAAAAGAGTATATTATTTTTTCAATATACAGGGTGTCCTTTAAAATGTGTCCCAAAATTCTCAGGCAGATTCCTTAACCAAAAAATGGAAAAAAAGTTCCTATAGACCTATGTCCTAAAGCGAGCAACAACCTCTCGAAATCATTTTTTTTATTTTGATTTTTTGAATTTTCTTAAAAATGGAAACAAATAAAAGAACCAAATTTTGGCTGTTAAATATGATCAATAATAGTGAACTTTTGACACCTTCAAAAAGAAATTATTTCGTCAGGGGTGTACTTGGGAATTTTTTGAAAATTTTGATTATTCATAACTTTTTTGTGTTTTTGGTAATGACTTATCCATATTTTTTTTTACATTCTACATTGAAAACTACGTCAAAAAGGAATACTTGTTTGATCTCGATTGGAGCAGCCGTTTCCGAGAAAACATCATCCAAAGATATTCGTGCAGTTTAGGTTAATTTTCAATTTTGGCTGTTGTAGCCAAAAAGTTGGAAATCGAGGAACACGGCTTACATGTCCCTATCCTTACTTTTGAAGGTCTATTCAGTGGCAAAAAATATTAGTTGATACAGGGTGATCAAAAATCGGATGTGATTTTGGATTTTTGATCACCCTGTATCAAATAATATGTATTTTATGTCACTGAATAGACCTTAAAAAGTTAGGATAGGGACTGTAAGCCGTTTTCCTCGATTTCCAACTGTTTGGCTACAACAGCCACCTGAATTTGAAAAAATGTGATTTTTGAGTAGCTGTAGATCCTTTACTATTCATATTAGATAACAAGTGTGATATATCATTGAAATCAGATTATCGAGCAGATTCTAAAAATATAAAAATATACAGGATGTTCCATTTAAAAAACATAACTTTGATTTGGCACGGCCTTATGAAACACCCTGTCACATCGTAACTAATTTTAAAATGTGAAGCTTAAAGCTGCCTACTTTTATTATAACAGATCTACAGAGCTTCCTCACACTAATCAATCACCCTGTATACTATTTTTAGCTCTCTAAATAAAATTTAAAAATTTAGTTCCCATTTATTTATTATGAAGACCATAAGGTTTGTATTTAGCTGTTTAGAATAAAAAAGTAAAAATATGTATTTTTTTGGCGTTTTTGTGTTTCATGGATAATTTTTTTCGCTCACTGATAAAAATGTTTCTTCAGTTAAACATTATTTCTAAAAGTGTTCTGGTGCGATTCGTTGTATTGTTATTATTTTGTTTAAAATGGCTCACAACAACTACAATAATGATTACACATTCGGCGAAATGACGGACATGCACTTATGTTTTGGACTCGCTTCTGGAAATGCCAATGAAGCTCGCAGACTTTATCAGGAGCGCTTTCCAAATAGGCATCTTCCATGCGCTAAGACGTTTTCTAGAATTGACGATAGACTTCGGGAAACTGGTACATTTAAGAAAAACTCTAGTAACAGTGGAAGACAAAATTATGTGAGAACTCCTGCTTTGGAAGAAGCAATTTTGGATAGGGTAGCTGAAACCCCATCGACAAGTACCAGAAAAATAGCAAATGGTAAGTAATTACTTATTTATTATTTTAGCTACCCCGTACCTTATCGTATAAAACTAGTTTTTTTACTTGTTATTGCTTCTCTTACATTTCACGACTTTTCGTATCGAAAAGAGTTGCGTGATGCAGAAAAAATCTGATTTCCCAAATCAATGGATTCTCTTTCTTAACTATTCACTACACAGATTCTCTCATTTAATTTCAGAAGTGGGAGTCGGACGTAACACGGTATGGAAAGTTTTGCGTGAACAACAATTGTACCCTTACCACATTCAAAAAGTTCAGGCACTTAAAACTACTGATTATGAGCCGCGAGTTATCTTTTCTGAATGGTTTCTTGGAAGATGTAATCAAGATGCAATGTTTCTTAATAAAGTGCTATTTACCGATGAAGCTGGTTTCACTAGAGATGGTATAATAAATTTTCGAAATATGCATGAATGGGCTGAAGATAACCCTCACGCGGTTGTTGAACGTCACCACCAGGATAAATTTTCAATAAACGTCTGGGCTGGAGTTATTGATAATTAACTTATTGGACCATTTGTTTTGCTGAATAGGTTAAATGGAGCAGCATACAGGCTTTTTTTGGAAAATAACTTACATGAGCTTCTTGATAATATTCCGATTCAAATCAGACATAACATGTGGTTTATGCATGATGGAGCTCCACCACATTACAGCCTTGAAGCTAGACAGCACCTTAACGAAAGATTTGAGGGTAGAGTAATTGGCAGAGGTTGTCCTGTTAACTGGCCACCTCGTTCACCAGATCTAAATCCAATGGATTTTTTTGTTTGGGGTTATTTAAAATCATTGGTTTATTCCAGTCCTGTTGAAACAGTTGAAGAATTGGAAGAACGAGTTTTTCATCATTGCGAAGTTCTTAGGAATAATCCTGAAGTATTTTTTCGTGTAAGACAGTCTATGATGCGACGGTTGCGCTTGTGTGTGGAAACCAATGGTCGCCACATTGAGCATCTGCTTTAATTTTTTTTGATTTGTTTTTTTAGAATAAATATTTTTTTAAACAGTTTCTTATTATTAAATAAAAATAGTCCCACCACGACATTTGAACTACAATTATTTAGAGAGAGCTAAAAAAGTTATTTTTATTTACGAGATTCACCGAGGTAATTTAGGAAAATTGAAAATTAAGCTAAAGTGGACGAATATCTTTGGATGATGTTTTCTCGGAAACGGCTGCTCCAATCGAGATCAAACAAGTATTCCTTTTTGACGTAGTTTTCAATGTAGAATGTAAAAAAAAATATGGATAAGTCATTACCAAAAACACAAAAAAGTTATGAATAATCAAAATTTTCAAAAAATTCCCAAGTACACCCCTGACGAAATAATTTCTTTTTGAAGGTGTCAAAAGGTCACTATTATTGATCATATTTAACAGCCAAAATTTGGTTCTTTTAATTGTTTCCATTTTTAAGAAAATTCAAAAAATCAAAATAAAAAAAATGATTTCGAGAGGCTGTTGCTCGCTTAGGGGGCACTTTAGGACATAGGTCTATAGGAACTTTTTTTCCATTTTTTGGTTAAGGAATCTGCCTGAGAATTTTGGGACACATTTTAAAGGACACCCTGTATAACTCTTCCCTTCTTAAGTTTTGAAAAATATGGAGCTATTTTTCAAAACATCTTCTGTGGGATTTTCTAATTTAATTTCTTCGTTTTCTTTCTTCTAGATCTTCTTAAAAGTTGTCCTCTGTATTTAATTAATATTAAAATAATTATGCAAATAAAAATTACAAAAATTGTTCCAAAATTGCTTGAATAATTAAAATTATTTTGAATTTCTTTAATTTACTTTAATTGTTTAGAAATTTGATTAATTTCATATAAATCATTAAAATCTAATTTAGTTATATTAGAAGTTTGATAAGACTTTGAAGTTTGGATTTTCTTCATGTCGATCTTCGGTAAAATGAATGGCTTTCCTCTGCTCAGTTGCATGTTGTTGATGTATCTTCTTTCATTTGCCCAAATTTCACAAGATTTTGGTATCTTGATTAATACAGGTGATCTTATTTCTATATACTGGTTACTGTTACATTTTGAAAGAATTTGTTCAGGTTTTGACGGGATTATTAGGACTTCATCGACTGCGATTTGTTCGAATACTGATTCTTCTAAATTAACATTTAAAATATGACAATTTGTCAAAGTTTTTCCTTCAGGAAGTTGGAGAGTACAATTATCTCTGGGAATAAAATTCTGTTGACAGTAATAGATTTCTTCAAGGGATGGACATTCTTCTCGTGATTAACAAAACAGAAATGCATATAGAGAACATTTGAATTCTAATCTAATGAAAGCGATAACTATCTGGAATTCATAATAAAATAGATTAAAGTACATAAAAAAATACCTAACTCAAAAAATAAAGTAAGTAACAAGAAAAACTATTATCTTAAGTAGTTACAATTAATAATTAGATTTATTATAGTATTAGTTTTTATAAAAAGATGACAAGGTGGTTATTTTACGTAAAATTTTTTGCTAAATTACATATTAGACTATTAAAATAACTGAATATTTGAACTTTTCATATTCATTTTTAAAATAATTTTACGAAAACTAAATTGCTTTGTAAATAATAATAAATTTTAACAAAATTATTTAACTATTTCAGAAACACCAATTTTATTAAAAAAAAAGTGTTTTAAACATAGCAATTGCGTAGTTTCTAAAATATATTTTTATCTAGAATAGTAACATGACGATTCTGAGGCCTCTTTACTTTTCTCTCAGTGTACAATAACAACCTATAATTCCTGAAAACTATATTTTTGTATTAATCTTACCTCGTTTTCTTTGAACCAAACTGAAGCGATTTTTGTTGGTAAACAAACTATAAATAATTGTGAGACAGCACCTATTATTTGGCCCAACATCACTACCCAAAATCGGTCATTATGAATGGATAGTACTTTTACAGTAACCGCTACAAGATTCCCAATACACCCGATCAGACCTGCTAACCTTAAACCCTAAAAAAACTCACGTTTAATATAATTAGAAGTAACAGCGTATTGATATTAATCACCGTGAAATCCAGACTTTGCACCTTGTGATTTTTAGTAAGTATGGTTTAAACTTTATGCCCTACGTCTGATCCTTTTAAGTAAAACAATTTAATTATCTGTAAAAATATTGCATACATATATCTTCCTCTTCGTCTGCATTAAAGAGATCCTTAAGTACAATATAAATTATCTTTAACTATTTTTTATAATAAAAAATTCACTTAAAATTCAAAATATAAATTCTTACAAGAAAAAAATAAATGAAATACTAGTTACTAAACTGAAACCAAAGTTTTCTTACAAAAATGGCAGTAATATAGAATGTGTAAAACATCGATATCAGTAATTTTCAGTACAACGCAAACGACGTAACTTTTTTTAATAAATAAAATCCATCGACCGCCCATTTACATTTTAATAGGTTACCCATCGGTACCTGAGTTTGCATGACCGGCGATATCCCATCTGAAATGCCGACGACGTGAGTATAAATTATTTCGGTTTATCTTTCTCTAAAGGTTGCAAAAAATAATTTAAACATTAGAAATAAGTCCGTCCCTGTTTAATGAAACACATCGTCTAAAACTGACTTAGGGTGAGATTACAGAACGTCTGCAACTTTGCAGATCTGCAAATATGGCGGCAACTTTGAAAATCTGCAAATATGACTGACTTACACATGCAAATATCAAGTTTTCGTATTCCAAATTTGGGTTTAGGGTTGTTGGGGGTAATAAACCACAATAAATATTGCGAATTTGCAGATATTTTATGGAATACTTGCATTTGTAAGTCTGCCATATTTGCAGCCCTAAGAGTGAGATTACAGAACGTCTGCAACTTTGCAGATCTGCAAATATGGCGGACTTACAGATGCAAGTATCAACTTTTCGTATTCCAAAAATTATCTTCAAATTAACAAAATTTATTGTGGTTTATTGCGAATTTGCAGATATTTTTTGGAATACAAAAACTTGATACTTGCATCTGTATATTTGCATATCTGCAAAGTTACCGCCATATTTGCAGATCTGCAAAGTTGCAGACGTTCTGTAATCTCATCCTTAATGCGCATGTTCAGTATTGCCGTAACGAGCTAATTATTGATGTCAAAAGTGAATTATGACATTGTCGATATATTGGATATTATTATATGGTATTGACTTACCTGCATTTCAATTAGATACGAAACTGGGATCACCAACAGTGGATACATAGCAAAATAAACCGTAGACGACCAATCTACAGCCATAGTGTGGACATTATAATATTTGACAGCCAAATTCGTTATGCTCGAGTATTCGAGCCATTGTAAAGAATTAATACTTGCGTTGTATATAAATATTCCTAGAATGAACCACCGTTTTTTATAGGCTTTAATTTTTAACGGTGCACTATTGTTTGGTAACATTATTTCGATTCTTTTGGACTGTTCTATCTCCATTTTGCATATCGAAATCGATTGATATACCTAAAATAAGTAGGGAGAAAAAAAAGTACGATAATTGAATGGACAAATTTAATATTTTTTTTTCTTTTTACCTAGGTGACCTTCTCGATTTTTGTTATTTATTTGATAAATCAACTAGCACTAATTTCCAAAACATAAAATATGTGCTAATATTTTTATTAAATAATATTTAATGTACCTACATTGCAGTATCTAGAAGTGATTTTATATCCAGAATTATTATGAATTCATTTTTGATTTTTAACTCCCAATTGGCTATATTTAAGAAGGGAAAAGGGCATATTTCACCCAGTATACTCTTTTAACGTTGTTAAATATTTTTTAACACCCACAGCTATTATGTACGCACTACTAAACGAAAAAGTAGGCCATTGTGTTCACCTAAACACATATATTTCATATCCATTATAACTAGTAAAAACACTTTATGGATATCAAATCCACCAATCACAGTTCATAATCAAGGCTACTATTATTTTTGTTAAATTTTGTAACAATTCTGTTAAACTAAAGTTATTGAGATTAAATATAATTATTAAAAATGATTATTGTGAAGAATCTATAAATAATAGCACAATATATTCGTCTATACAGGGTGTATCTAAATAACATCAAAACAAATAAATTATGAATTTTAATAAAACCCTATAAAATCGATTAAATTATGAGTATTAAAGCTGGAAAGTTAGGTGTATTGATGGAGCTAAAATTATAGTACAGAGTTGCCATGCGAAAGGTCAAGGGTTCAAATATAATTAAATAAAATCTTTTTTTTTGTTTCATTTTATTTTATAAATTAGTTATCTATAAATTATTTTTTAAAATTTGTAGATTTTCGTTGATGGGACGTAGAAATTATATACTGTACAACTCGAGTGGATTATCCATATTGTACTTTCGTCTTCGTGTGATATGGCCATGTTATCCACTCTTGTTGCCCAAATTACTATTATAGATTGATAAGAAAGATAAAAACATGTAAGTAATACTCAAATTTTTGTTTTAAAGGGTAATAATTTCCTAAACTTGGAATATGTTTTTGTATACACTTACCAGTGATATGTTGTTATTCCTAAAGATTTCTTATCAACTAATTTTATTTTACATTGTTAGTCCATTTTAGTGTTTAAAAATACATTACTAGGTACACTCTTTAATAAAATATAAGTAATCATGTACTAAATAGAGCACTAATAAGAGTTTTAGCTCAAGATGCCCAACCTTCTTATTATGGTGTTTATCATAAATAATTTTAAACGTAAAGCGTTTTGTATTAAACTTAAACTAATTATTGTAATTTTATTTTTTTAAATAGATAAGCATTGTTTTTATAAAATAACATTCATCGATTTTTTTAGCTATTATAGGTAACAAACCTAGTGATATTTTTGTTAAATACCTAGACCTACCTAATAATTATACCCATTAAAATTGACAACTATAATAAATTATATTTCAGAACAAAAAGAACTTATTCAGAGCTTGGTATGCGAACAGGTCCAAAGGAGTAGTTGTTTAGCTTTAACTTTAAATAAAAGCTTCCTTTGGTGGTCGATTATGAAATTGGCCCTTACCTATTATTTATCTCTCCATCCAAAGTACTGTTCACTAATACATCATCTAAAAGAATAAGTACATCCAATTTACTTATAATAAACACCTTCAATTATTTACCTACACGTGAATGTAATAAATAATTTTGATCTAAAGAAGTAACACAATATTCCAATGTTACTCTTGAACCTGTTTAAAACTATATTTAATACATATTTAAGATTTTACTGGTTTTAATTGTTACTCTTATCAAATTATGTTATTATTTTTATTTAACAATAATTATCAATTAGATTTAGAATAGTAAAATTTTATAATATGTATTTATGATATATTGCACTATTATTCGTTTACTTATATCTATTTTAGTTTCTAAAAGTTTTTAATTTATTAACCCATATTTTAGTTTATTATAGTTAAGATTTATAGTTCGTAAGATAATATTTACTATTGTTTATAAAAAGATAGTGTCAGTTTAAAGCCTTCAAAGTAGGAGCGGCATGCGACGCGATGCGAAATCATTTTAATTAAACGGCAATATCCGTGTTGGAGGCTCTTACAATTACAGCATGATCAGAAATATACAGTACTGAAACGAAAATATATATTTCTCACCTATAAATATTAACAAATTTAACAACAATTAAAACATGCAAAGTACAACTAGTGCCCTTTATCAGGTAGATGATATATAGGCTCAAATTATGATTTGTCATCCCAAAAAATACCGGTGTATCAATTTTAAGCCATCTACTTAATAAAACGACGAAAATATAATGAAAAACGTATTTTTAAATTTAACTTTATCACCCTGTATACTGAACATGATGTCCCAATTAAAATAATTATAATACTGGTTTCTTATATTGATCTAAGGAATCTACGGTTAATGGATTTGCCTACTTTTTTGGGACACCCTGATAATCTCATAACTATCGGCCCTAAAATTATTTAATTTCACTTATGTATTATAGTAATTGTTATTATTAATTCATAAAGTTCTCTTGATTAATGAATAAAATTAATTTTATAAATTGTTGCCTTATTATAAATAGCAACATGATATTTTTTGTCAAATTGGACATTCTAATGGAATAGTAACATTTTACAGTATTTATTAACAATAAAAATAGTAATTATCTGTAAATTTATGTTTACTATCTATTAAATGTACATTTCAATCTATAAAAATCTTAATAACAAGAAAGATTCTAATTTCTAAACCGGTTCTGCAAATGATTTGTTTACTTATGAATGAACATTCTATATAACTATATAAGATTGGCCGTTTACTTTCCTCTATTCTTCTTTTTATAATCTGAATCTGGCCTTTTCTCTTTTTGAAGTACAGCCAAGGTAATTAATACCAATAAATATTCATTTTGTTTTTTCCAGAGCGTATGGATGGGTTTGATGTTTGATGTTTAGAACATATGTTTGATGACTGGCTTTGGTTGCCTTTCACGCGTATATTTGCAAGGAATACGGTATTGTTTGGACTTTTGGACTAACGACAGCCATGCTGATTGTGTGTCAAAGTTGGTTACTGGGATTCCAGCATACTTTGAACCCCGAAACTACAAAAAAGAATCACGAAGAGGATGGACAAGAATTGAAAGAATGCACAAAAATCACGAATGTCACATATGATACAATAATTAGGCATTCCAAACAAAATGGTTGTTCGTAGGTAATGACAGGCACATGACAGATTATGATATAGCAACACTGTGGTGATTTAACAGGGTCAATGATATAGATATTTATATAAATTGACCCCCTGGGGGTCGATTCTCGACTCGTAGGAATATTTTCCTATAGGAATTTTTTACATTTTTATATACATCGAAAATTTATGACATTTTCCTACATATAGGAAAGTGTCACAAATTCCTATAGGAAAAGGTTCCTACAAGTCGAGAATCGACCCCCTGGCAGCCCTGCCCACAGGTTTGTCATATCTAAACTGTCAGTTGTCACGGGTAGTATTTTGACAGGTCGTGGAAATGCCTAATAAATAATTATTATTCTTTTTTAAATAACAGCTTGTTCTGTATCTCTGCCTTTGTCAGTTAAGTCAAGGTCTAATTTAGAAACATTTTTTTTGTGAATCACACGTTATTTTTACCGAACTGCCATCAGTATAGTTTAATTTAATAAAATACCGAATGGGCCTTAAAAGTGATTGTGATATTAGAAAACAAAATATTTTTTTTATAATTCAATCTACAGTGAGAAGAAAAGAAATTTCGTCTCTCCTTCTATGTGATATGAAAATATTTTTTATACATATTTAAAGCCATAGGTAACAGTGTGTTTAAACTCATAAATAAGAAAGAGACACAATTAAAAAAATCTAAATCCGGTACTGGATTTGTGTATGAAAAGTTAATCTAAATAAGAAATATAATTGTATCGGTGAGTTCAAAAACCGTACATGTCCAAAATCAGCCTTCCGAGAAAAACAATGAAAACCTTTTAACGAGTCTCGAATATGTACGGTTTTTCGCCTAATTTCACGAATGTAATCAGCTGTACTACGTTAACGGTATCTAGTACGGCTTTTAAGCTTAATCGATGAAGAGATAAATTTTAAACCAAATGGCTTCTTACTTTAAAATGTCAAATTTTGGACTCGAACATTTTTGGGGGTGGTCAAACGTCAATACATAATTTTAAATCGTTATGGATCTTTATTGTTAACTTATGTCAGTCGACCATTTGGTTTTTTTTTGTTTTTCTTATGAATCACGCTTGATTATGTACCGGTTATTGTAATTTAGTCACGTGTGATTTCAGTAGTGTGCTTATCAGGGGACCTATTTTCAAACTATGGGAATACACATTTCTCTCCAGATTTTCATGAGGAATGTCGTACTTCAATATGGAAACAATATTTTTAATGCCAGTGGGAATTCACTGACTGTTTCTCTAGGTTTATTTCAAAATAATTAAAATACTCCTAAGATTTTTAATTTTAATTCTATTGTAAGCTTCTTATTTTTGAGTTTTTTTGAAAAAGTTGTTTATTTCAGTGATTTTTATATAGTAAAAAAAAGTATCAACTCATTAATCACCCTATAATCTTGTAAACGATTCTATTTTGTGTAGGTAATGTAGGTATTCAAATAGTTAAATACATAAAAAAACAAATATTTATTTGTGTAAATATCAAAAATATATACAACACAATTCTTCAAATCAAAGTAAACGCGTTTTTCTTAAACGCATCTTGTCTCTTCAGCTTATTAGGTACAAAAAATAAAAAAACGTTTCCTATGACTAAAATCACACAAACGACAGCCAAAGACCAAAAAGCTTCCATTACTTTGTTCAAAAATCCCAACATCACAACAAATATTACTCCAAACAGTTGGACACTGCTTAAAATTATCCCGGTGGTGGTACTTTCTTCTAAA